ATCAAGTCCTTCAATCATTAAGATCAAGCGATCCTGCGCAGAGAACTCTGTGTTGTCGGTGATTTCGGTAACTGCATCATCCTCCGGGGCTTCCTCCTTAGGGAAAGGCGAAAGCTCACTTGCAAGGAAGCCCTTGAGAACCTTACCCAACCCATTTTCCGGGAAGAATTCGATAAACTCGCGGATAACACCGACGTCCCACTGAGAGTAGCTTTCAATATCCTGCCATTCTAAGACGATGGTCCATGCAAGTTCAAAGGGGTGTTTGATAACGACCATATCCTGAGCAGCGCGAAGTATTTCCCTTCTCTTGGTGTTCTTTTGCTTGGGGTGTAAGACCTTCAGTTCATCGTAGGCGCGTTCGAGCAATTTTTCTTCGTACTGGCGTCGGAATTCATCTTCGTTGGTCCAGTCGATAATGCCTCGATACAGTTCCTCCAGTCCCATTCGTTTGAAAGCCTCTCGCTTCACTTCCACCGTCACCTGATCGAGGCGTGCTCCGAGACGAGTTCTTCGCTCTCCGATCTCGCGATTGATGAATTCTTTCTCTTCCGCTTCGGTGATCTCAATTAGGCGTAGATAGGTTTGGGAAGGGTGGGGCATGCGGCCTTCGAGGACGCTGTAGATCGAGGAGGTTGGGAGTTGTAATTGTAGCGCACGTTTATACTGGGCTTTGGAGCCTCGACTCCGGGCTATGTTGGTGTATCTATCGATCGTGTCCTGACAGCGGTGCATATCCTCACTAGTGGTCATATGAGTATTTGTCCCGCTGATACGAACACAGGAACATCAATACATACCCATCGGCAAAGATCTGGGCCAGTCGGAGAGCTGCATCGTGCCAGGCATCAAGCTTGGAATTTCCCTGTTTTTCGTAGAGGGTTACTAGACCCTGCCAAGCTGTGCGATCGCTGTCTTTAATGCGTGTGGCCGCTAAGTAAGCTTGTTCAGCTTCATCGGTGTTATTCTGCTTGTCATAGGCGAGTCCGAGGAAGATGTTCCTAGTTGGGGGGGGAAAAGTTAGGTGAGCTTGCTCGCGGTCGCGGGGTGGAAACATAACATACCCATGGTAATTCTTCGGGTCTTGTTGTAAAAGACTCCTCGCTTTCTCGACTGCCGTAGCATAATCCTTTGCATCGATGGCCGACCGCACGGCCTTCAATGCCGCCTTGCTCGACATCGTTATGAGCTGAAGGTGGAGGAGGGGGAGGAGTTCAAACTGGTGTGGTGGAATGTGGAGCAAACCGTAGGTCGATCCTATCGGTTAGCGCGATACGTCACCGCTTATCGAGTTATCAGTATGTCACCTGCCTCACTACTCTCCTCTCCATCCCATCTCCATTGCTTCAAACAAGTTGCTTCAATCACTTACCAGGCTCTCGAAGGCCTCAAGGCAGTAAGGCTGCCTGCAACTCTCATTCAGAAGATACACAACCATCAACACCCAAGATCAAGGTAAGTAGTGTTTGCCGTCAGCTGCAGATACAGCTGCCGTAAGGTATTGGGCTGGGGCCCTTGCAGTGGATTGGGCTAACTTATAGCTTCCTCCGGAAGAAACATTAGAAATCCAACCGATAAATTTCTTGGTCAGCTTTGAACGCGTTTGCTTGCGTAGTCTTATCTCCCTCCTTAACGTCCTTGTCGAACGCGGGATCGCTGTGCACCTCCGAGATGGGCCTGCTGCACCTTCACATTGACGGCAAAGTCTTCCGAGACTCACATAATCGAGAGGTCACATTGAGGGGTATAAATGTTGCTGGCGACGCCAAATATCCCAAATCACCGGATCTTCCCTCTTTTGTTTCCGACAAGTTCTTCGAAGGTGACGATGTTTCGTTTGTTGGACGCCCCTTTTCCCTCGAGGATGCCCATATGCACTTCAAAAGACTTCGTAAATGGGGATATAACACAATTCGATATATCTTCACTTGGGAAGCTATCGAGCATTCGGGTCCTGGGAAGTATGATGACGAGTGGGTTACCTTCACCATCGAAGTTCTCCGCATAGCAAAGCAATATGAGTTTTATGTGTTCATGGACCCCCATCAGGATGTGGTGAGTCGATACCTTCGTCTTATATTCCATCGCATGCAAAGCTTACATGCACATTCTAGTGGTCTCGGTTGTCTGGTGGCTCTGGAGCACCAATGTGGACTCTGTATGCTGCGGGTTTGGACCCGAAGGGCTTCAAGAAGACCGAAGCCGCCCTTGTCCAGAATACATACGATATTCCTGCCGAATTTCCGAAGATGATTTGGAGCACAAATTATACTCGCTCGGTTTGCCAAACGATGTTTACTCTCTTCTGGGCAGGCCGCGATTTCGCCCCCAAAGCCATCATCGACGGAATTAATATTCAGGATTATCTGCAAAATCACTTTATATCAGCCTGTAGATACCTCGCCCAGAAGATACATGATGCAGGTGATCTTGAAAACGACGTGGTCATCGGCTGGGAAAGCATGAACGAGCCTAACCGCGGTCTGGTTGGCGTGCAGGACATCTCCATCATTCCGGCGGAACAACAACTACAACTTGGCACGTCTCCCACAGCATTCCAGGCAATGCTAACGGCTGCTGGGCGAGCATGTGAAGAAACGACATGGGGCTTCGGTAACTTCGGTCCCTACCAGACAGGCCGGGAGCTTGTGGACCCAGAAGGCGAATCTGCCTGGCTCCTACCTGAAGACGCCGATATTGAGCAAAAATACGGATGGAATCGCGATGCAGGGTGGAAGCTAGGAGAGTGTCTCTGGGCTCAGCATGGCGTGTGGGATACAACCAGTGATACACTGCTGCAGAAGGACTATTTCTCGAAAGTGCCCAGAACAGGGGAGAAGCTGGATTACGAGATCTTCACTAATACCTACTTCCTTAACCACTACCGAGCCTATCGAGATGCAATTCGTGCTGTCTGGCCACAGTCAATCATGCTTTGCCAACCACCCGTGATGGAGGTGCCGCCTGACCTGAAGGGCACGGTGGACGATGACCCTAACATGGTACATGCGGTCCATTTCTATGATGGACTCACTTTGATGACAAAACACTGGTGAGCTCCATCTTGTAATCCTCGCTATCCAAAATCATGTATGCTAACGGCTCTAGGAATCGCCTTTATAATGTGGATGTGATTGGTGTTCTTCGGGGCAAGTATTGGACGCCAGCGTTTGCTGTCAAGATTGGAGAGTCTGCAATTCGCAACTGCCTGCGGGATCAGCTCAAGTTCCTGCGTGAAGAGAGCTTGAATTACATGGGCAACCACCCGTTGCTATATACCGAGATCGGTATCCCCTATGACATGGATGACAAGAGCGCCTACAAGACAGGCGACTACAGTAGCCAAACTAGTGCTATGGATGCTAATCACTATGCGCTAGAGGGAAGCACGGGCAACGGATTCACCCTGTGGGTCTATGCAACTGAGGTAAGAGGCGATGTCCCCATTTGAATGCGCGTGTTTTATTAGTCTCTAATGATTTGCAGAACAATCATCAATGGGGTGATTTCTGGAACGGCGAGGACCTATCCATCTGGTCGAATGACGATCTTGAGCTCCCTGGTGGCGCCGAGACTCGCTCACTTGATCCCACCTCTCCCGCTTACTCCGAGAGTCATAGCAATGGAGACCAGCCGCAAATCGACACCCAGAATCTCAAACGAGCTTTGACATCTCCTTCTATTTCCAGCAGCCTTGCTCGATCTCCCAAAGGCTATCGTGCGGCAGAGGCCTATCTCCGACCCAGTCCAATTTACGTGAGTGGACAGTTGGAGAGTCATCTCTTTGATCTCCAAAGCTGCACCTTCACGATGTCCTTGACAGCACAGGCGGCAACTACTTCGGAAGCGCCTACGGAGATCTTCCTCCCAGACTTCCATTTCCCGGAGGACCAGACAGCGATTAGTGTGAGCGGTGGGAAATGGCAACTGGATGTGGAGGAATCTTCCAGGATCCAACGCCTACGATGGTGGCATGCGGAAGGGGAGCAAGACATTAAGATTGAGGGATACAAACGCAAGGTCGGCGAATATTCTAATTCGGTCGAGGAGTTGAGCTACCTGGAGCAGTGTCAGCGGGGCCAATGTGTTATGATGTGACATTCAACTTTATTTCTCCTGCTTTGTTTAGCGGTTGGGAGATCTTCACTTGCAATAATAGTAGTACTGGCAGTAGTCCATCTGTGTTTTCCCTAGTAGTATGTACCTAGATACCTACTAACTAACTAGTAAATATTACCTAGGTAGAGTTATGCAGACCCAGATCCATGGATGACCCGATGCATAGTACTAGTAGTAGAGAGAGATAAGATAAACAACCGGTGACGACGGAGGGGCAAGCTTACTATTAGAATGACCATGCACTAATACTATAAAACTTGAAAAAAAAAAGAAAACATAATCTTTCCAATTGCGAACCCGACGTTGTTTTTGGAAGGGCGAAGAGAATTTAGTGGAGCGGTGTGGTCTGTGTTTGTGCCTGTGCCTGATGAAGGAAAAGCTCTCAGCCCCGGGGCATTGGCATTGGCACCGCGAAAGCCTTCTCCGGTTTCCCTCCCGCCCACTGGCAGTTACTCTCTTGCAAACACCTCAACAACCCATTTTCTCACCCCCACCTCAATCTCGACCCTCCCCCCTCCACATTTCTTTTTGATATTTGTTCTTTGCGTCTTTGACCTTGGCCTTGTTCCTTGAATGGCACCTGTTGCTTCGTTCCACCACTAGAAACAGTCCTATCGGCCAGGGTCAACAAAGTATCCAAATAATCCCTCGCCTTGGAGCCTTGGATACTACTCGGCTCATGAGAAGATAGTTCAAATCCCGACCTGACCTGAACTGCACCGGACGAAACCCAACAAGAAAGACACCGACCATCCCCCGCTTCACCACGCCCGCCTATTTCGCACCTCCCTCGTGCTCCCGATACCCTCTCCCCCTCCAAACCCCGTCCCGTCACGCCCCGCTCAACACAACAATCTTTCTGCACTCGGCGTGCCGACACGATGGCTGCCGAGGAGCTGTCAGATGCCGGCATGGCCGACATCATCCGCGCACTAGAAGTCATTCATAGCCCAACGTCGACGAATGAGCTTCGCAAAGAGGCCCTGACATTCGTCGAATCGTTGAAGGACAACGATGCGGCCGCCCGGAATGGTTTTCTCCTGGCATCGCGTACGGACCATGCCCCAGTGGTGCGATACTTCGGTCTCACTCTTCTGGATCACGTCCTGCGCCACCTACCTTTCACCAATTCCGAAGACGCGATAAACATACGATCCATGATCCTGCAGCTCGCCGAGAATACACGCGCCGAAGAGCCCAATTATTTCCGCAACAAGATTCCCCAGCTGTGGTCCGAGGCTGCTAAGAAGAGCTGGGGCCTGGATTGGATGGACATGGATACTGCTTTGGTCAAATTTTGGGGATCGTCTCTCGTACACAATGAGCTCGTGCTCTCGGTCCTGGAGACCCTCTCGGAGGACGTCTTCTTTCGCGAGGATACCGTCTCTTCGCTTCGTGGCTCCGAGTTGAATCGTGCTCTCGTGGAGATTTTCACTCCTGCTGCGATTGTGGAACAAATCAACCCGGACAACAAAACGAACGCGACGCTGCGCTGCGGTGACGAAGGCTGGCTTGTCCGGATCTGTGAATTCCTAGATAATTGTGTGCAAAATGCTTCGAGCTCCTCGCAGGCTCGAGATGCTGCTGTAAAGGCTTTGACAACTCTGCGATCTGCGCTATCTTGGTCTATCTACAAAGCTGTTGTGGCTTCCCAGGTTGTCTCAAGTATCTTCAGGGCATTGACTTGCCAAGATGATCAGGTTCTCCTCGTAAGAAAGGATTCTGCTTGAAAGGAAATAAATTCGCTGAAGGCTAACATCTTATCTAGGCGGCAGTCGAAGCTCTTCATTCCCTATACGGAAGAAACAACATGGGAAATGAAGACTCGCACGGTCTTGTCTGCTTGATCTTCGAACCCGATTATCTCAATACCCTTCAAAATCTATACCAATGGTCAATCGTGGAGCCTGACGACACGGATGAGCCGAAGTACTTGATATCCAAAAAGCTCTCTGAGGTAAGATCTTTCATTTCCTTATTGCCCGAGTAGCCCTATACTAAAGTTTCATTAAGATGGTATCATATATAGCCGGATGCCTGGAAGATGATAAATTCCTCCAAAATACCATGAATCGTCTGGACCTCCCGCTATTCTTCAACTTCATGGTGAACATCATGCAGCACCGGAGCTTGATTGTTTCCATTCCCGTACTGCACCTTTGGTCAAGGCTTCTTGCTATTAGCAAGATTGGCAGATCGGACTTTGTTCTAAGCTTGACACCTAGCTTTCTGAACATCTGCACGCAGCGCTTGACACGCTGGGAATCCCTACCCTCCGACTCAGAGGATCCCACAGTCCAATTTCTGACCGATGATATTGACACTCTGCCCGAGCGTCATGCCTTTGTAGGCAACTATCGCCGCTACTGCTCCTCTGTCATCGAGACCATTACCAAGAACCGCCCGCAGGATGCTGTTCGCGAAATCTTGGGCCGAGTCGATGACAACCTGAATAATCTATACAACGGGCTGGAACCGTTTAACAGTATGCTCATTTCCCATTATCACTATGAAGTATTAAAACTGACTCTAATCCTGCAGTGTCAACCTTCAACAAGTCGGCCATCTCACTCATGCGTGCGGACGCCCAGTTTGCGGTCGTCGAAGCTGTCGTCAAGGGGTTTAACAAGTGGCTTGATTCGCACGGCAAAGCACCTCAGAATGATGTACGGCTTCCATATTCCCCGCCGAGGTCCCAACTACTCACAGTATGAACAGGAGCAGGAACGCAGTGAGCTGGAATTTGCCCTGGAAAACTGGGCCTCTAATCTGATGCAACGGTCTTTCGATGTTCGTCTTCTTCCCCCAAAATTAATTCTCGACATGCTGATAATAAATGCAGGACCCTGTTCTCAAGCAACGCGTCATAAAATTGGTTGTGGATATCTCATCCCGTGCCCTGGACAACCATCCCGCCTTTGCGCTTAAGGTCCTGGAGCACATCCTCATGACCCGTCTTCCGGACCAACCTGGATATCCTGCTTATTCTGAAGCCGTGAAAGAGCTTCATGGCCTTGCCAGTCACGAACTTCGTCGTCTCGCAATCCGCTATGCGGACTATTTCTCAGTGAGTGTTGCTTGTTTGAAGAGACGACTCGTGTTACTGACCTATAACCTTTAGACGTTCTATGATTTGCTAGAGCCGAAGATCCGGGAAATTACTCAAGCGAATAGAGTAGACGATAAACTGCAAATGGAACTGACATCCATTCTGCTGATCATTATGTGCGACCCTATATCTTTCGCTCTGGTATTCCTACGCTAATATTTTCAAGGCAACGCGCAAGCAATATTGATCCTAACCTCCGTCAACAGCGACTTGGCGCATTCCTCGAACCTATCCGCGAGGCTTGGCAAGACGAATCTTTCAGACAGACCAGTTCCTCCTTCGACGGATTCTGCAGGATGCTGGGATTGGAAAATGTTGGCTCATATATGCAGGCCAAGCAAGCTTATAAATTCGCCGATTGGTCGGAGGTGATCCTCGATGAGGAAGGAAAGGTTGTGCAGGAAGAGATGACAAGGAAATTCCAGGTAGGAGACACCATTTCAATGGATTTGCCCCCTCATCTCTAACCAACAATTCAGATGCTGCCACTTCGAGGCACAAAGACTATGTTGGCGGTTTCCACAGACAGGCTTAAGAAGACCTCGCCTGCCTACTCGGTTGGCTGTGATATGTGGCGTGATCTCATTCCACAGATTCTCCCGACCCTCCTTCAACTCGTCACGTAAGTCACTCCAATCAAGTATTTACTAACCAATGCTAACTTTGAAATTTCAAGTCATGCACACGCCTTCCACAACCCTGGCAATTGGGCCGTCAGTGATGAAATGCGTGCTGTTGTTGAGCGGATCTTGACCGACCGATTCTGGCAAGCCGGAATTTCGAGCGGCAGCCGCGATGACTTTTATGCCAGAATCACCGCATCCAAGGCCACCATGGAAGGATTTGCTTCTTCTGTTCGTGGCAAAATCAGAGCAGTTCGTGAATCCTGTTACTCAATGCTGTTTAGCATGAGCAGAATGCGTGACCAGTTCTACGGGTTCGCTGAACTGCCCGGCCCCCTGTCTCAAGCTTTATTTAAAGACTCAGAGCATCTTTCCTCCCACCAGTACTCAGTTCTGCTGAATATATCCCGCTGCCTAATCGACGACTGTCCTGTCCAGTACCGCAGCCACTTCCTTCCCCCCCATGCTTGCCACGTTGTTCGGCAGCATTGACCGCAAGATCACGACTGAGTGGCAACTAATTGAACAGCGAAAGAACGGCGTGTCGGACGGCGACCTCACAGACGAAATGAAATCAGAGAGCGTTCTCCGCCAGCTCACTTACTCCGCTGTTATCATGGTCGCTAGCTTGTTCGATCCCCAGAGAGGAGGTATGATAAACAACAACCGCCCGTTTAAAAAGCGCCCATTGGGCAATAAACCTTGCGGGGCCTAGGACTGTGCCACTGAACTAATGCTCATTAATAACCCAGACCCCGATGGTACCGAATCTGACCCCAGCGCCCCCCAGCCCACCCCCGAACTTTCCGACTCCATTCGCCACTTTGTCCTTTCTTCTCCTGAAATTTTTGAGCCGCTCATGCTTTTCTGCACTCATGCTCTTAGCATGCGAGATACCCGATGTTGTAGCATTATCACTCGTGTTATTCGATCGATCCTTGCCGATTTCGCCCCTCCCAACAACAGCGCCACGACCATGACCATTCGAGAGTTCATCTGCACAGAGGTACTGAAGGCTTGTATCACGTCTGTCCACGAGCCCTATTTCGTCGATATGCAGAAGGACCTGGCTCAACTCATTGCTTCCATTTGGGTTCTGTATGGATTTGCGAGTGAAACACCCAAATCCGTGCTCCTGAGTCTTCCCGGGATCACTGAACAGAAGTTTGTCCAAACAGAAGCGGCTCTGCAACGATGCACGTCACCTAGGCAGCAACGTGCTTTGATTCTCGACCTTCTCGAGCCCCTTCGCGGAGTGAGCATTGCTGAGCAAGGTAAAATTCTCGGCTCCCGTGAAGAGCGCCGTAAGGCCCGTAGCGCTCTGCAGGAGAGATACATGACCAACGAAATGGAAACCCAACAAGAAAGTCAACGGGTCGATATCAATGATGGCCCAGATCTCTCTGGCGTCGCTGACATGTTTGGATAAACGCTATATTAAATTAGTCGTTGAGAATATGCCTGTCCAAGTCTTGGTAACGATGCACTCCGCTACTGACTTTCGACTGGAATGGAATACCCCTTCCAATCCAAACCCTACAACCACATCACAACTTCACTCGACCGTCCGTTCAATCTTACAGTTCTTCTCTCCTCTTCTTACTTTCATGCTTCAAGCTTACGGACTACCCCTGGCGGCGGCGCTTTGAATTGTCATTCTATAGACGAGCCTCTATACGTAACATAGATGGCTGAAAAACACCATGATGATGCATAAATTCATTCTATAATAATCAAAAAAACAAAAACATTTATCATTCGACGTGCATCTACCGGCTCATCCTAGGTCCTTGCATTCTCAACACGCCTTATAACTGGTGACCACTACTTAACAAGTAGATAACCAAAGTAAGTATGTCTTCAATTCTAAGGCTTGACAGCCACACATCGAAGACCATAGTAAGTGATGTATTGAGACCCATCCTCTTTCGTAGTTCCACTCCGAAGCATACGACACATCTCATCCAAACAAGACTCTCTTTCCTCCTCGGTCTTCAAAACATTCAACCAAGGGTTACCAATGAGTTTCATAAAGCCCTTAAGACCACCATTGATCTGAGAATTCATCTTCAAAGGCTTTGGCTCGAGAGTAATATACCTGACTTCAAACCCTGCCTCCTCGAGCAGGCGTTTCATGTAGTCATCAGAAGGATGGAACCAAGGGCATGCTGCCTCTACCTGCTCGAGGGGGACGCCGTGGTTTACTAGTGAATAGGTGTAGGACGTGACCATCTCAGGAGCATTTCCGAATCCGCACATCTCGAAGAAGAACGTTCCTCCCGGCTTCATGGATTTGAAAATGGTTTCAATCGTAGAGACGCGAGTGGTTGGGTCATTCAGAATCCAGTGTAAAGCGGCATTGGATGATCTGGAAATTGTTAGAACACGAATTCTTTTTCTTCCCCCAGTGCGATTCCGGTTGAATCTTACACTTTATCCCATTGTCCATTCAGGATATCCTCTTCCTGGTCCAAGTGTCGACAATCAACGACCCGAAAGTCTGTGGTGACGCCGCCGTAGTTGAATGTTTTTGCGGCCTCGATCATTGCTGAGGAGGAATCTACTCCCATTACATGGCTTACTGCGGAGGAGTAAGAGGTGGTGAATTTCCCATCGCCACATCCGATGTCGAGGACTCGGTCGGTGGGCTTGAAGTCGATGTCCTGAACGAGAGTATCCGAGAAGCGAGGAACGAATGAAGCGACAGCTTCGTAGGTCTGTGATTTGTTAGGATATGAAGTGGAAGGACGTATACTTGAGAGATCCGAACCTCAGTAGACCAGAAGTCCTTTTGACGAGCATCAACCTGAGCCATATTGAGAGATTATTTTGAATCTTTTGTTTGTTTGACGAGAGGGTTGAGGTCCAGAGGCACGGAAACGACCGAATATGGTCCTCTTTAAATACTCTTCATACTGGCTCCATGTTGTCTTGGACAAGAAGTTGAAGGTAAGCAGCCCGGAGTTCCGGTTCTAAATCCGCAAGAGTACACAAGTAATCTGGGGATATGAACACACAAGCCAAATCAGCCATCATTACAAAAGGCCTTTTTCAGCCTTGGGGGACTATAAGTGGACCCGAAATTCAGATTCAGAGAAAACGCAAGCCACAATCGCATATTGCTTTGTCGCCGCTCTGATCATCCACTGGTATGAAGTGGCGTATTATGACAAAGGACGATGAGAATACGCCGGCTGCGGTCGTATCATTTCTCTAGAGCGCCTAGAAACAATTACCTAGGTACAGGGCAAATTCGTTATCCTTGACGAAGTGATTTCGAAGTGGCCAACTTCAGCCACTGCAGTCCATACTTTCCATTAAAGGATCATCTACAGGATGTGAGGCTTGCGAACCACAGATATGCTTATTTTTGTACCTGAACGGGAAAGTGTAAGATCTTGGCGTGAGACAACGCTTATTTCATGATCTCAAAAAACCGTGACGGCAAAGTCAAATATCTAAAACTTGCTTATCTTAGCTCTCAAAATATGGAGGGCAATTAATCAAGGTAACTAACTGTTGGCCGATAATTAAGTACTATCAGTACGGGTGGAAGAGTAAGTAATAGTCCGACTCTTGCAACATGAAGGGATGTCCCAGGTGTGAACCTTGAAATTATTTGAATATTTCAGTATGGAGAAATGAATTATTCCACACCCTATGTACGTACTATATTTTTGATTAATTTGAACCATTTTTCAATGGGCGGTCAATCAATAAATTCAGGTCATAATTCACATGATCTTTGCGTCGCCTCTCAAAAGATACACTGCGGACCTGTCCCTGACGTGATTGGTCGATAGAAAGATCGAAATCATATCCGAGTCGTGCTGTGCTTTTATACGTTATTGCTGAGTTGATCTGCTGAATATATATCTAGAAAGAACCTCCTTCAAGACCGGGCTGGTTACTTCCGCTCTGCTGAATATCAATGAGAGGTTGCTCATCACCGAGCAGCATTAAATTATCCCAATACCGGTCATAGAAGTCCACTATGCCTGCAGAGCCCGCAAAAAACCCACCAGAAGGTTGTGAAGTAGGGTCTTGGTCTTGGCCGAGGTAGAAAGTAGCATCCATCAAATCGACGTCTAATGGGCTATATTCATTTTGACCATATAACTGAGACTCTTGGGACTGCGGCGTGGGTATGACTGAAGGGGCTGGGGGGGATTGGGGGGACTAGAGGCAAGTTTTTAGTCAGTATTTATGGACCAAGTGTGACTCGATTGGGAAAAACTCACCATCTTGGATTTCCGCGTTGGGACTGAACAAGACTACTTGCTCTGGGGTATCTCCATGCTGTAGATGGGTATTTGTAACCTTGAGCATGATACTGAGCGCTTGAGCCATCTTTGACGCTTCCTTCGATTGTTGGCGCAGCTGATTCCAGATATTAAAGGCTCTCTCGATCTCTTGCGAGAGCTGATGCCGCTCATTGATAATTATCTGTCGGTCACTGGGTGACAGGTTTTGTTTCAAATCATACCGAGACTGGCATGATATCTCCAAAGAAACGATCATCGCAGCGGAGCGGAAGTGTGTGGCGACGATCGGTGAGAAGAAGAATGAGGACACGGAGCTAGACTCGAAAATGTCGGACTGGTGCTGTAGCACGGCCCTAGCAGCATCCAAGCACTCCTTCCGGGAATATGCGAATGCAGGATCCATGCGATGCTGGGCCAAGTATCTGCGGTGCAGATCACATCGGCACTTCTGATATATCAAGTCGATATTATAGCGGTCCATGATTGTATTAGGCGAATCTGCAATTGATTCACTTATTGTGCGGTATCTCAGCGGGGGTGGAGTCATTGCGTGGAGCGCTTTCAATTTAGTATCGAGCTGTAAGACTTCCTTGTAGGGAACTCCTTTCACTGAGCAGACCTCGCTCATGATTTCCGCATCCATGAACATTAGTCGATTCAAAGTGTTTGGAAACAGCATTGGTGTTATCTCTGTGGAAGGTCTAGATGGAGAAAGAGTTGTCATCGCTGGATCTAGGTCTTCATCAACCAGATTTCGAGGCTCTTCGGTATCAGTTTGGGATTGTGTTGTTGAAGGCGGGAGGCCAGCTTGAAGGGAGATGTAATGATCAAGAAGGCGAAAGGACATCCAAACACGACGGCGCATTTCACCATCAAAAACTGATATCTCACGATAATGTTTGGAATCTCTGTGATAGCCACTATGCATTGCCAGTCGATTTGCCAAACCGAGGAGAACAGAGGGGCCAACATGGTTGTCAGTGCTTCTCAGGATCTCCATAGCAACGTTCAAAATGACAGCTTCCATTTTGTATCGTCCAGGTGATGTGTAATTTGACATAGTCAAGCATTGTGACGCGATTCGGTGGTATTCAGCAAATGTTTCTGAGAGGTCACCATCGACTCGACCCGCCGTAGAAAAAAGTTGCAATCCCGTGCCCGCACAGAGAATGCTAAAAATATATGCGAGCCAATTGATGGATGCCGCTGGTGGGTTCTTCCAGAACTCCGCGTACTAAACGATAACAGGTAAGTGGAAATCTTGAAAACAACTTGAAACAGGGATACCGACTTCTTTGGTAAATGTGGGTATATGAGTGATCACTAGTTTCTTGTCAGCTTTTGTTCATAACAGGAGTAGCTAGCGGGATAGTATAAAACCTACCGAGGGTAGCCTCTTTCGAGTTCAAATAAGAGGATACCAGTCGATCAGCCACAGTCCTCGGAGGAAGTGCATCGAGTAGATCATCCTTTGAAGTTGAGATTGCATTTCCAAATAAAAGTACCGGTCCGGAGATTTCTGGAAGACAATGGTTTTCGTCTTCTTCTTCCTCTGGTGACGTGTCTTCAGTTAACTGGAGGTACTCTCTAACCTCTGCAATCTATACTTGCGTTAGCTCGCGTTCAGGACGGCTATATTGGTTAATTTATCAGCCTACCTGGTGCAAGACTGCTTGCCAGTGAGTCGGGTCGACATATCGAGTTCCATTTTGTCCATCTTGATTGACTTGCATAGTCCCAGGGAAAGTAGGTTCGGGTAAGATACTAGTATCTCTAGTTGGCTGGGTCACTTGCTGAGGCGCTAGTATCGCAGTCCCGGGGGCTAATCTATGCTGCTGAGAATTTGTAGCAGATAGCTTGCCAATCTGAGCCTCAATTTCTTGTAGATGGTGCTGTATGCCTTGAGAATGTTTCTTGGTCATGTGCTGCGGACCTGCATAGTGACACATGTACATTCTATTGTGCTTGATACAGTTATCACAGGGATGTTCGCGATTACATTTCAACCTATGCAGCTAGTCAGAACCATTGGTTCGTCCACCATCGATTGCTTACAGGGCTGTGGTAGATCACAGACATACTTCTTTTGGCGACAGGTTACGCATGAGAGAACGGGCCTTGGCTTTCGCCTTTTCACGGGAGGGTCCGAGGAATCCATGGCGTATTGACAATCAAAATAAGTCCGAGTGGGACGTGAGGAGGAGATCGATGATTCGAGGGGGTCGTTCACAGAGAAGGGCCGCTTGCCACGCCATACCATTCTAGGACTAGCTCCGGACATATTTCGAGACTAGCGTCGGATTTGACTGAACGCCCCACTTGACCATCTTCAACTCTTGCCTCAAACCACCCCGGACAAAGCCAAGCAGCAGGGCTTATAGGCAATTTCTCCATCGGAGATAGATGTGGCTTTTTTATATATACCCCTTGGCATCTGGATGGTGTATCCACCAATTTATCCTACTTGTTCTTCTCAAGTAAACTGTACCCAACTTGAACGCTGATACTACTCTATACTTCAACTTGACCCAACTTCCACTCTGTGACCAATGACGACAAATACTATTACTAGTACCATTGCATTGGATCAGGGACTACTCGGCGCTTTTCAGAGCCAGAAAAAACAACAAGACAACTTTAATTGGGCTACAGCAATGGGCAACCCTCTCCCTCATTCCCCAGCTGCCCCAGCCCTTAGCTGGGCAAACATGCCAGAAATCCCAGAACCTTGGGAATTGCTCGAATCTCCGCAAGTCTGGGTAAACGGCGAGAAAATACCTGGCAATTTGATTTACAACAACACATCGACACCGTCCTGTGACTTCCAGTCAACATTCTCCTCCACGAATAGTCCGCTGCTGGGCGAGACAGATACTTTCAATACCTTCGCCAATGTCGACTTCTCTCTCCACTCGTTAATCCCCACAATTGAATCACACGGTCGTATTCCATCCATAACAAGTCAAAAGGACCTTGCTATAAGGAATGGACTTGGTTCTTTAGATGCAGTCTATCAGCAATCGTCATCACCTGTTTCCCATCCCGAAGCATACACATCCGATCACGTCGAGGCCCCTCAGAAGACTCGAGCCAAGGCAACGAAAGATCGTTCACAAAGGCATACGACAGTCGGAAGTGATACTCCTTCTTCACAGGACTCCGATGAAGAGAAAGTCGCAGAAAGGCGGCGGAAGAATAAGCTTGCTGCCCGTAAGCTCCGTCAGAAAAAACTGGACCAGGTTTCGGAATTGGAGGCTCAATTGGAAGAAGTTAGGAGAGAACGAGATACTTTGCGGTTAAGAGCTGCAAAGTCAGAAGGCGAACTCATGGCACTGAGACAAATGATTGACCAACGGTAACGGGTGGATGGTTGGACGGTAGCGGGCAGATGGCGATAACTTTGATCTAATGTATACTTACTAAACTGATGCCACTACTTCGGGCGTGAGCGAGGCCGGGAGATCAGGCACATAATCACTGAGCGACTGATAGGCAGAAGCATCGGGAAATATAACGATTGAACGTATTGAAAAGTCAATTGATTGCAAGTTCAAACTAAAACACTTCCAGTAATGTAATATCTACAGTATTTTGCTCGATCTCATCTCATCGGGCATATTCTCTCTCCACACCTCCTTGGTGAAACAGTCCTTCGTTTCTCCCACAACGCATCTTAATCAGTCTTAATCAACTCCAGCTCACTGCACGCAAAGCAGTGGCATTACCCAGATACACCATGTTGCTGAATCATATGAAAACAACGGCTGCAATAAAGGCAATTACCACAACTGGTACCAGGCCTTGCTAGCCGCGGTCATGGGCGGGGTATAGGTGATGGTGGGAGGGACAAAGCTGTACAGACCAGGGAGTTAGCAATGGCACAAGGTAGATCATATGATGTCCTAGTCAATGTAGACTAGGTGAACGAGGACGTACCGGTCGGCGTTGTAGATCTTCTGCTCGCTGCCGAGGAGCTCCACCTCGCGGGCCTGGTTGGCGAAGTGACGACGGACTTGGTCGCGGTCCTCCTCGGCCTGGAGGAGAGGAGTCAGGTACATACGGGCCCACATCTTCTCACGGGCAAGTTCCCTATAGCAGACAAAGAGGAATTCAGTTAGTCTCAGATTATCAACTGCGTCCGGCCACTCGGGGTGATCCTTGAATGCTCAATTGCTCAGGGTTTCGGCTCGTTCGGACGGAGGGAGCTCGTCATCGCGCAAGACGTACCGTTGCTCGCGGGTACCCTGCATGTACTTGTAAGTTCCCCAGGCCATGATCATGTGCATGCCGGCCATGTAGACCCATGGCTTGAAACCGCGGGTGGGGATATTGCGCTAGAAGATCGGGCGATAGAGCGTTAGCACAAGGGTTGCTGAGGGAGAGCGGGTGGCTTGGCCCAAGGGTCTCAATCGCTTCGAACCCGGCATTGAGAGCGTACCTTGTATTGGACTTGAGCGTAGCCCCCCCACTGGGGGCATATCCTGAGGCATAATGGCGGTAGTGGGCTTTTTGAGGTCACTGGGGTTCACTCCTCGCGAGTCGCCGGGAGAAGTTGGTGATGGCAGGTCACGTGGTATGCACAGTAATGAGCGCTGTGGGGACGCTGATTGGCTGACGCGGAAGGTGGGCTTTTCCTCGCGGGCTTCATCTACAGCTCTCTCCGCCCAGGTGCTCACTCTGCCAATTTTTTTTAATAACGAACTGTGCTACTCTTTGAGACAACTTTCACACAACACAATGTCCGATGACGAACGGCCACGGAAATTAGCCAAGATCGAGAATGCGGGCGAGTCCACAGAGCAAGAATTTGGGCCTGCCATGACCGGTGCAGTCCCCGCCAACAATGAGTCGGAGAAAACGGATGCGCAAATCACCAACGAATCTACCCTTACGAGCTCGGAAATCCCTAGAGATGCTACAAAGGAATCAACCGAGACAGCTCCAGCAAATGAAGCCGAGGAGGGCGCACCAAAAATCTCAAAAAATCAACTTAAGAGGCTCCGCCGCCAAGCAAAGTGGGAAGAGGAACGCGACGTTCGCAAAGCAAAGCGCAAGGATCTGGCACAAAAGAAGAAGGAGCGACGATACGAGGAGATAAAGGAGGCGCGGGCAAATGGCGGCGCAGAGGCCGTAGCAGCTCTTAAGAAGCAGTGGGGTGGAGCCAGAGGAAAGTCTAGACGCTCGAAGCTTCTGCCATTTACAATTGTCGTCGACTGCGGCTACGACGAATTGATGACTTCAAAGGAGCGCATCTCCCTGTCGTCGCAATTGACTCGCATATACTCTGATAATACCCACTCACCTTGGCGCGGAAACCTAATCTTCTCGACCTTCGACAAGCTACTCAAAGAACGTTTCGACACTACACTTTCCAGCCACAAGCTCTGGAAGGGTATACAGTTTATACCCGAGGATTTCGTGCAAGCTGCAGAAATGGCCAAGGGACATATGGCATCTCCGCGCGGTGGTAGGCTTGTGGGACCTTTCGACAAATACCCAGACGCGAAGCCAGAAGACGGAGAGGTTATCTACCTGAGCAGCGATAGTGAAAACACTCTCACGGAGCTGAAGCCATATTGTACATATATTATTGGTGGACTGGTGGATAAGAACCGGTACAAAGCAGTCTGCTACAAGAATGCCGTGGGAAAGGGTGTTAAGACCGCGAAGCTGCCTATCTCGCAATACATCAAAATGACAGAGCGCTCGGTGCTCACCACAAACCATGTGGTGGACATAATGTTGAAATGGCTGGAATTGGGTGATTGGGGTGAGGCATTTATGAAGGTCTTACCCCCGCGAAAGGGAGGCCAATTGAAAGTCAAATCTGGGGACCAGGACGATGGGAATGTGAATGCCGAAGCAGACGGCGGTGCCGAGGAAGAGGTTGTGGAGGACGAACAAGAGGAATCGGATGTCACTCTGATGGAGCAGATCATGGCTGATGCAGCTGGCGAGGAAGAAGACGAGCACGAATGATAATCCCCGAACAAAGATCGAAGATCCAGATAATTCGTAACGAGTCTGTCCATTATCGATTATAAATGAATTGAATCATGTACGGTTGTCATACTCGTTCTTATACTCCTCCCCGCACATGATTAGCCAATTCTTCAAGCTGTTCGAATTTTTGAAGCTGTTGTAGTTCTTGAAGTTGCTCAAGCTGTTCGCGGTGTTCAAACTGCCCTCGCTGTTCAAGTTGGCCCGTCTTTTCTATCTGGTCACGCTGCTCCTGTTGCTCCTTCTCGAGTTTCTCCCGCTGTTCCTTTTGTTCACGCTCAAGCTCTTCTTTTTGTTCACGATGCTGAATGGCGAGTTTCTCAAGCTTTTCGCGCTTGGCACGCGCTTCGGGCAACTCAGCCTCACGTCTCAGCCGTTCTTCCCGTGCCCAGGCCATCTTCAAATTGTAGATGTCCCTTGGAATGATCAAAAGATCGGGATACCCCTGCTTGAGAGCGGCAATAATTTTGCGGGGCGGCATGTTTTCAGAGACTAGGAAGTTGATCATCTTCTTCTGGTCGGGCGTGATTACGCGAGCGCCTGGATGATCAAGTAGAGTCTGCTCCGGCTCGTGGTTATGTTCACCATTGAGCACTTTGATATGCCATTTGCCATCGGTGCTGTGAAGAGTGGATTTCCTTGCATATAATCGAAAGTTGCATCCGGTTTGTCTCGAGTTAGTCTTTCTGCGCTTTTGTCCGTCTGGTGCCTGAATCCGATCTTTGTAAACGCCACCCCGGTCACATCCAATATAGATGTTTCTCTCCGGGCTTGATCTTTTGATTACAATGACGTAGCCTTTGGATATTGCGTATTCTCTGACGACCTTGAGCATCTCCTCACGACTGTCATAGACTTGGTAGTAGGGAGGATCGGCTGCGATTTTGGCTGCCAGAATTGCTGTCTCATTGGGATCCTGACGGCCGGCTGTGGCAATGGATGACCCGTTGGCTGCGACGGTGGCTGCCATGTTGGACTGTGCAAGGAAGCTATTAGGTGGTTGAAATACCACGCGTGAACTATGTGTATGTTAGTAGAGAGTTACTTTCTATAGATAGATGCTAGGGATGAAGGATGCTGAGACACGGTTGTCCAACCCGGGTTACAGAAAAGCCCACCTCATTTGGAAGAAAAGCTGGCCGATAATCAGCACCTTGTATATAAATTAAATTTATCCGACAAATAAAGATCGACGGATCATGGCGTGGTGGGTGTAGTGATTGGAGTGCCGGAGGTTCGATAATCAGTTGGAAACTTGTTAAGGACACCCGGGGCGAGTTTTCGCTACGGACACTTCGCGGCCATCAATAATAACACGTGACCCAACACGACTTCCGGTACTTTGTTGTTCCGGCCATGCTATCAGCCATGATTACGATATCATATCTGTTCCCATGAGCCACATCCATTAGCCACTGTGGTACCAACGCCACAAACGCCACAGACAATGACGGAGGCGACTTTCTGTTTTGGTGATGGACTCTCTCTTTCGTCTTTGTGTTTCTTTTTTTTCCTCTGCTCTTTCTCTCTCCAGGAAAGCAACCACCCTTCTCTTTTGGAGCTCACCCCTCTACCCTCCTTTGCCTCTTTTCTTTTTCCCTTTTTATCTTCTCCCTGGTCTCATATAACCCTATATCCCCCCCCGGTCGTACCTACTCTTTTCTTCCCTCCCTCCGCCACCTGGTTAGCTGCCCCTCGCAACCATGTTTATGCTCCGCAACGGTAAGCAAACCCCCGCCTAACCCCTCCATACCAACCACCACATTTCCCCCGCCACGCATGGGAATTCGCTAATATTCACTCTGAATTTATTCTAGTGGGCAAATACCTTTTCGGTGACACTTCGAAAGAGGCTATCATTGAAATCCCCCAGGGCCAGTTGTATCTAGTCCGACCCCTCTCCCCAAGGGCTATTCGGAGCTCATCTTCAAAGACGCCGCTGCTACGATCCGACGAACCGGCCAGGAATTTCAATATCAACTTGTTGTTCAGAGAGCCTACGAAGAAGGCGAGGAGGACCTTGCTGACGACGAGGACGAGCAGGGAGCCGCGGACGGTCTGGACAAAGACGAGAAGGTTTTTCTACTCGATCAGTCTCTGCACTTCCGCTCTGAAGTTCGTGAAGGAGGTATTAAGATCCTTGCATGGGACGATCTAAGTGGTGACGAGGGTGATCTTTTTGAATTTATTTGTGACCCTTCGGTCCCCGCCGACAAACTTGCCACCTTTGAGCTTGCTGCGATCAATTGTCAGTACGAACGGAAGTTCCGCCGCACCGCCCTCAAGGCTACCGAAGACGAGCTTCAAGAGTTTTCCTACCAAGAGGAGAGACCTATCCCCTCCGCGAGTCCCATCCCTTCTCCGACTTCCAAGTCCCAAGCACCACCCCCAACCTCGGACGAGTCTGCTGCCGCCATGGCGCAAGATGTGAAGTACGCCCAATCCAAGGGCCAAACCAAGACAGGCGCCCCCGAGGAACAGCCCACCACCGCTCCACCCTCCGCGCCACAACCCGAATCCAAGGAGATTCTCACGAAAGAGAGGGCCGAACTTCATATGTTCGATTTCCCAACTGGAACTTTTGTTTTGCAGGATTCTGAGGTCGTGGCAAGTGTCTCTGAGATCGGAAATTGGCAATACTGGCTTCAGATTACTGGCACCGAAAAGGAATGGTTAGGACAAGCTGTTGTCGGTGACATCAATCCCGTGTTCAACTTCGAATACCTTTCGTTCATCTTCAACCACTACGCTGAAGATGGATCGGCTTACTCGTGGCTTCTGCGCTTCAAAGATCAGGTTTCCGAGGAACGCTTCCAGGAGGGTCTCATGCAGGCTCTCTGGGAACAACTTAATGAAATGAAGTGGACCAAGGTCAAAGAGAATGACCGAGAATATGTGCTCGATGCTTTCCAGGACCTCACAATGGAAGACGCCGATGCTCTGCCCGAGGAAGAGGAAGAAGAGGAGGATGAGGAAGAGGATGAAACCGACCAGGATGACGGCCAACGGAGTGAGCACTACGATAGTGATGAGGAGGAAGACGACGTTGTCACTCGCGATGAGGACGGCAATGTCAACTCCCAGCTAGCAGTCGGCTACAACGACCGCTCATTTGTGGTTCGCGGCTCTAAGATCGGTGTTTTCAAGCACACTGACAACAACAACCTGGAGTTCTCGACCAATATTTCCAAAGTTGAAACCCCTGGTGGCAAGCTATTCAGCCCGAAGAAGGTCATGCTCCATGCAGAGGATCGTAACATGATCCTCCAGAATGGCGATGATCCCAACTCGCTGTTCAAGATGGATCTTGAGTATGGCAAGGTCGTTGATGAGTGGAAGGTTCACGATGACATTCCTGTCGAGACATTTGCTCCTGAGACTGTTAGTCATACCCTCACCCGAATCAATTTTCATATGCTAACTAGTGCCACAGAAATTCTCTCAAATGACATCTGCCCAGCCATTTGTCGGTGCTTCTAAGAATGCGCTGTATCGCATTGATCCTCGTGTCTCCGGCAACAAGCTGGTCGATACCGACTTGAAGCAGTATGCTAGCAAGAACGATTTCTCTGCCATGGCCACCACTGAGAAGGGATATCTTGCTGTTGCTTCCGATAAGGGTGACATCCGCATGTTCGACCGTCTGGGCATCAACGCCAAGACTCACATTCCCGCTCTCGGAGAGAAGATCATCGGTGTTGATGTGTCGGCTGATGGTCGCTGGGTACTTGCCACGTGCCGTACTTATCTTCTTCTGATCGACGCGCTGCAGAAGGACGGCAAGAACGAGGGCAAGCTCGGATTCGAGAAGTCCTTCGCGAAGGATTCCAAGCCTCAGCCTCGCCGCCTGGGTCTACAGCCTGCGCACGTTGCGCAGTTCCAGCACGAGACCAAGCAGCCCTTGGCCTTCACTCCTGCCCGTTTCAATACTGGTGTTGACTCACAGGAAACATCTATCATCACTGCAACCGGTCCCTTCATTATCACCTGGGGTCTGAAGAAGATTCTTGCTGGTCGCAAGGACCCATACACAATCAAGCGTTATGGCGAAGATGTCATGGCGGACAATTTCCGCTTCGGCTCTGACAAGAACGTCATTGTTGCTCTTCCCAACGAGGTCAACATGGTCGCCAAGCGCACCTTCCAGAAAGCCACTCGCGAGAGTATCGCCGGTCCTGTCACGCCTGCCCGTGGACGCAGCGGCAGGTTTAGCAGCCACCTGGGACGAAACGACATCGTCAACTCGCCATACTAAGTCCACTGGTCCTCTCCATTTCTCTTTGGGTGGACTGTATTCGCTCTTCAATCTTCTCTTTTTGCTCCCTCTCCTTTATTACTGATTTGCTGTACCATTACCCATACCCCCTGCTGTTTATTGTGGTTTCATCCCTTCATTATCGATATTTTTTGTGATCTGATCTTCGGATTTTCGTCACTCTGCCTTTCCTCTCGTTGATCCTGCTGGAATTCATCGGTTTTTGGACTAATTGCAGGTTTCGATTTCCCCTTTCGCTAGCTAGGAGTAGGTAGCCCAGGCTCTGCCTGGAAGAAATGACAAACATTTAGATCCCAATAGTCTACTGGTAGTCGAGTAGGTAACTCCCGAGTCTTAATCATCAATCAACGGAGAGCTTTGGTTTTTTTGGTTTTTTTGTGAGCTCTCTGGCTATTCCTAAATTTAGATTTGTATTTAAAATCATTCTAGAATAAACAGAATAGTGAGAGCGTACATACGTCGAACAAGGTCTGAAATACTATGGAATCTACAAGAATAGCAAATTAAATTGTAAGTGGAGTCACAATCTCGTACTATTCCTGAAAAGGCATCTGTAGACAAGACAGTCGACAAATAATTATCGGATCAACGGCAAATTCAGCGGGGCGTATGAAGAACGTCATTGAATCAGCGCGGCTAATACTGTCTAAGCCTTTTCTTCTGCACGGCCATATTTATTTCGGAGTTAAAAGCTCGGGGCAGCCTGCTATTAGGTACTACTAGTATACAGTGGGGACGGTAAGCGTGGGCCGGGCGCGGCGTTAGACGGATATAGTAACTGTATTAAAGCCTGCCTGCATGAGGCGCTGCGGCGTTGTCAGCACGGCAAAATCGGTACATTGCCATAACTATTAGTAGGGCTATAGAGTATAAATAGGCAGTTTTAGTAGACTGTAGAATAATAAAGGAAACAAACAACAGACCATCTCATCACCACGAAAAGGAAACCACCCTCATCTAATTTGCAATGGCACACAACGCGAACTTGAAGATTGTCTTTGGGGCAATGACATTCGGTAAACCGAGTATGTCATAGCTTCGCCAACTCTGATTTGGCTTCATGTACATGGCCAAAAGCTAACCTGGCAATAGACACTCTGGGTGCCCGTGTTCACGAGAAGGAAGACGCAGCTCTTATTCTGGATACCTTCCAAAGCCACGGATACAAAGAAGTTGACACCGCCCGAATATACGGTACTGGTTCCTGCGAAGAAATGCTTGGCTCCTTGTCATGGCAAGAACGAGGGCTCGTCATGGACACCAAGCTTTATCCAAACTCGGAAGGAAAATGGGATCTCGAAGATTCATACACGCACAAGCCAGAGGATATCCGCCGGGGAGTGACAGCTAGCCTGAAAGCTCTGAAGAGCGAACAAGTTGACCTGTTCTATCTGCATGCGCCCGATCGCAAAAACTCATTCGAAGACACTCTCCGAGAAGTCAATCGTCTCTACGAAGAAGGGCGGTTCAAGCGTCTCGGACTGAGCAACTTTATGTCCTGGGAGGTTGCGCAGGTATGCGAGATCTGCAAGAAGAATGGATGGATCATGCCCTCGGTTTATCAGGGAATTTACCATGCTCTTCAGCGGAGTATCGAAGGTGAATTGATTCCCTGCCTTCGCAAGTACAACATATCGCTCTATGCATTCCAACCTTTGGCTGGAGGACTACTCACTGGTCGATACAAACGCGAGCAAACCGAGTTTGAGGAGGGCTCTCGATTCGATCCAAAAATCCTTCAAGGAACTGTCCACCGAAACCGGTACTGGAATGATGTTTATTTCGACGCTATTGAGCTCATTCATGCTGCTGCGACGAAGCATGGGTTGACAGATGGAGAAGTGGCGTTGAGGTGGCTGAAATTTCATTCTCAACTGAACGAAGATTTACAGGATGCCATCCTTGTCGGTGCAAGCAGTGTCAAACACCTGGAGACAAATTTATCTGATCTGGAGAAGACCTCTTTGCCAGAAGAAGTTGTCCAGGCTCTTGAAGAAGCTTGGCTGATGGTGAAGGGAGTTGCGCCTAAGTATTGGCATTAGGTTACTATCCACCATTTGTATTTGTTCGGTGAAAAAGCCTCGAGATAGATAAGATTGAGAATAATATATGATCCACTTTTATGATGTAACAGTTCCAATGAATTAAGCACTGCGTGCCTTTTAACTCATTTTTGAAATTAATTTCGGGAAGATCCGAGGATTGATCGGGACACTCGCACTACATGCCCTTTTGAATACGAGACTCAGGTCCCGATTGAGTCGACAATCGCGCGTAGTCTCAAAAAACGAGAAACCTTCAGTAGACCCGCATCGCTCTTTGGAAACTTATTAATCGATCGCCCGCACCCGAATCACGAAATCAGGAAACTCCATTCACTCCACGTCTTCCTCACCTTCTTTCCTCCCGAATTTGACCCCGCATCAACCTTCACCATGTCCTCGAAAACCCAGCGTTTTGATACGCTACCAGAGGACACTGTTAAGTCTAGTGAATTAAAGATAAACATCGCTGGCTTCCACGTTTATCTTTATGGTATTGATGAGCTATCCCCGCAGCAGGCGGAGAACACGGTGGTTTTATTCCATGTCCATGGCCGCACAAGAACCTACAAAAATGCCGAGCTTTTCGCACACCAGTTCCTTCACCAACTGCGGCAGCATGGAGAATCGAAGAAAGGTTTCGTCGTAGCGACCTTTGATAATCGCAATCACGGCGAAAGAGCGGTACCCCACTCCATCCATTGCTTCGTTTGAAAATATCATCTAACCATCTGCTTTCAGATTGATACAAAATCAATGTGAGCATAATTGCTGGGATGTGATTTGAAGGCTTTTATTTCTTTTGCTGACTCGATTGATAAAGTCAAGGATGGAAGCAAGGAAACGAGAAACATGCGTTGGTGTCCCTACCTCTGACTTCGGCTTTGAAGAGCTATGAACTGACGCAAGAACAGACATGATATGCTAGCCATGATAGGTACGAACTCCCCCATCAGTTTAGGAAAATGTTCTCACATTTATTTCCTTCATCGCAGATGGAATTGCCCTCGACATCCAAACAGTGATGAGATACCTCAAGATTTATGTCGAAGATCGGTTCAACCCAACCGAATTCGTCATGTCAGGACACTCACTCGGAGGCCACACAGCATGGAATATTCTTGCCGACGAACCGCGGATTAAGGCTGCCATTATCTCTGTGGGATCGCCGAATATGACTGACTTGCTGCTCGAACGGCTGGGCAAGCGAGACGGCCCTGATCCGATCCGATGGCCCGAATCGATAGCTCAGATGTATAGAGATCGGGATCAGCGTGTTTCGAACATTGAGAACAAGCAAATCTTACTTCTGAATGGTGCTCTAGATACGCTTGTACCGAGCAAATTCAGTGTGCCCTGGGTCGAAAAGTACGGCCCGAAGAACGATGTATCGTTGATTGTGTTCGAGAATACCGGTCATTGGTTCTCGTTGGAGATGATGGATAAGGTTGTTGAGTGGGTGCTTCAGAAAAATGTTTAAGACGGTAAATGCGTCGAAATCTCGAATTCGCTGTACGGGGAGCTTCACTCCACTTATGATTAGCGACTCTGCTCTTCTTTTATTCAATTTTCCTGTTATTTACCGGAGGGGGGGATCTTGAATAGATGATTCTCAGGGTAAATCCACTATCCTGTTGTCAAAAATTCACCGTCGGCGATATTTATACTATTAGACCGGGAGCCATGAGGACATCGGGAATAGCGGGCCAATTTAACTGACATGCGGGGATGAGACAACCAATGATTGCTTCTGTTCCAAGATTCCTACTATCTACCTAGACAAGAAAGTGATACCAATGATCTCCACTTGTATAGGCCATATTATGCCAGTGAGATAGACTGCTCGGTGCTAACCCCGACCCCGCATTTGAAGAAGTACCCGAAATTGAGCCGCGGCGCAGCTTTTTTCGGCATGACTGCTGGTTCCTTAAATTCAATTGTTATCTTCCTTCTCGGATTTTACTTTTTGATACCTGGATCCAACCTCAGACATATCCTACACTCTTTGCACCCAAAGAGAGCTTGCCCACAATGTCTGCCTATACAAGCATACCCCGGAAGCTTTGGGAACATCCCAATCCCGAGGCCACCGCCATGGCCGAGTTCAAGCGAAGTCTCGAAAAAGCCAAGGGCGTGAAACTGCCTGATTACAATTCCCTTTACGAGTGGTCGATCAAAAATCGAGCGTCCTTTTGGGATTTCTGCTGGAAATACTTCCCAATCATACACGAGGGAACCTACGACCAAGTTGTCGACGAGACCGCTCGCATTGACAGTATTCCCGACTGGTTCGCCGGTGTACGTCTCAATTATGCGGAAAACGTGCTCTTTACTGCGAGTCAGCCGGGGAATCCTGCTTCGACCATCACGACTGTTGGTAAAGAGGATGATAAGATTGCCGCAACTGAGGTTCGCGAAGGCGCTGCGGAGCCCGCCGTGGACCTCACCTGGCGGGAATTGAGACAGCGCACTGGTCGTATGGTCCAAGCTTTGAAGACGGCTGGTCTTACAAAGGGTGATCGTGTCGGTGTGGTTGCTAGTAATAGCATTGACACCTTGATTATTTTCCTGGCTGTTACGGCCCTCGGGGCGATCGTTTCCACTACATCCACGGATACAGGTGTGAAGGGGATCTTGGATCGCTTGCTACAAATTCAGCCCAAATGGGTCTTTTTCGACGACACAACTGTATATAATGGCAAGACTTTGGACCTTCGTCCGAAAATAAAGCAAGTTGTGGAGGGTTTATCGGCGATCTCAGAATTCCAGGGAGTCATCTCGGTGCCCAGATTTAGAGGCAAACCAGCGGAAATTAACGCAATTTCCCGAGTGCAAACCCTAGAAGCATTTCTCTCTGGGGCAAAATCTGATCAACTGGAATTCGTCCGGGTCAGATTCCGTGATCCTTTCCTTATTGTGTACTCTTCTGGAACAACGGGAGAACCGAAATGCATTGTTCACTCCGTGGGGGGAGTGATATTGAACACGAACAAAGAGGGGCGATTGAACCGAAGCATGAACTCGAATGCGACAGTACTTCAATACACGACAACTGGTTGGATCATGTACATGTCCTGCGTTTCAGCGCTTATCTTCGGTGCCCGGCCAATTCTCTACGATGGCAGTCCGTTTTTGCCAGACGTGAATATTTTGGTCAAGTTACTTGGGAAATACAAGTATGTTCCCACCTGGGCACGGACTAACAAATTAATCCTCCTCCTTCGAAAGCTAATCAATGTCGATCTACTTTAGAGTCACACACTTCGGAACGTCCCCTCGATGGATGCATGAACTGCGCAAAAATGGAATCAGCCCACGCAAGATCGCAGATCTTAGCAACCTTCGCGGCGTAACAAGCACTGGGATGGTTCTTTCCGAATCATTGTTTGAATGGTTCTACGATGAGGGGTTCCCCTCACATACCCAGATTGCGAATATCTCTGGGGGTACAGATCTTGCGGCCTGCTTTGGCATGGAAAATCCAATCACCCCTGTTTATTCCGGAGGATGCCAGGGCCCTAGTCTTGGAATTCCCATCGCTGCCTTTGAACAGGTGGATGAGGGTGTCACTCAGGTCAAAGGAATTGAAGTTCCTAATGGGGAGCCTGGAGAGATTGTCGCAACGGCTGCATTTCCCAGTATGCCGGTCAAGTTTTGGGGTGATGAAGAGGGGAAGAAGTACTTCAATGCCTATTTTGCACGGTTTGATAGTAAGTTTTCAATTCCTTTTTGGGGGCTTTCCCTGTTCGTGACTAGAGCTAATCTTCGCATCTTCAAGATGTCTGGACACACGGCGACTTTATTGCCATCAATCCATCGACAAAACAGGTGCTTTTCCTGGGTCGGTCTGACGGCGTCTTGAACCCGTCCGGAGTAAGGTTCGGATCTGCGGAGATCTACAATGTAATCGATACACAATTCCCCGAGGAGATTGTCGATTCCGTCTGTGTTGGACAACGTAGACCGCAGGATAGTGACGAGTCCGTCATTTTATTCCTCCAGATGCGACCGCCCTTCAAGGCGGATCAAGCATTGATCACTCGCATCAAGGAAGCTATCCGCAAAGCTTTAAGCGCTCGACATGTGCCGAAGTTCATTTTTGAAACCCCTGCCATTCCGGTTCGTTACTCATCCCTCTAAACTGATTTATTTGTCAGTCGCTAACATTAGTATCTCTTCACAGGTGACGGTCAATCTGAAGAAAGTCGAACTACCTGTCAAGCAGATTGTTTCCGGCAAGAAGATCAAGCCATCTGGAACGCTGCTTAACCCGGAGAGTCTTGATTTTTATTACCAATTCGCAGAGATAGAGAAGCTGGCTGATCGCAAGGCCAAGCTGTGATGAGTTTCTACTGCCCCGAATTCGTAGCGAAGCCATGAACCGCGAAAGATTAGCAATTTAGACGCCAGGACGCTAGATGAATCGCATTTTTTAACATTTCAAGTTTTTGTCACGTCTAGTTTCACCAGAATCTCATGAAAGATTTATCGAAAAGGGCAAATAAATAGAATTCAGGTAAATGTGACAATTCAAATATTTTGTTTATCCTATAATATAGCCCCAACCAAATCCTACGACGCATTCCACGAAGAAACATCATACACAAAAGCATGAACGGCCTCTATTAGACGATCAATAGAGTGCTCCGTATGCGCAAGATTAAGAGAAACAAATCCACGCCGACCAATCGAGATCCCACGATTAATCAAGCCGAAATAGAAATACTCCCTCAAAGCGTCAGCATCATCCCCGAAAAATGTACACCGATCGCACTCCCATACCCGGTAAACGACATCATTTTGAAATCCGCCTTCTTCAAGATTTCATTTGCCTCCTCACGAAGACGATCCCCCATAGCATTAAGCCTATTCAACTGCGCCTCTGTAATCAACTTCGCCGCCGCAACGGCAGCAGTCATAGTGAAGATGTTATTATTAAATGTGCCCGAATGCGTCAGCGCGATTGATTTATCGCCCGAATCAAACCTGCTCATTAGTTTCGCCGATCCCCCAAATGCACCGAAGGGAAATCCGCCGCCGAGATACTTTCCCACGGTCGTCATGTCGGGTATGATATCGAGAGCGCCCTGCATACCATGATAATGCATTCTCGAAGTGACGACTTCGTCAAAGATCAAAATCGCGCCGACTTCATCCGCAGCTTGGCGGAGCGTGACCAAGAAGTCTCGTCTTGCTGGGATCATTCCACCGGCCGCTTGCATGGGTTCGACCAGGATAGCGCCAATTTCGTCGGTGACGAGCGCGCGCGTTGCCTCGGTTGTATCATTATATTTCCCGAAGACGAATTGATGGGGTAAATTTATTGGATTTTCCCGGGTTGAGAAGGACATTGTTCCGCCGTGATAGCCATTATCGAAGACGAGGACTTTGCGTCGAGGCGCAGTCGCATTTGCGAGAGCAGTAGCCACGGCAAAGGTATTTGCCTCTGTGCCAGAATTGCAGAATCGTACTTTTTCCAGTGAGGGGAAGCGCGCTGTGAGGATTTCCGCCAGTTCGGCTTCTTTCTCGGTTATGCCGCCCAGACTGAAGCCTGTTGCCAGGGCTTGCTGGACAGCGTCCTGGATTACCGGATGCGAGTGGCCATAGATACCGGCCGAATAGTCGGAGACGAAGTCATCGAATTTTACGCCGTCGATTGTGGTGAATTTGGCGCCTTGCGCGGACTGGATTATCAGGGGGAATGGGGAGGAGACAAGGACAGATCGTGTACTTCCTGCCGGTAGGACCTTTTCGGCTCGTTCGAAGGCTTTCTTTGATTTTGGGTGTGTATTCTCGTACGATTGGATGAGAGTCTGGAGCTTTTTGACTAACACTGGATTGGACATTGTGGCGGTTTTCGGGGCAACGAAATCGTTTCAATCAGGAGGGTCATGCAATGCTTTCGACAAGTCGAAGGAATTGAGGAAATACTGCTGGACCAGGTTGTAATCTGTTGAGAACCTTGGAATCCTTGGCGAGCGGAGTAATAACGGCGCTCGACTTGGACGTCCGACATCTTCGATAAAGGTGGAGAAGCTGGCTCCATTCCGAGGCTTTGGTCTCTTTGACCCCGCGCAGGGGACGGGGTAATACGAGACTCGGAGTAGTAGTACTAGCAGTACTAGTAGGTTTGTCGGAAAGACTCCGTTTGATGAGGGCTAACTACTAGTAATAGTTAGTGGATGTTTGAAAGTAAAATCCGTTTGTTTGAATAGATATCTACTCACACCAGGGCGGCCATGCTAATTACTATGGCGGTGGATAGTAAGTCCTCGTTATCATATTTTGGTTCCTAGTCTGTAGAAAAAGCTACTGTGGGCAGTCGCCAAGGACACCTTCAGACAATGTGATAATTTAGTCATATCAAGTCGAACATCGAGGTCGACTGGCTCCAAGACCTTTCGGCCAAGCAAATATATTCAAGTTTGTATGTAAATCCCACTTCATGGGATAAAGCAATCAGGTAGATAGATGACCGAGGAACGAACGCTTTACTCTGATTCCACGGCATCAAAACAAAAAGAAGTAAGCAAAGACGAAGCATCTAGCTCCATTCTCTGCTTGGGTATTCGAAAGTAAATGCAGTCACAAAACAATACGCCGGAAGAGGATACCGATACCAAAGGGATTTCCTCCATGACAAACCACCACAGGGCTTTTCCAAGATTGCCCGGATGGTAAATTTTCGCAATCTTCCTTAAGAATTCGTTTTTATACTTTTCTTTTCGTGCTTGTTGCTTTTTTGCGCCTGTGGACTTTCGTGGAAGATAGTAAGAATGTTCACGAGCCGACATACCATACTTCGACGCCGAGAATATCAAACTTAACACCCTCATCGGAAAGAGGTTCATTTCCAAAAGTCTGCGAAGAGGCGCTGACGCCCTTCTCAAGGCCAGCGTCGACCCACAGCCCATAATGACCATCCCTATACACAGAACCGTATGAGCACGTATTCAATAAAACCAGATCATGCAGACATGATACTTACCCGCCTCCCAAGCTGAGGAATCCCGTTTCGCAAAACATCATATAATCATTAACACCACTATACGGGAAAGCCTTGAACCGAATACGCTCGGGAGTACTCGCGCCACTCCGCGACGGGGTAGCAGTCGACGAAGGCGAGGGCGGCGCCAGGGCCCCACCACTCGCAGCAGCGAGATTCGTTTTAATATTCATATTAAGATTGTGAGCGGGCGACTCGGTCGTCGCCTTCTTCGATTTCGAGTCGCCGCGGAACGTACTCCATCGTCCAGCGTGAGTTGTGTCCGCGGACGGAGGGGGCGGTAGACCGGCGCGTTCGAGCGCTTCTTCTGATTGGGGCCCGTCGCTGGAGAATGCCAGGCCTAGGCTGATCGGGGGTGGGAGCACGCTCGCGCGCCAGAGGAAACACTCGCCCGTGCCGAAGAATTGTGAGTCTGGATGCGGTGCGTCGGTCATGTAAGCGCCGAAGACTCCGCCGCTTGGGGAGGAGTCGCGTATCACTAGGACGTAGCCTGCCCGCGGGCTGCGGTGGGAGAATTGCTCGCAGTTGTCGTAGAGGGTGGATAGGGCGGCGCCGTCGCGGTCGAGACTGTAGGCGAGACGCCAGTTCTCGACTAGTTGTAGGCGGGCGGGGACGAGGAGACGGATTTCTTCGGCGAGGGAGCGGGTGAGGAGTTGTTGCTGCAGGAGATCCTCGCCTCTGGGAATGGTTAGGGCTAGAGGTGTGAGAGGTGGCGGTTGGAAGGGTGAAGCTGTTCGGCGCGGGGTGTAGACCTCCGAGGAGGAGGATGAGAAGGACCACGGCATGACGGAGGAGTCGGGGGCGGCGATGTTTGGATCTGTCAGGCGTCGATACAAGCCGGAGACGACGTGACTGACTGGGTAGGAGAAGTAGGAGCCGGCGTTGAAGGAGGGTTTTTGCTGGGGGTTGTGAGAGTCGGCTTGGGTGGAAGTTGAGGGGGTGTCAGAGGGAGCACCCCCTTGTGATGAAGACGACATACGGACAATTCGGGGGAGGTTTGAAGTTAAGTTAATCAAAGCAAAAAAGCAAGGAGCAAGGCGAAGGTGTGGAAGGAGGAGAGTTGGATTCAAGTTAGCATTGGCATCGGAAGTTCCCAAGGTAAGGTTGGACGCCAAATGGACTTATCGCTTATCATGTGGGGGCAGATCTATAACATGCCATATACCACCATTTAATAGTTTCACTGCATGATTTGGACTGATATCACTCTTCTCCCTTTGTTATAGCTTTCGCTTTGCTGCTGGTAATCAATAATTTCTCATTGGAAGCCGCCTAGTTGCACGAGCCCATCCGTAGGCGCAACTCCGACGGAGTACCTGTTGGCTGCTACTGTCTGAAACATGATCCAATCAATTGGCACTCGGCCACGGGGATCAATCTGATAAATAGAAGAACACTAGATCTACACTTCTTTCTCATTCGACCGGCCTTTCCGTCCGAATTGCCTTCCACAAGACGAATGACGATGTGGTGGCGGATTCGGACTACTAGTATATAGAAGACGCCGTTTCAATTCGAATGAATCTGACAAACATTCAAGTTTTTCAATATCGATATACTATTACATTCGAACAAAACTCGAAGCCCCCAACCGAACAAAAAATGACATCCAAATTCCCCAGCTCCGACCATTATCGCGCAGAAGTCGCCCAAATGGAAGATGACGCGGACACGCACAACCACCAAAATGATATTGGCGGTGGTGCCGCAGATATGGTATGTATACCATCGAAATCTATTGAAGTTGCTTGAAATTTGCAAAGACATTAATCCAACTTCAACAGAGTATGAACATGACTACTGTGCGTCAATCGCGCAGTCGACGCAAGTCTCATGGTCGGCGTTCACCCACGACTTCACGCAAGGCAAGGGCCAGCTCGGGTTCTGCGTCTAAGAGAAGGAATCCGTCGAAGAGTTATCACCCTCATAGACATCCAGAGGAATAAGGCTGTCGTGATATTATTGAACACATGTGGGGGGAGAGATAGCTTGACTTCCGATATTGATACTAGTATGAACCTAAGCTGGTGCTGGAATTCGGGACCACCTGGGCTACTGCTATGCAATAGCTGCCAGTACCAGTAGATCTGAAAGGTTCATATACATCCGCTACAGTACTAAACGAGGAAAGATAAAATTCCATTGTGTATTTTTGAGCCTTTTCTTTGTAATATTCTAGAGCAGGGTAATGACGGCGTCGGAGGGTATCATATTCAGATGACTGCCGGGATGAGGCGAATGAAAAACAAATCCGCTAGTTCTTCGGACGCAGATCTACCGTCTCGAATTCCAGTCCATTGACCTCAAACACATGGCCGGGTCTCAATGCTCCCGTATATATATTATCTTCAGCATGTGGGTGGAACAAACCATTCTGGGTACAGTTGAGTACAGTCTTCAATCCAGGCGGATCGGTAAGACGAAAGACCCCCCAGTCGGGGGTCTTACTCGGAGCGCAAACAATAGCGATACTCTCTGCGAGCATGACTTGATAACCACAGTGGGTGTGTAAGTCGCGCGAGCTCATGAAGCAGGTCTGCGACGGATGCGTGTGGATCCAGCCCAGCATCAGTAAGTCCTCCGAGTCACAGAACTCGAAAATAGCAGATTCGTTTGTTGTCTCGCACGTGTCTGATGTCGCGGTCTGCTCGGGGATAAGGAGCTTAGAGATAAACAGCGCATTCGATACCAATGTGCCGCAAAGGATTCCGCATGTTTCCAAGTTGCGCTGTGTGTTGGCGGCAACAGCGGACAGGAATTGGGTACGGAGATTTGCAGGGAGAAAGACGGAGCGGAGAGGACTACCGTTCTCCAAATATGCCGATGGCTTGAATGTGTAGCTTGCTGGGTCGAGATTGGACCCCGTAGACGGGGCCTCGGGCAAGGGTGATTTCCCAGGAGGAGGCGGTGGCGAGGATACCTTTGCTGGGAGAGCTGGTGGCTCTGCCGATGCGCCATCCACGAACGAGGCTCTGCTTGGCGCAATATGTTCCTTAGGAGGGAGGACTGGGGGTGGTTGTCGTTCGGCGTTCTTATCGTAAATGGCGATTTGGGCTTGCGGGACAAAGGGATCAAGGGCATTCTGGCGAGGGACGGTAGGATATTTGTATGCGGAAGAGACGCGGGGAGGAATATCTGGCGCAGTGGGCTTTTGGCGTGCGACTTTGGCCATGGGTTGCGCGGGCCCGATGTTGGTGCGAATATTCTGGATCCGTTGACTCAAGTCATCACCTCCCCGATCATCCGTCTTCAGAGCGTCCTCCCAGTTGCCCCATACACCTGCAGCTCGTCGGCTATCGTCATCGCCTTGTTCTTGGGTCCTCCGAACGGTTGCCCGGCGCGTAAACTCTGATTGCGCTAGGCGGACCGCAAGGTCCCTATTCTCGCCGGCCTCCAGGGTTTTGGCAACGCCAGTCAACGCGGGATCGATGACCCGATCTCGGGGCTCGGTTGTAAAGCTGACCTCCGTCGACAGTTTGCGTGATTGGCGATCACGCATAACTTGGGTGTAACGATCATATCTTTTGTTGATGCGCGGCTTAAGCGCCTCTAACTTGCGGAGATTCGTTTCTACCACTTTTTCAGCTGCAACTAAAGCCTTTTTATCCTGAGCATCCTTGAGAGAATCTGGGTGTTTGGCAAGGTGGACCAGAACCAGCTGGGCGTGTCGGAAAAGGAGAAGATATGCTTGTTCGTCGTGGCCTTCACGCTCGTAGATCTGAGCCTATTATGAAAGAATCGATTAGCTTGATGTATAATAGGCAGGGTTTCATGGGTTCATTGCGACTCAGTTACCTCGCGATTCAGTGTAGCCGCTGTCCGCAGCCAATACCTAAGTGGGACCGCGGGGTTGTACTCGTAATCCTGGGCGATGCGTGTGATCTTTTCGACACTCTGGGGTGGGCTACCGGCAGTGCCGAGTACGGGTGGATGAGAATTCATGGCGACGAGGTGTAAAGTGTCAAACGGTCGAAGAGATCCAGTGTGAAGGATGGGGGGTTGTTCCAAGATAAAAGGCCCCTCTTCACGCGAAAGTAGTCCGAAGGGGCATGATTGTCGCAGGTTAGGTGGATCAATCACCGAATAGTAGGGAATTGGCGAAACGTCAAGGCAACTGCATAAACACGGGCTTTGAAAGGAGAGAAAGAGAAAAGGTAGAAGATGGAAAAGAAATTGGAGCCTGATGGGTAAGAGGTTCAGTGCAGGTGCGAGTGGGATGCGCGGAATAACGTGGAGACCGCAAGGTGCTCTCCGCTTTTACTCCGATCTCTCCTTCTCCAACCCTTCACACCATGCGAACCGCCCTCTATACCTCGAATTGTTGCTCCTCATGATATAGCCAGATACCCCCACATCTTTTATATTCTTTGCTTTTGCTTTTCTTTTCCTTGTACAGCATGAGATTACCAGTATGGACTCCGTTATCACGCTACCCTGTGACGGAGCCGCTGAGCCTGATACCCAAAGTCCACAATAGAACTGTGCGCGTGAATGTTGTATCAGAAGAACTCATTGGTAGGGGGTTTCCTTTCAATCCCGCCGAAGAAAATTTCCCTTCAACAACCCCAGTCTGGTCCTGACAACAAGCTCTCTTAGACGACGTTTTCAAGCGACTATCGCCCTACCTCCAGAAACGAAACAGCAATGGGGACCGATTACCCCTGGATATCCTTGATCTATGGCCTGGCGCCGGTGTACTCTCTTCAAAAATCAACAATTTCCTGCAACCTCGCCGACATATCCTTCTCGAACCTGCTCTGAAGAGTTTTGGTCAATTCCTCGAACCTCTTGCCGCCAGCAAACCTTGCTATACACTTGAAGATATGGATATATACTCCCAAAAGAGCTGGACAGGAGTTTTCAGCAGACTTCTACCGGAACAACAACCATTACCGCCAAGAAAATCGGGCGACGTGCAGAAGAATGATACCCTCCTCGTGCTCGCCAACCCTGCAGTACCGAACTCCGAGTTAAATCACTACACACCAGCAAGATGGTGGGGCGCCCTCATGGAGGACTGCCTCCATCAATCCGGTCTCCATGAGTATGGTAGTGTCCGTATCCTAGCTGTGATGCCCCAAACCGAGGCGCGAATCGTCCTTCCACAAACCATGGCAGATCGCAATCGACCCGCTCTACTGACAGAGAGTGTGGCGTTAAGTGCAATCGAGGTTGCGAGTTCCAACGAGGACCTATCATGGGTCGGGCTGAAGGGGCTCAGTGTATACGACAGAGTTGAGAAGCGGGTGTTAGAGAGAGGTGCGGCTCTCCAGACTCCGCCGGGGCGAGAGATGCCCCCGATTCGGTTTGCGCCAGAACACCCTAAACCAACTAAGAAGTCGCTCCCACATACTCCGAGAATCAGCACGGAGCTGCACGAAAATCTCACAAAGAAGATGAACAGCAAAGAGAAGGCGATAGCCAGCAAGGCCCGCACCGCTCTTGGGGCCGACAATCGGGCCGCCTATTATCGAGAATTGACCATTTCGAAGCAGTTGGCTATTGATTCAAAGATGAGCGAACTGGCCCGGTTGGCAGCCTGTACCAATACACCTACAGCAGATCTACGGGCTATCGATGAGCAGATTGGGCTGTTGACCAAGGATTTGGCCGAGGTCATCGGCACCATCCACTACAGCATCCTCCGCATCAAGGACCGACTTATTGATGAAGAACGCGCTGCCCAAGCTGGCGAGGCCAACTTCGACGATGCTGCGTTGCTGTGGGACCGTCGCCCATTCGAGCCTCTCAAAATCGATACCACCGAATTATATCCTCGGGAGCCTATGTCGATTCTATTCTTCGAAGCTGATGAGAACTGCATCGCGGCGCGCAAACTGTCCAAGGTCGCGAAAGAGAGACGCACCGATGTGGCACGTTTGTTCGACGCTATAGCGAGGGTGTTTCGCGGCAAGAATGATATGTCGGTAGGGGAACTTATACAAACCCTGCTCCCGAACCTCACGACGAATCAGGTTGTTCAGGAGATCCCCGGTCTACTCGCTTATGCGGATAAACGGTTGAAATGTGATGTGGGTGGAATCGATGGGAAGACAGCCACGGCTGGCGAGGGAGATAGCCAACTTTTGGAAAGGATCGAATGTGATTTTAGTGGATGGAGAGTACGGACCCTTTCAGCCGAGGTGCTCTGGGATATCATCCTGTTGTATGAGCAGCACGCACAGGACCTGTCGGCGCTGCAGTTGAGTCGTGTGATTGGGGCGACTTTGACCACGTTTGGTGCGGGGGAGAGTTCGGATGGGCTGAAGAGGATGCACTAAAGGGATGCACGAAGGTGAATTACTCCTTTTCCTTGTTCTGTTGGTTGTATAGTGTATAGCATGTACAGTTTGATACCCTTTTGTCTTGATACTAGTATTTATAGAAGCACGGATGCAGAGCTGGGCCGGGCCGGGGCGCACGAGGGAAAGTGATTGGATGTGATTGGTAGTATCCAAAGTTTTGATACACCATACTACTGAATACATATACATATATTATAGAAATAATATACAAGTTGGTACTGCCAGTGACTAACTCCCTAGGTAAGCTACCGCCAATAACAGTAGTAGTATATTCAACAGAATACATCGGCTATTTGTATTTCCCCGTTACTAGTAGCCCCTCTCATACCCGCATGCAGTGGGGACGGTTGCAGCAGCCACCCTCACTAAGGGAGGGACTATACTACCCTAGGATTGACTAACTGCTACATTACCAGCTACCCCAGCTTTCTTATTTCCTAGGTAGCTGTGAATTGGTATTCTAGTGTAGTAGTGTAGGCTGGATATCACAACATCCAACAATACCCAGAGTAAATAGTAAACAAGAACAAGAACAAGGACGGTGGACCCTGCCGATCGCAGTTTGCAGGAGCTTTAGCATGACTTTAACCAGGATTAGCTGTAATTTCCCATCCTTTCATTTCATTTCCAATCTCCAATTTCCCATTTCCCACCCAAACCCACCGTTACCACCGTCGCATCCCTCCCTCCACTGGCGATCCTCTCTTCACTCACTGGTAAATCCTAAGGATCCCCTGCTGTCATTTCCCGCCTGGTCGAGACCGGCCATTTGACCCGCCGATAGGTGGATTGAACTGTCGCCAATCTCTGTTTTTTCTTTTTATTTTCCTTTTTCCGTTATCTTGCGCGGCCCCCGACATGGCGCTAATCGCCTTGTTCGCGCCTTTGCTTTTCCACGCTTTCGGGCGTTCACGCTTTGTCCTCGGCCACCTCATTCTTCCTTCCTTTTCTTTTCTCTTTACTTAATTACTCTTGCTCTTCTTCCTCTGATCTCACTCAATCTAACCTCGAGGAGCTTGGAATCTATAAAATCGATCCATTCCCGCCTCGCCACCACGTCATACCCGCTAGCCCTAAACCGTGGATTGCGACTGACTAGAACGAACGCCTCAACTACTTCGCTTTTTCGCCTCCGGTGGCGTTGATACTCCCCCCAGCACCCTCTGCGGTGCATTACTTTGCATCTGCATTTGCATAGTCTACACAGATCAAGCCTCTTGCTCCCCTGCTAGCATTATCAATTGTCTCTGGGTCGATTGGCTATAATTACCTCATCGTTGACTCACAAGGGCGCATTCCTCGATACTAGTAGTATCATGCCGGGTATGACTCCTCCCAGTTCGCCCATGCAATTGTCGCTGCATACTGGCCACGATGGCAAGGGTATATCGCACACCTCGACATCCGGCTCGAGTCTTACTCCCCCGGTTACACCAATTGGCAAAGAAAGCAGCGAGCGCATCGTCACCCCATTCTCAGAACCAAGCGAGGAACACTCAACACGTCTATTCAAACGCAACATCACCACCCCACTCCACTTCACAGACGAACTAGAGCCATGCCTCGACGAGCGCGGCCGTCGCGTCGAGTTCGGCGAGGGCGTCTGGAGTAAAGTCTACAAAGCGCGCTCAATCCCAACCACCACCCCCGCCACCCTCCTCAACACCCCACCCAGCTCCCCCGTCAACGCAAGCCGAGTCGTAGCCGTCAAGGCACCCCGTCGCGGCGACGCAGGCCCCATCCTGAAGACCGAAGCCCTAATTCTAACCCGCCTCGCCCTCACTCCAGGCCACGAGAACCATATCGTGCCATTCCACGGCTTTCACGCCGAAACCCAGTCATTGGTAATGGCTGCCGTCCCACTCGCCTTATCAACATACATCGAAGAAGCAGCGAATCGCGTCCGCAATCAGCCTATCGCAACAGCCACCATGTTCGACCCTTTCCTCGGCCCGGCCCCCTGGAAGGATTTGGCCCGCAAGCTGATTACCAGTCTCGGCTGGCTCCACCATACTGCAGGAATCATGCACGGCGACGTCAAGCCGCATAGCATCTTACTCCGTCCTATCGAGGTTGCAGAGGGACCAGACAACAATAGCAACAACGGCCTGAACGCCTTCCGGTACGAGCCGCTGTTGGCGGATTTCTCCGCTGCAATCGATGTCTCGCCAGACCCCGCATCAGAGGGCAATGGATCAAAGATGCTCTCCAGCTTCACGGCGCCTTTCTCCGCGCCCGAGGTTCTCAAATCGCTCAGGCCGGATAGTGGGAATCCCCCACCTGGCCCGGCTTCGGATGTCTTTTCACTGGCTGCGACGCTTCTGGCTGCGGCGACGGGTGATGTACTTTTATACCCCGGGTGCGATTTCCGGCGCCGGAATCTGATGGCTGGGGAGGGGCATCAGATTCTGGATTTCATTCGCTCGTTTGGGAATGGGGCTCGGGTTCCTAGGAATGGCTTTGTTGAGAGGTTGGTCCGTCCGGCTGTTGTTAAGGATCCGGCGCAGCGGATTACGGCGATTGAGTGGGTGGGTCTTGCGGAGGAGGTTTGTGGGGAAGAATGAGGGTGATTGGATCTTTTACTTGATCTGTTTGATCTTTGTCTTGATATTTTTCTATTTTCTTTGGTTTCGGTTTGCATTTGCATTGTGCTGTGATTTGGGAGGGCATTCGGAGCATTTGTTTTCTTTTCTTTTGCATTTATACTATACTACTACTATATACACTCGTTAGAGATCATATACCCGGTCAAATGGAGTTGAGGGACCTTGAAGGAAGTGAGGAGCACACCTGGATTACTGGATAAAGGTCAGAATTGAAATCAACAATTGATTGTTTCACACAATTCATTATTCGCGCACTATCCTATTGTAGTCACATTCTTATACTCCTGATTCCGCAAAACCAAGCATAGCAATCAAAAGGAACGAACACCTGGATACTCCCATCGATCCATAAATCTCATCCGAAGGCCGCCTTATTCAAGACACTTCGAATCTACTCATCCCCACCACCACCACCTCCCCCATTCCCACCCTCAACAAACGCCTTCAAATCCTTAACCCAAAGATCAAAATTAACCTTCAGCTTCGCCCCATACATCCACCTAACAACACAAACCATCCACCCAACCTGCAACTCCCAATTTCTCACCTCCGTCCCCCTTCCACCCTCCACCTCGACATCCTTAATCTCATGAACGCGCTCAGCCGTCAAAAGCGAACCCGGCATCGTCCCCACGGCCTCAAAATCCGACGCCCAGACAATTCGGCCCAGCGCCCCGGTCTCCGTATTCGGCGCCTCGTATTCTGTGACGACTAGGCCGGCATCTGTGGCGGCTTGGGGTTTTGTCGAGGTTGGATCCATGCGGACGTGGAAGGTTACTCTTGTGCCCTTTTGCAAAATTGGGGAGAGGGGCGCTGTGTCTGTGTTGGGTTGGGAGCGGATTGTCACGCGTGGTACGAAGGAGTTCCAGCTTGGCCATGTTGATGTGTCGGTGAGGACTTCCCAGACTCGGGTTGAGGGAGCGTTGATTATGATTGAGCTGCCTAGGTGGAGGCTTGCGGAGTCGGGGGTGATGGTTGGTGTTGGGCGGTCGGTGTTTGTGGGGTTTGAGAGGGGCATTGCGATTTGGTTTGGATGATTTGGTTGCAGTGTGGTTCTTGTGGTTGATGCGATGCTTTTGGTGGAATGTGGAAAAGTAGAGGAGGTCAAGTCAGTGACAATAGCTAACTGCGTCGGCTGGTTGAAGCTCCGGGGCTCCGACAGCATCAGCCACCTCCACTTAGCTTAGGAGTGCCACAGTGTGGCATTTAAGTGGGAACCACTGCAAATTAGTACACAAAACATGATACAATGGCTTAATGGCTTTTCGTCGGCTGTTATTTTCTTGGCGTGATGTTCGCACAAGCATCGTCCCATCTGGCCTGCAGCAAGGAGATCGTCGATCCCAGTTATTTCCACCAATTGGCCTCGACAACCCGGCCGCGGAAATAAAAGTCCGTCCACTCGAGGCCACGGCTGGCGCTTTCAAAGCTGGCTGTCTCCGCATTGTGGGGTCGATCCCCCGGGGTTGACGGCGATTCTTCCGGGGTTGGCGATGATCTCATACAAATAACTCTGGGGTAGATTATACTTCGAGGCAGACTATAAAGATGGCGGGTGTTGGCTCTCCAGATGTATCAATTCTAGCATTCATCATCGTTTGCTTTGTTCACAATGCTGATTCCACGCTCTGCGATCCTAGCCCTGCTATCTTCTGTGGCGCTCGGTGCTCCGGGCTTGCGCCGCTCAGAAACCAGTCGACCCCATCGTTGTGTTGTTGCGTCTTCTAATGGCACATCTGACGATACCCCGGCTGTGCAGAAAGCCTTTGCTCGATGCGCTAAGGACTCCGTCGTTGTCTTTGAGGATGGCGTTGACTATAATATCTTCACACCGGTCAGCGTCACGAATCTGAGCAATGTCGAGATTCGGGTGAATGGTAACCTTCACCTCCCTCAGAGCATTTCTGAGGTTCAAAAGGTGGTCAATCGCACGAACAGAGTTACCTACGCGGATGGCCAGCATTGGTTCACTTTCCAAGGACCTAAGATTGACTATATCGGCTCTTCGGATGTGAACAATGGCTGGATCAACTCTTACGGCCAGGCTTGGTGGGATGCAAACCCAGTCAATGGCACGGGAATTGACTCTCGACCCCATCTTATGAGCTTCAAGACAACGAGTGGTTCATTGAAATACTTCAAGTCTCGTAAACCTATTGCTTGGAATGTCCAGGTTGGGGGAGATGACATCGAAGTCAGCCACGCTTTCATTGACGCCGAGTCCACTGGATCATTCCCGTTCAACACTGACGGATTTGATGTCACCGGCACGAATATCCGTATCACCGACAGCGTGATTTACAACGGCGACGATGCCATCGCAGTTCAATCCGGATCCCACAACATAGTCTTCGAAAGAAATACCATCGGCTATCAGAGTCATGGTATGAGCATTGGATCACTGGGCCAATCCCAGAATGAATTCGCAAACGTCTCCAACATCCGTTTCGAGGATGTGACTGTTATCGATGCAGTCTACGGCGCACGTTTCAAGTCCTGGATGGGTGGACAGGGCCTGGCTAAAAACATCACCTGGAAGAACATTCGCGTGTACAATGTCACGTTCCCTATCTTCGTGACGCAGAGCTATCTCAACCAGGGTTCTTCTCAGACACAACTCGGCGATGGCCAGACTACTGGACGTGTCAACAATGCCTCGGTCGTGATGGAGAACTTCTCCTGGGAGGACTTTACAGGCACTATCAACACTTTCCGGCCCGGTGATGGATCTTGTGCCACTGATCCCTGTTGGTACAATGTTGGACTTCCTAATCTCAAGCACACCGAGGCTGTCATTATTGAGTGCAATACCGAGAAGTCTTGCAAGAACTTTGCCTTGAAGAACATTGAGTTGATTCCGCAGAGTATGGCGGCCCCTACCACGGTCTGTATCAATGCTACTTCGGCGCTCAATCCCGACTTGGGCTTCGACTGTCGCAATGGAACATTTGTTCCTTCCTGAGATTGTCTTTCTTTTGTTTCAGTATAGACTTAGACTAGCTGTGCCTGCCATTTCATACCATTGTTGATACTTTGATATCTTCGCTGGGAAGGAGCCGTCTGAAATGTAAACAAAACTCCCATCTTCTTCCTCTCTTCTCCTCTTCTCTTCTTCTCTTCTCCCCATTCAATCTTTCATCTCTTTCACGCTATACATTCTCTCACTTTCTATACCGAGTCGTATACATACTCGCAGTTACCAGTGATTGCTTAACTCACTCACTCAACCACCCATTCATTTATTCCTTCATTCGTTCATCACTTTCATTCATTTACTCACTCGCACACGCTCTATTGTTGACACTGATACCGCTATCGACTTGTCACCATGCAGACCTGCGGGTATCCACGTTCTTATCCTCTGCACTTCCCGCCATCACGTCCGGTTCCTCGCTTTTGTGTTTTCCGACCAGGGGGTGTTTTGGTTCCCCTCATTCCGATCGATGAACTTCCCAGTTGGCTGGAAATCTGCAACTGGAATCCTGACATGTACGGGGCTCTGCGGCCTGCCTCGATGGACTTCATGCCCCGCGAGGGAGAATACGACATCATCTGCCATCATTGCTCGAGCAGCCTCGACTCTCTCCATCAAAGTGTTTCGGAACGAAATGAAGACTCGCCAAAGTCTGCCGGTAGTCGTACCCAAAGCTGCCCTGGAGTATTCACCTCTCTGGACGCTGGTGCCCCGCCCTCAATAATGGATTCAAAGCCATTTCATGCGGCGCTTCAGGGCCCCCCCTTGGGGAGGTGTTACCTTCAGTATGCTCGGTATGCCGGGTATGCCCTTTGCTATGGTGCCAATGCCTGTCCTATCCCAGATGCCTTCAAACCTTGTTGACACAAGCCCACCTGCATCGGATCGCTCATCGAAAGACTCGCCGGTCGTTGCCCCTTTGCCTCCACGGAAGCCGAGCCTCGGTGGGTTGGATACTGAAGACTCAGCTTCTCTTCTAAAGCTTTCGCCTCTTCCTCCTCCGGCTCTGGCCTTGGAGAGTCAAGATGGTCGTTCCTTGACTCCTGCACCAAGCGTTCCAACCAAGCATCCCATCAGTCCAGACACGCAGTGCAAAATCTCGCATGCCATTGCAGCTTCGCTCTGCTCAGTCTCCGTGGAGAACGAAAATCGCCCACCGCAGTGCGTATCCGAGACGACCTGTCAGCGAAGACAATCGATTAGTCAAGCCTCCAACAGCAACATTGTTTTGAGCATTGCCCCTTCACTAGGTTCCGCATCAGTAGTGAACGGGAAGATCTCATCTCCATTGCCACTCGTGGCTGCTCTTGACCATCTCAAGGAGGTTATCGGCTCGAAGACTCGGTCACGTTCTTCGTCCCGAGCTTCATTTGCCTCTTCGAGACCTCTCTCAAGAGCCTCGTCAAGGTCCAAAAGACGGCGCGAAGCAGCTGAGAGACGCCACGCAGTTTTCAAGAAACAACATGAGCGAGCAAATCGTCGTCGCGAGAGGAGAAAAAGAAAACTTGCCCGCCAACTTGAAACAGCAAGCCCAACAATCGAGCACCGCAGGTCGGTTCAACTGGCTTCAGATGTCGGCCAGGGTCTTGTCACTGAGCCCAAGCCAGAGCAAGTCAACTCATACACAAAGCGACGTGATCGGCGTGAAAAGATGGCTCAATGCCGGAAAAATGATTCATCACAGAGTCGATATGTGCACATGACAATGGCTTCGAATCCTCGTCCCAACGTCTCCTGCCATTGATCGGAATCAAAGTTTAAGAAGAACGAACGCTCTACGAGACAGTGTAAATACTATTATTTGCTTTTGTATAAACTAACTTGGGACGGTTGCAAAGTTTGTATATACTTTTCTGGCGTTGCTACTTTCTTTTTCCGCTCTGGGCTGGCTTCCAGATTTTGTCACTCCTTTGGCCTTTTGTTTTGGGACATGGGAATTTCACCGGTTGTACTGTGCTACTATAATTACCAGAATCACACTCGTTTTAATACTACACAAGGCACCACGGATCAGCTCCGACTTGTAGTACTGGCTGAGATAGTAACTCCTCTCGCTAGGACCGAACGGGCAACCCGGCGGACTTCCCCCGCACTCTTATCTCCCGTAGATCCGGCTTCGGCACTGGCCCCGAGGACATTGTCCCTTTGGAACAAATTCATCCAGATGGGCAATGGCAGGGAATAAGAAGCCTCGTGGCATTCGTCATGATCGCCACTGTTATCACTGTCGCATGCATGGCATCAAGTGCGATCTTAATCGGCCCCGATGCCAACCATGTCAACAGCAAGATGCATCCTGCCAATATCCCCAAAGGGTGAAATGGATGAGCGAGAAGACCGCACCAGCACTAAAGACATCACCTCAAACATCCCCATCATTATCTTTGTCCCCATTGTCGACCATACCAGCCGAGCAACATGATCAACTTGGCCAGACGGATCTACATGCAAGCATCCCGATCAATCTATACGGCTTCATCGATCTTCTCTCCCACTTCTACCAAGAGATTCAATCAAGCAAGCAGGAGCTGCCAGAAGAAGCCATTGAACTGATCTCACGTACACTAAGCTTTGCTCGATCTCGCCTCCAAGGCACAGATGACAAAGACTCCATCCAGTCCCATCTGACCGCGATATCGAATCTCAGCAAGGTGATCGAGTCAGCGCACCCCGTCGCCTTATTTGGTATCGGCACCTTCGCCATGTTCGAGGTCTGCTGCGGCCCATTCGGACAATGGGACCGACATCTCCAAGGTGCACGATCTCTACTTGACCTACACTGTCACAACCAAACAGATATCAACAATCTCACGCAACAAATTCCAGGCCTCGCGGATGTCCTCGCCTACCTCGTTTGGTTCGACGTGACGGGGACCTTAGTCCGTGAAGACGGGGCCCTCATCTTCGACGACTGGCACCGGAATATTCTTCACCGGTCCTTTTTCTCTTCTGTAGGCTGTCCGCCAGATACATACGACTTGTTCGTACACCTTGCGAAGGCCTCCGAGACCGAATCTAGATCCAAGAAGGACTGCAGCATTGCAGAACTCAGTACAATGGCCATGGACCAAGTACTGCGCCAGGACCCGACAGATCTAACAGACCGCGGCCTCGCAGCCGCAGTATACCGATATGCAGGGGCAATCGTTGCATTTGCCCGTCTGTCCACACACCAAGACCAAGACCAAAATCAAAATCAAGACCAACCTCCGAGCCTGACTTCAGATCAGAAACAATCCAAAACACCCACCCACCCAGAAGTATTATCAAACATGGTAGATCGCGTATGCAACGCAATCTCTCCGACTCCCCACATCCTCACGTTTCTACGTACACCTCGCCACGCCCGTCTATGTAAGCGGGATCCACGCAATGCACGCACGCCAGTGCGAGGTTATTCGCAACTACTGGCGGAATTGTCGGCTCTGCGAGTTCCCGCGTTATCCGGATGGTCAGGAGCAGTGTGAGCGGCGGTGGATGAGTCGAGGGATTCCCAGCCTCGGCTTGAGTGGGGACGGAATCGCGGGGTAGAAGTTGCGCAGTGGAAGCTGGGTAAGCCTTGGGGAGGATTGTGGTTGGTTGGTGGATTAGATCGTATTTGATAACTTGCCTAATTGGGAAACGAATCTATTTCTCTTATCTTGCGATGCATACTTGGATTCTTGCCTGTGGTTTTGTTGGTTTAGTACCTGTTCCTAGTTCCTCATTCTAGTGTTATATAGGAAGCTGTTATTCCCTTTAATACAATCTATCTCTCTCTCTCTCTCTCGCTCTCCTCTTCACTGCATCTGTACCATCTCTATAGATATTTCAATCCGCTCCACCTGGCACTGGCCTCGGAGTCAAAGAGCAAATTTCATAATGGCCACCACCACAGCACCCTCCTATCTGGATCTCGCAGCCCAAAAGCGAGCCGACCAACTCGCTCTAATCCCAGCTGAATGGCGTCTCTCTTCAATCCCAGCCATCGAATCAACACCCAACGCACTCATCTACCTCCGAAGCATCCTCTCCGCAAGAGAACTTCTCCTCACAGAGGAAACAGATATAACAGTTCTTCTGCGCAAGCTCTCATCCGGCGAGCTCTCCTCACTAGAACTAACGACCGCATTCGCAAAGCGCGCAGCTCTAGCCCACCAATTAACCACCTGCTGCACGGAGATCTTCTTCGAAGAAGCGCTCGCTACAGCGAAGCGGATGGACGATCATCTGGCGAAGACCGGGCTGACGGTTGGGCCTTTGCACGGACTCCCCGTTTCGATTAAGGATTTATTTTCTGTTCGGGGCGTTGATACTTCTATCGGTATTCCCTCCTCCCTGCCCCCTTCCTTCCTCACTACCAATTCATGGGATCCCGCTAATCAACTTGAAAACTCCAGGCTGGGTCGGCCTAACAAACAACCCCTCTACAACCGACAAATCCGTCGCCCAAACCCTCCGCCGCCTCGGCGCAATCCTCTACGTAAAGACTAATCTCTCCCCAATCAATGATGATGTCCGACTCGTACAACCACGTCTTCGGCCAATGTGTGAACCCACTAAACCGCACTCTCATTTCCGGTGGCAGTTCCGGCGGCGAGGCCTCGCTTGTTGCGGCCCGGGGCAGTCCGCTAGGCATCGGGACTGATTTGGGAGGCTCGATTCGGATTCCTGCGAGTTTGACGGGGATTTTTGGCCTATCACCGTCTCCTGGGAGACATCCTTATGAGAGGGGGAAGTGAGTTTTGAGTTTATTCTTCTATGGTCGGGTCTGACTAACTGTAACTTTCTGTGCGATCTAGTCCCGGTCAGGATATTGTTCGCTCCGTCGCTGGTCCGATGGCTTGCTCCCTGGCGAGTATTGAGAGGTATATGGAGGTTTTGCCGTGTGCGGAGCCTTGGGAATTGGATCAGCATGTTGCACCTGTTCCGTGGCGGAGGAGTCTTGCTTCGCTGAGGGCGAAGAGGTTGCGTATTGGCTTTGTTGTGGATGATGGCGTTGTGAAGGTTCAACCTCCGATTGCGAGGGCTGTTCGGGATGTTGTTGATGCGTTGAGGGCGGCTGGGCATGAAGGTTTGTTTTCTTTTCCCGTTTTTGTTGAATTCGCTCTTCGTGAATGAATTTCTCTCTGACTATTCCTGATAGTGGTTGAATGGGACGCGTCTTCTCATGCCTATGCCTACTCCTTGTGGGAGAAGGCTATCTTTTCTGATGGAGGTGAGGGTTGTCGTAGGAAGATCGAGATGACGGGTGAGCCTCTCGTTGAGGGGATGTTGGTTGGAACTCCGGATCATATCTTGTCTACCTCGGAGACACATCAGGTATGTGATACTAGTAAAACTGGTACAATCCTTCAGGGCAGTGGATACCGTATCTGCAGCTACTAATAAATCACAGTTGAATGCGGATAAGTATCTCTATGAGAGTAACTACCTCGATCGCTGGACTACATCCGGTATCGACGCACTAATTATGCCAACGACTCCCTGGGTGGGATACAAGCCCTGGACGTGGGTGAAATCCAGCGCATACGTGGGATATACTAGTATCTGGAACTTGCTTGGATACGCAGCTTTGTCAGTGCCTATTACGAATGTTTCTCGGGAACAGGATGTGCCTGATCAAGAATGGTTGGACCATGTGCCTCGCAATGCTGGCGATAAGTTTAATAAGGAGCAGTGTGAGTTTTCCCCCCGTTACTCGATTTACGTACTCAATACGGTGCTAACTAGCGTTGATCTACGCAGATGATCTTAACCTCGTCGAAGGTATGCCGGTCGGTGTACAAGTCGTAGGTGGCCGTTTCGGCGAAGAGAAATGCGTCGCTGTTGCCAAGGCCATTGAACAAGCCATGAAGTGGAAGGACACAGCCCGACCCAGTCTTTAAGTACCCAAGTCCCTAGGAGGGTACTAGTCATAAATAGAAAGCCATTTCTGAGTCCATTTGAGTTCATTTCTAGTCAAATCATGTTCGTGTTCGCGTTCATGCATAATGCAAGGGCTTGTTATACAGGAGTTATATATGTACAACATCATGGATTCAATCATTCATGATCCCAGGATCCCATCAAATCGGAGCATTCATCCTCTCCTTATAATCCGGGAACTCAAAATCACCAAGATCCCACTCTACCGACGGACCACGATGCTCCAATTCGAAATCATGCTCATTCGTCCCGCCCAATCCCAAAGTCGTCGGAGCGAGAGTCGGGCTCGGGGCGACGGAATCAGATCCAATGCGCAGTTCGCGGACAACGCGGATACCATCTCCGCTGTTGGCGCTTCCGCCGCTCTCGGGGTCGTCGTCGTTCGTGTTGACCTTAGATATACTGGCTGTGTAGCTTCCGACGGGACCGGTGTAGAAGGCGTCGTTGTAGAAGATTCCACCGTCGTGGTAGTGGTGGTGGTCGTAGATGGAGGGTTTGCGGGCCGAGGAGGTGAGGAATGTTGTTGTTGAGTGTGGTTTGGTGTTTGATGCTGGTGATGCGTGGATTGGTTGGGGGCGGAAGCAGAATGAGAAGACTCGTGATATCAGAGTGTGTAGAGGTGGGAGGCAGGCGCAAATTATAGAGACGTTTGCTTCTAGGGAGGACCAGACTGCGGCTTCGGCGTTGGTTTCTGTGGATATGTTAGGTGGTTGAATTGGAGAGTGAATTGCCCAGGTGGAGGGAAAGCAAATAGAGTGACGGGAAAGTAACTTACTTGTGAAGTCGTGACCGCGTACCATGACGCTCAATTCATAGACTCGTACCGAGCTCGTTGCAATGACGACGACTCCAACGCCAAAGACGATCATGATGCCCGCTCTTTGGCGTTTCGGCAATCGCAATTTGGATACAATCGGCATCGGGAGAATCAAAATGATGATATCAGTCATAATCTGAATGGCAGCGTTCGTGAACCACACTGGCCCTTTTGGCAGACAATGACCAGTGGAATGCCTATGCCTCCAGAAGTATGAAATCGGTACGCAGCAGAAGAAGCCACTGAGGACCATCCATAATCCCGCAACTACCAGGAAGCCCATGAGGAGGTATACAGTGATGAGAAAGGGCCGAATGCGGAATATGGAACAGAGGAAGACGAGGGCAGAAAGTTTGGAGAAGATGAGAGAGAGGTTGTAGAAAGGAATGGAGATCCAGAGGTACTGAATGGTTTAGTTCTATTAGCCATGTATTCGTCCGATCAATGGAGGAACAGAAACTTACGAATAGCTGTCCTTCAATGATATGATCAGGAAGTTCGTCTTTGGGCTTTCCAAGGCCATAGTGTCGCTCTGTACAATTAGCTTGAGTGCTATATAGAGACGTATGCTAATGACGATTCTCGAACTCACCGACAACTATGAAGGCGTAGAACGTAGCGGAGCAAACCCAAGCTGCAATGATGAGCAGATCATCATAGCCCCATTTCTTAACCAGCTTCACTCGTGTAAACAGGCGAAATACAACGAACAGAGCCGACAATGCGGTAAAGACACTTGTGACCACCCGGACGCGCATTATCGAGTGAGAGTATTCAAGTGATAGTCGGTCGATCCATCGATGAGAGGCTTTTCAATGATCTTAAGGTAGGTGTAGAATGCGGGCTAGTGCCAATCCATCCGTTGTGGAAAGAAGTTGTAAAAAGAAGTAGAAGTAGAAGTAGAGAGGGAGGGGGGCAAAGTGCCATGCGATGAATGTCGTATCAAGACAGTGACCAGCAGAGTCTTCAATTCGATAATAGCCGGAATACAATACGAAAGTTCCAGCGAAACCAGACAATGGGCGGCACAAATACTAAATATAAGAAGGAAAGCCAAAAAGCTTAAACCAAAGCCAGACGAAGAACCGACGGTTCACCGGTTAATCCGATACTCAATTTCTTCAGGAAGATTTACCCAGGCACGACATTCTGCACGGTAGTAGAGAGCAAAGGCCAAAAGAACATCCTCCCCCGTCAAATTACTGTCAACCAACGCCTCATTATTGGGGTGGTATCACCCAGCCAGCCCTATTGGTCTATTATCCACCGCATCGGGAACCAGGACTGACCGATTGCGTCAAAGACTATGAGGCCGCCCTCGCAACCCCCGAAGTTATCCATCAACGCTGATAGGCCAATTTTACGAGATTGAATCGTCGCCCGAATCATTCCAACAAATGATTAGTCGGAAATAAAGTTGTGGAGGAACTTCCTAACCAGTCAATGCAAGATTCATACGTTTCTTGGTTTCTTGGAACCCTCTTCTCCGGCTGGTCTGGTCCCACGCCAGGTAAATCTTACTTTGGTCTTCCATCGAATAGATCTCGATCAATTCCTCGGATCCGGGTCTTTCCATGGTTTCTATGAGATATCCTGGAGGTTGAAGACCCTTTTTTTACCATACTAGGAGAGAGGTGGATGGGGAACAAGTGGAGACAGCTCCGCATCCGGAACGTCAAGTCAGTGGGAGGCGCCAAACGAGCTCTTATTATTGGGAATTCTGAGCTGGTCGTGTCTATCGTTTCCATATTTGCGTCTAACTGAGTCAGGGTTGCATTCAAATTGTTGATTTCCCTTTACTTTTTTTTGCGTGTCTTGGTGGGTAACTGCTCGTATGTACACCCCCCAGTCAGGGCTCGGAGTTGCCGATATCTGACTTTATATTTTCGGGAATGGCCCATTGTTTAGTCTTTTGCCAATGCAAGATTATTACCCAGGTAGATCAGCCGAGTGCTTGGCTGTGGGGGAAGATTTCCTCCCCGGCGCCGTATTATCCTGCCAATTCTTGTGGCTGGGTTCTTTTCGCCAGGCGTCAAATCTAGGCCTGCGGTGGCTTGGTGTCGGATGCAATGACTCGTTTTACTTTCTGCTGAGGAGTGGAAGGGGGCTGCTGTTATGTTTTCTGAGTCGTGGGTTATCGGCGAGGGCTAGACCGTCATAGGCTTCATCGATGGCCTAGAGCCTCTATCGATGTTCGCTAAAACGTGCCTGTTACAACAGGGACAATCCATCAACTTGAACAACAGGAACAGTTTTAGGCTAATTTGCAACCAATTGTGAGCTAACTAGAGAGTATTCATTTAAGCCTCCAGGGCTATCAAGAAAGTTACTTTTTTGAAGACAATGGCTTGGTCTCTGAGGGAACCCTGCCGACTTTGATAAGGGCAGTATATTGATCGTACTTTCGGACCTTCACATCGTTTGCAAGAAAACCTCTACTAAGACTACATTAGATAATAGGTAGTATTGAAATATCATTTTATTTTCATCCACATCTGTACATTGCAGAAGCTAAAAATTCCCCCGAGTCTAGAGGGGGTATCAAACGCGTAACATGTTCAAGTTAAAATCGAAAAAGGTATCTACAGGCGGGCCTTGAGGTTAGCCTTCAGGCGACGCTCAACGGCAGCCAGGTACTCGTTGGTAGTAACCCAGGCCTCACGGTCCTTGCGACCGCAAGCGAGAGCCAGATCCTTGGTCATGATAGACTCGTCGTTAACGACATCAGTGCAAGCCTTCTCGAGCTCCTCAGCGAAGGTGACAACCTCGGGGGTGTTGTCGAGCTTTCCACGCTGGATGAGACCACGGGTCCAGGCGAAGATGGAGGCGATGGGGTTGGTGGAGGTCTCGCGGCCCTTCTGGTGCTCGCGGTAGTGGCGGGTGACGGTGCCGTGGGCGGCCTCGGACTCGAAAGCCTCGCCAGAGGGGGTGACCAGGGTGGAGGTCATGAGACCCAGAGAGCCGAAGCCCTGGGCGACGATGTCGGACTGGACGTCACCGTCGTAGTTCTTCAGGGCCATAACGAAGCCACCCTCGGACTTGATCATCTGGGCGACCATGTCGTCGATCAGACGGTGCTCGTACCAGATTCCCTTAGCATCGAAGTCCTTCTTGTAGTCCTTCTCGAAGATCTCCTCGAAGATGTCCTTGAAACGGCCGTCGTAGCGCTTCAGGATGGTGTTCTTGGTGGACATGTAGAGGGGCAGACCCTTCATCAAAGCCATCTGGAAAGAGGCGTGGGCGAAGCCCTGGATGGACTCATCGGTGTTGTACTGGCACTGAGTGATACCACCGCCCTGGAAGTCGTAGACCTGGACGCGCTCGGGCTCACCACCGACAGGGGTGTAGACCAGCTCGAGCTTACCGGGGCCGGGGATGACACGGTCCTGGGCACGGTACTGGTCACCGAAGGCGTGGCGGCCAATGACGATGGGCTTGTTCCAGCCAGGCACAAGGCGGGGAACGCGGGGGATGATAATGGGCTCACGGAAGACGGTACCGCCGAGAATGTTACGGATGGTACCGTTGGGGGAGAGCCACACTGGTGGGTTGTTAGTCAGGCTGGGTCGTACAACATCATGCAGATGGCAGGGGCAAGCTTACTCTTCTTCAGCTTGAACTCCTCAACACGGGCCTCATCGGGGGTGATGGTGGCACACTTGACACCGACACCGTACTTCTTGATAGCCTCAGCGGCATCAATGGTGACCTGGTCATCGGTCTGGTCACGGTACTCAATACCCTGCGCAATGTTGGTTAGTTCGGCTCCGCAGCTCAATGGCGTATAGATCGTTGTGAGCTTACCAGATCGTAGTACTTAAGGTCAATGTCGAGGTAACTGATTGGGTGATGTTAGAAAAAGGAAACCGGGATTATGGAATTCCCTGTAAATATGCACTTACGGCAGAATCAACTAGATGCAATGTTAGTCTCGATCCAGATGAGCACGAGGGAGTGAATGATGTTCAGCGAATCAGACCGCCTGCAGCCACATCCTGCAAGGACGATCATGCAGGTCTAGCCGGAATGAGGGGGAAGATAGGAAGTATGAGGGGGAGAGGAATATCCTCGGCTTACCTTTTCCCTGATTTCTTGCCAGATGATACGGGTCATCTATAGACAAAATGAATGATTAGCACATGCAAAGACGAGTCATTGGGTGAGGTGAGTAGGTCTCAGAACGGTGCCCCTCGGGATGGCCATTGACACATGGGAATCAACCCCCCGTATTTCCCCGCGTTGAAGTCAAGACACGGCGAAAATACAGCGGGAGAGAACCGCATGAGGTCAGGCTTGTGAAACGGGCCGGACCGTTTTCGAGGAACAGAAAGAGGAAGGTTTATGCTATAAAAAGGGAGGGGTCGGGAAGTCTTGGAGGGGCAGAAGTTTTTCGGATTTGTTTTTTTCTTCTTCTTCTTCTTCCTTTGCTTCTTGCTTGCCAACTGCCCCTCCATTGTATTTCGTACCTCATCACCATCCAGTTCAACGACTGGGTTCACCACCTTGATCTTGCTCTCGGAAGCCATTGTGCGGATTTGGAGGAAGTTGAGGGAAGGAGTCGATCCGGACCAGCGGGATGCGGAGGGTCTGTTAGAGCGAAGGGAAATGGAAGAGAGAGATCTCTGAGAGGAAGGTAGTTGGGAGGAAGAAGAAGAGAGAAGACGAGAGGAAGAGAGAGGGGCAGAGATAGAGGCGGGGGTAAGGGAGCGGCGCGCAAAGGCGGAGCTGGACCGAAGGGCATTCATGGTTGGATGATGCGACTTGAGGGACTGTACGGGAAAGGTCAGCGCGAGATTCGCAAGTTTCTGTTTGGTTCGGAAAGCCGTGAGGAACAACCGAGGGACGATACTCGGCAGAAAGGAGAGGCAGTGGAGTCGGGAAAGTGAGTTGGTCAACCAACGTCACGGCGAATGCGGCGAATGCGGGCACTGGCAGACTGCGGGCACACTGCGGACCAAAGGGAAGTCTGGGGGAAATGCCGGGGCAATACGGGACGTACGGGATGGGGGTCGAGAGGGAAGGTAATGGACAGTGGGGGGGAATTACCGAGAGCGCAAAAAGATGGTTGGAAAGTGATGAAGGGATGGGAAAAGCCTTGTCCGGACAAGACTAAAACAGCGCAGCGGTGCTTTTTTAACCGTGGGAAGCGCCGAAGCCGGCGTCTCGTGACTCCAGGTTAAAAATGAAGAGGGGGCTTTCCGTTTTAGAGGAGCTTTGATAAAAAAATAATTATCCTATTTCATTTCATTATCATTATCTGATGACGGTGCTAATTTCAATCCCAAGGACCCAGCTTTGACCACGGTGAGCAGATCAGGTGGTCGAGTCATGAAGCTCAGTGAACTATCCACAGACCCGCAAGGCGGATGAGCGGTTTGCGATTTGCGGGAGTTGCGGACGGTTGGCCGGAGCTCGGAGGGACCTCCGCGGGTGAGTGAAGTGCCTTGCAGAGTGCAGTGCAGTGTTGGTTACAGTGGTGGCGGGTGCTAGGGCGCTAGGGTGGTGCTAGCGGGTTTAGCCTATTTCCCGGGAAACACTTTGCCGAATTGGACCATCCTGGGATGAGATACTCCGTACTCCGTTGGGATGGGATACGAACATTCAAGTACAACTGTCTACTAGTAGAAATGCTAGTAGTTATACTCTTGATACTTCCATAAACTTGATAACTCTTATCATTCTCTAGCCGTGTTGAAATCCGTCGCGCCATTACCCGATATGTTGAAACTCTTCGCTATGTACTATTTAATTCCGTCTATCTTCCCCTTCCTCTAGAACAGTCCGTCAATCTCCCCAGTTGTAGGGTCAATATCCACATTCAGATAACCCGGTGCGGTCGGCAGTCCGGGGATCGTCTGGATATCCGCTGCGAGTGCGTAGCTAGAATCACTGTAAGCATATAGCCGACTCAAAAAGAAGGGTGTTTAGAAGGGAAGGGGGGAGGGAATCTCACAGATAACCAGCACCAACTGCCAAGCGCACATCACGAATAGGCACGGTGAACCCAGTTGGGGCTCCCTTCAACGCGGGATCGTGACTGAGTGAGTACTGAGTCTTGGCAATACAGATCGGCAGGTTCGCGAAGCCTTGCTGGGTGTATGTGTCGACCTTCTTCTGAGCGAGCTCGCTGAACTCAACCTTCGCAGCTCCATACATCTCCTTACCAATCCGCTCAATACGCTCCTGGATGCTGCCATTCAGATCGTACAGCAGCTTGAAGTCCTTCGGCTTCGAGCTAGCGGCCAGGACCCCCTTGGCCAGGTCGACCGCTCCGGCTCCACCTTCGGCCCAGTGGTTAGCCGGGATAGCGTCCTCCGCACCAGCAGCGATGGCCTCCTCGCGAATGACGTTGATCTCAGCCTCAGTGTCGGTCTCAAACTTGTTAATCGCGACAATGACTGGAACTCCGTACTGCTTCGCGTTGGCAATGTGCTTGCGCAGGTTGATGCAGCCTGCCCGGAGAATATCCACGTTCTCCGTCCGGTAGATCTCATGCAGGGCGCCTCCCGGGGTGATCTCGGGACCGCCACCGTGTACCTTGAGCGCACGGACCGTAGCAACGATCACCACCGTGTCGGGCGACAATCCCGAGGATCGGCACTTGATGTTGAAGAAACGCTCGCCGCCCATCGTGAAGTCAAATCCAGCCTCAGTCACGACAAAACCAGTCTTGGCCTCGTGGTCCTCGTCGGGCTCAGTTCCGGCCAGCTTCAGAGCCAGCTTGTCGGCAATAACCGAGCTAGCACCGATACTGATGTTGGCGAAGGGACCCGCGTGCACCATGACGGGGGTACCCTCCAGACTCTGCATCATGTTGGGCTTGATGGCATCCCTCATCAGAGCGGCAAGGGCACCGCCAGCACCAATGTCGTCGCAGGTCACTGGGTCGCCGCTCCTGGAGCTAGCAACTACCATACGACCAAGACGCTCACGCATATCTTCCAGGTTGTTGCTCAGAGCCAAGATGGCCATACATTCACTGGCAACCGAGATATCGAAGCCAGTCTCGCGAGACAGACCCTTCTCAGTGGGGGCCTGGCCAACGGTGATTCCACGCAGGTGACGGTCGTTCACATCGAGAACGCGACGCCAAGTGATAGTCTCGGGGTCGATGTCGAGACGAGCGAAGCGGCGGATCTCGTCCTCGGTAAGTTCATCAGGGTTGGTCTTCTCGATGCCAAGCTTCTTGAGGCGGCGGAACATGATAGGCTTAAACTCGCGCTTGCCCTTGGAGGCGGGGACAAGGCGCTTGTAGAGCGGGCCATCCTTCTGGGTAGACTCGTGGAACATGCGGGTCTCAATGGCCGCAGCAAGCAGGTTGTTGGCGGCAGTGATAGCATGAATGTCACCAGTCAGATGCAGGTTGAACTCATCCATGGGAATAACCTGACTGTAACCACCACCGGCCGCACCGCCCTTGATACCGAAAGTCGGGCCCTGACTGGGCTGGCGGACGTTGGCGAAGGAGATACGGTTGAGGTGGGCGCCGAGCGCCTGGGTGAGACCCAGTGTAGTCGTAGACTTACCCTCTCCGAGAGGAGTGGGAGTAATACCGGCAACCAAGATGTACCGGCCATCACGGCGGTGGGCGAGACGGTCGATCACGTCCAGGCTAACCTTGGCCTTGGTGTGGCCGTAGGGCTCGAGCTCATGGGATGCGATGCCGACCTCAGATGCGACCTGGGAGATGGGCTTCGGGTATTGAGCGCGAGAGATCGCGATGTCAGAGGGAACGGGGTTTTGGCGGCGAAGAGGCAAGGGAGTGATACGACGATCCTTCTGCTTCTCGAAGTAGGTGTTGGCGGCGTGAACGACGTTCTTCATCAGCATAGCAACGGTCATGGGGCCGACACCACCGGGAACGGGGGTGATCTGAGAAGCGACCTGGACCGCAGAGTCGAAGTGCACATCGCCAACAAGGCGCTGGCCAGACTTCTTGGTCGCGTCTTCCTTGAAGTTGATGCCAACATCAATGACAACTGCGCCGGGCTTCAACCAATCGCCAGTGATAAGCTCGGTCTTACCAATGGCAGCGACGACAATATCAGCGTTCTTCACAACACGAGCCAGATCTGGGGTCTTAGAGTGACAGATGGTGACAGTAGCATCGGCGTTCTTCAGCAGATAGCTGACAGGGCTGCCAACAATGTCGCTGCGGCCAAGCACAACGGCTTCCTTGCCGGCTGGGTCAACCCCACTAGCCTTCAGCAGCTCCATCACAGCCAGAGGAGTGCAGGGAATGAAATTCGGGCAGCCGCCACGCTTGGCCAGCTCACCGATGTTGATTGCGCCAAATCCATCGACATCCTTCTCGTCGGCAACGGTAGAGGTGACGGTGTGCTCTGACATGTGGGAGGGGAGGGGCAATTGCACTAGAATGCCGTGCACGGAGGGGTCATTATTGGCCTTGGTGATCTCTTGCACAAGCTCAAGCTCGGTGACATCCTCGGGGACATTGATAAGGGTGCAGATGATGTTGGCCTATGAGGAGTGCGGGGTCAGTAAGCGCAGGATCGATTGGGTTGAAAATCACAAGATAGATACCTCTTCAGCGGCCTTTAGCTTCATGCGCACATAGGTGCCTAGAATTTATTAGCTAAAGCTCAAGATTGCTCGTGAACATGACTTGTGAGCTCATGCTTGGGTAAACTGACTGGAGTCGGACCGGTTGCCAACTGTATAGAGAATTTTGGTCAGTTCAATTCCAATTCCAATTCCACTCCCGATTGTTGCACGGGTACAGTGATAACGGCAGTGACAATTTGCTTACCCTGGAAGATGACCAAATTGGGCTTGTATCGAGGGTTAGTTTGCTGAGTCTGCTCAATTTCAGCCTTGAGGCCCGCACGAATGCTCTTGGCAATTGCCGTGCCGTCAATTCTGGAAGCCATAATTGCGGAACTGCAGAACAGGCGACGAGAAGAAGAAGCGGCCGGGGGGGTTTAAAAAGGACGGTAGCGAAGACCAAGTCGACGAGGATACAATGTTTCCTCGAACCCCTCGTGCGGAGGGAAGGTTAAAGGGAAAGGAGGACGAAGAGAAGATGCGGAGACGAAAATTGACCGCGGGCGCTTGAAGGAAAAAGCGACAGCGGGGTTTGGCGGGGAAGAGCATGAATATTATTGCTTCTTTAGGGGCGAGAACCCTCGGAGCTGATTCTGTGGCTCGGGTTCACAAGGGAACTTCTGCAGGACAGCTTGCAATGTAAAGGAATGAATCGGAAAGGGTTGGATGAGCACACGAAAACATCTTCTGATCCCCCTCACTCGTACAATCGCCTTCATTCCTCGCCTTTTCTTGCACGACTTCAATATGAACCCGGGCCGTCCGACATAAAGGAGGCTTGTAACACCCCGAGAAGTTGATGGCCTCAGGCAGGAAGCCGGGCCGTGCTGAGTCATTCTGTAGACATGTGACTCCAGTCATGTGATCTATTCTTGAGTCACCTGACTAATGCCTCAAGGTGCCCTGCAGTAACTACTGTGTCAGGCTGATAGGGTTAGGGCTGCGGGGCACAGTCACGTGTAGATATCGAGCCCGGCTGGGCTGTTTGTCTTTCCTGCAAACACCCTTAGTCATCCCAAGCAGTCTTGGCATTCGCGGGCCCAGTGTGCGATGAAATTCACCAGTCAAAGAAAGTCGAAGGTTGACGAGATTGAACCCCCTCCGTGATACCCGCCCTCCCCTCCTCAACCCCCCCGATCGCCTCGACTTTTTTCTCCGGGATCTTCTCGTCGCCCAGATCAAGATGCGCCCTATTTTGCTGTCGGGCCATGTGCGTTGGAATCCCTCGTTTTTTAGCAGCTTTCGCTGCTAGATCCACACAGTTTGTACAGTTTACTGACCGCGGCCCTGTTGGTGTCTTTCTATAGGAACGGTCCCTGACCCAAATTCGTTTCAACCGCGATGGCGATCTCATTTTCTCCGTCTCCAAAGATAAGATTGTCTGCGCCTGGTGGTCCGCCAACGGTGAGCGTCTCGGAACGTACAACGGTCACCAAGGTGCTGTCTGGACCGTCGATGTCAGCCCCAACACCGTCCTTCTCGCTACCGGTTCCGCCGATAACACCGTGCGCCTATGGAACATCAAGACTGGTGATTGCGTGAAGGTTTGGGACTTCCCCACCGCCGTGAAGCGGGTCGCTTTCTCCCCAGATGGAAGCCAGCTGTTGGCTGTGACGGAGAAGCGTATGGGTTTCCTGGGTACGATCGCTGTGCTGGATATCAACTATGGCGAGAACTTGGAGGACCAGGCCGCTGAGCCTTCTCTGAAAATCACTTGCGAGGACAGCAAGGCGACAGTGGCAGGATGGAGTTTCCTCGCCAAGTATATCATTGCCGCGCACGAAGACGGCAGTGTCAGCCAGTACGACCCTAAGGTACGATTGAGATTCGATAGAGGGGGTGATTGGTTCGACTGGCATGCCAAATGATGCTAATATCTCTTTTCATAGACTGGTGACCAGCTCCTCAACGTCCAGGTTCACGAGTTCGACCACCAGATCAACGACATCCAATTCTCCCCCGACCGCACCTCCTTCATCACCGCTTCCAAGGACAAGTCTGCCAAGGTAGGCGCATTCGATTGATCTCTCGATATAAAACACGATTGACTAACCATCTGAAAGCTCCTGTCCGCTCGCGACCTCAACATCCTCAAGACCTACCCCGCCGACACTCCCCTCAACTCCGCCTCCATCACCCCCAAGAAGGACTACGTGATTCTCGGTGGTGGTCAGGCCGCCATGGATGTCACAACCACCTCCGCCCGCCAGGGTAAATTCGAGGCCCGCTTCTACCACAAGGTCTTCGAAGACGAGATTGGCCGTGTCCGTGGTCACTTCGGTCCCCTTAACACCATCGATGTCCACCCCTCCGGTACCGCCTATGCCTCCGGTGGTGAGGACGGTTACGTCCGTGTTCACCACTTCGACAAGTCCTACTTCGACTTCATGTACGAGGTTGAGCGGGAGCAGATGCGGAAGTGAAGTGATGTGAATGATGTGGAGAAATCTCAAGAAGAGCGATGAAAAATATAGGTGACTCTTTTTTCGAGCCTTTGCGTTTCTTGTGTATGTGTTTTATGAATGCGAACAAGACTCGGGGCAACAATCCCGCCCACGAGTTCTGCATACCGGATGAGATGATGACCTTTCGAGGCACGGTTTCTCATTTCTGTTGATTACATGATCACCCGGAGTTGGTACCCCTTTGTTTATTGTTCTGGGTTAATAAAAGATGGCATGCTTCTCATGATGGGTTTTTTCTCGAGATATATGTTGTCCTTTAGCTGCAAACGTGGGAGCTGTGACTCTCCGGGTTGCCGGCGCAGGATCGCATATCACGAATAGACAATACGAAGCTTCCAAAATTTATATGGCTATTTTTTCTACCAGAAAACCAAACTTGACTTTTTTACGTTTAATGACTTGGGATCTTCCAGGAAAGGTCATACCTCAACTGAGAGATTTCATCAGGATTGAAGCAACCACTAGTACTAGTCGTGGTTTGGGTTGGAGTGGCTACATCATGGTGGTGCGGGACACCCGCACAATGATGATCACCCCGCGAAGTTTTTATGTACTACTAGTGCAGGTAGGTGCCAGACTACTAGTAGTAGCAGTAGAATATTAACGAACCGATTTCCAGAAATACAGGTTTAGAACAAGAACTTATTCATGTATGGAGGTATCATTTATACATTTTCATGAAGTTTTCTCTAAGCCCATTTCCATGCATTGACCAGCGCTCATCCAGCCAGCAGAAAAAGAAACCCAAGGAAAGTAAAAAAAAAAGTCATAGATCAAAAGGAAGGGGGTCGTTCGGGGACATGATGATCGTCAAAAACAGTAACAATAGAAAGAGATGCAGAACTTTCAATGTTTCGTCCTGGGTCTCATCCCCAAAAGAATTAAACGAGCCGCGGGCTCATCCCCAGATGAGAAAGGCAGAAGGAGAAAGGGGACATCTATTTCTTCTTGGCGAACTTCTCGGCTCCAATGTCAGAGCCACGCAGCTTGATGTTGAGCACGCGCTCCATAGAGGAGAGAACCTTCTGGTCTGGGGTGGCGGAGCCACGCTCGAAGTCCTGTACAATGGTGATGGTGGTGTTGCACTTGGTGGCGAGTTCCTTCTGGGTCATCTTGTAGCCCTCCTCAGTTCGGCGCTTCTTGATGGCATCTGCAACGGCGTAGCCAACGGTCTTGGGCTTGATGATATCGTCACTGCGGTCGACCTTGGTCAAGTGCTGGCCGTCGGGGGCGCCGGCCTTCGCAGACTGTAAGACGGTGATTGTTAGTCGTATGCTCTCTCATTCTTCCCGATTGCCTCCAAGAATTCGAATTGGACGGTGGAGGGAAATTTAACGTACAATGTTACCGGTAGTGAACTTCTTCTCAGATCCGAGAAGGGTACCGCTGCGCTGGGCGGCGTTCAGAGCGCTACGGCCCTTGATAGTGTTCTCGCGGGGGCCAGTACCGCCGCGGGTCTTGCTGCCGATCTTTGTAACGGTGTCCCAGTCGCTCATTTTGACGGTTGGATGTGGTGTGTGTGGATTTGGGGGTATAGAGTGTGTTGGAGGTGGTATGTGGAGGTGGAAGGAGTAGGATGTGCGGTGGAAGGGGTGGGGTATGACGCTGGCTCGCGTGTGAAGCAATTTATACCACAGAAGCTTCGAGAGGAAGGGAGTCACGCGCTAGCCGGATCCGGTTAGCGCCGATTGGTCAATAGAAGCCTGACTTTTGTACATTCGGCCACTTTAATTCTGTGTTTACTAAAGGAGGGATTATTATTCTGGTGCTTTCTTCACGGAGATAGATTAAATAAAGATTGGAGATATTTTGATCGATTGCTTATCCATCTATGTGATGTTTAATCATGGCTTCCTCATGATCATTTTATCCATTTTGCCACATTCACTTTCACCGGACTTGCTATGTTCTAGAATCGCCCATTGCTTTGATTCATAACATGGAAAATTAATTTCGTGAAAAAAGGTGGCCTCTATGATCAAAATGTAATGATAAACCTGCATAAGTTAGACCGATTGATCTCAAATAACAAAGGACCAAAGGAAACATGATGATATGTCTTGACCCACTTGATGTCATACGTCTGGATCCATGTTGATCTCGAACTCAACACTCAGTCTACGACTAGTTAATATTGGTTACTCATAAAGAGTCACTTAATAGAATCGGACTTGCGCGTTATAATTGACTCATACTGCTACTTTCTGCTTCTCCGCATGCCAGGCTTCGTTCTTCGTTTCTTCCCAATCGGGTCCCCGACTGCCCCACCACGAGGCTGAGGCTCGGCGTGCAAGCACCAACAAAAGATAATGGTTACTAGATTATTTTGAGTTAAAGCGACAAGCAAGCTAATAAATGATAGACTTGAACTTTTAGTCGTCCAGGTCGTCTACTAAACGAACACATATGAAGACGAAGACCATTTTGAACTAGCGCTTTCTATTAACTAGACAAAAAAGATCAGCGACGGACTACGGCCAGAGATTCAAACGTGAACAGCTTCTAGTTGCGAACAACTTGAATCAATCAAAGCAGGAAATGGCGATATCAATACTAGCACAAGCTATATCCGTCAAGTCGATCATGATGGTTTTATAGGATGAATGACCGATCTAAGGGTGTAAATCCATTATTTCCGCTACGCAGATGGATATACTAGATCTGGTCTATCCACGGCGGACTCCCGGCCGGCATAAGCCATCCATGGACAGCACTAGTACTAGTAGTCTCCGAACCGAACTTCAATTTGAATTTGAATTTGAAAACTTGAACTTGAAGTTCAACTTGAAGTTGACTGGTAAGCATTTACCATCTGGATGTACTGGCACTGATCAGCTATTCCAATTGGATTGATCTGCGATCAAAATATAGGTGCATTATTTAGCTAATCTACTAGTAGGGATAATAAAAAATACAGGCAGATGGTCCCCTTGAAATACTGTCGTGGCAACCGTATTTACTAATATCCAGTATTTTGGTGAGATACAGTTTTGAAAAGATACTAGCGTTAGTGGGACATGGTGCTTTTTCTCCGGACTCGTGAGCCTTCTCGGACTTAAGGGAGCAACTCGATAATTGCGACACGAAATGCATTATTTCCTATATCTATTTTTGTTAAATAGAAATATTCTAAGTGAACTGATGATGCCTAAAAGAAAGCCGATCGGGGTCTCGGGGTATTCGCTGCGTGGGGAAAGTGAGTGTTTGGGAGTCCGAACTACTCCGAGGTTTCCGCTCTGGGCGATAAACAACTATATCGCCGATGCGTCGACAGAAAATATAAGAATTGTCTCATTTCCACCTAGTCTAAGCGATATCAATTAATCAAATCAATTTAATCAACAACCTCTAAGATACTTCATCCATACTTCAGAGCGAATCGCCTTCTCTAAATTCGGTTTCCATTCCCACGATTCATCATGTCTAACCGCCCCCACGCTCCGCCTCCCCATTTCATCGCCCTGGTCAGTCACAATTATATAAAACAACTACGATTTTCAACTAATAAGAACGCAGGATGGCCGTGAGGTTGATCTCCTCCACTGGATGTATGCCCGCTCCGATATCAAACAAATTCATGGAAATCCGGAAAAAGTCATTGCTGCCATTGAAGAGTACCACACCAAGCATAACAAATTGATGAACGTCGGAGACGTTAAAGGCCCGACAATTCTCGAGATTATTGCTCAGAGAGAACCATCCCTTATGATTGAACTTGGTGGATACGTGGGTTACTCGGCTGTTCTTTTCGGCAGTGCTCTTAAGGCCCATGGAGGGAAGCTGTTGAGCATTGAGATCAATCCTGAGATGGCCGCTGTCGCAAACCAGCTAGTCGAACTAGCTGGCCTACGTGATAATGTGCATATTATGGTGGGAGCCAGCCATGAGGTACTGGAGGAGCTGGTTCGGGAGAAGAAGGAGCTCAAAGAGGTGGAGCTGATTTTCCTTGATCACTGGCAAAAGCTATACCTCCCAGATCTGTGGCTTCTCGAAGAATTGGGAGTTCTCATTCCGGGAAAGTCGATGTTGGTTGCGGATAATGTTATTATGCCCGGTGCTCCAGACTATCTGGAGTGGGTCAAGGCAACACCAGAAGAGAAGAAGAAGCTGCTTGAAAATGCGGACGTTGGAATTCGTCGTCCTAAGCCCGAGCTTATCTATGAGACTGTTGTACCTGAATTTGATACGGACTTTGGAAAGGTGTGTTTGCTAATGATCGCCCTTTTGAGTTGCAGATGCTAATATATGACCGATTCTAGGATGGTCTTGCGATCACGAAAGTGCTGTGAACGTTCCAACCTTGGTAACATGATCTGTTTCGAACTTGAAGCGGAATGAATCAATATCGAGCGTATCTCCTATTTGAGTTATACTAGAAGGTTATTATTGATAGAAATGGAACCGAAAATCCGAGTATCTCACGCAAGAAGCTGAATGCAGTTATGAATTGATATTCGGTAGAGCATAATTTTGGAAATTGGCATTAAGTTAACCAACAATTATTCCATAATCCGCTGAATACGAGTACGATCCTTTGTCTATACATAGAAACATCGGACGCAGATGGCCTTCTCCCACTTGGAACCGCTCATTTCAGTCTCCACGAGCAGAAAAGAATAAATCAAGAACACTCAAAAGAGAATTAGAGCTGCCTAAAATGCCGAGCCATTTTGAGATCACTTCTAGTCCACTTTACCCCTGGGCATTAAATTTAGAGCGAACGTGTGGAGATTTGGGAAGTCCCCGCCAGCCGGATTGTCCGTCTTGGCTGTCTCATCTGCCTTCCCTCAACTCTTCACTTCACTTCACTTCGACTTCTCAAACGTCCTGCCCACCACATCTTTAACCGGATTGATCCTATACATTCTCTCACACCCATTTAATTGTTATCAGATCTTCTACCCATCATGGCGAGCGACTTCTCTGCGGCCATGACCACTCGGTCGCTCCGCATGGTCCGCACCGTACGTTCTCCCCCACACCCTAAGGTGCCCTTGAAGCCGAGCACCGCAACTGACACGCAACATACAGGAACTGGAATTCCTGGCCGATGCCGGTGTCATCAATCCTCGACAGCTCTCCTCTTTTCTTGCCGAGCTGCCCGCCGACTCTCAGTCCCAGCCCCAGTCTCAGGCCCGCGCGCACCAGCCGTCGCCCATCAATGCCCGCGCACATCAGCCATCACCAGCACCAGCGCCAGCGCCGTCGCCTCTGCCAGAGCCTGTTCACGCACAGCCGCCCCCGGGCCCGTACTCGCCTCCATCAGCGGCCATGTCGAATCACTCCCTGAACGAGAAAGCTCCGATGCAGAACCAATATGCGGCTCCACCTCCCCAGGCCCCGCCAGCCTATCCCCAAGTCCCGCCGATTATGTCGCTGGCCTCCGCCCTATACGCATACACACCGACCGATCCGGGCGACCTTGCTCTGCAGCCGAATGATCGCGTCCAGGTTACTGAGCACATGAATGATGACTGTACGTTCTACTTGAATAGAGGAGTTAAGGGATAATAGCTAACATACATATGCAGGGTGGCGCGGTCGCAACGAGCGGACTGGCATGGAGGGTATCTTCCCTCGAAGCTACGTCAATGTGATTAACGAGAAGGGTGGATTCCAGTCCCCTCCGCCCACTACCAACTACGGAAATATGCCCCTGGCTGTTAGCCAGAGCGGATCGGGTGACCCCAACGACCCGGAGAAGAAGAGCAAGTTCGAGGAAGGTGGCAAGAAGTTCGGAAAGAAACTGGGCAATGCTGGTAAGTTTCCGATAAATGATAATCTTTCTAATGTCCGTTCCCATCTAACCCCTGTCTTAGCGATCTTCGGTGCTGGTGCTACGGTCGGCTCAAACATCGTCAACAGCATTTTCTAAGCCGAAGATATCAAATTCCTCATTCCTCGTATCCTCGAAATTTATCGCTCTTGCTCGGCTTTCCCAATCGATATCCTCCTACATCATTCAACGGCGTTTGTGGCTTGATTTTGCTTCAGAATAGACGATCAGTGGGCTGTTGCTGCTGTTTCTCTATGTTTTATCTTTGGCCTTTGGATTTGATGCACCCACCGCTGGCTATCAACCTACGTTTTTTTTAGATCGGGAAGAAGTATAGCCTTAAGCTTAATCGAATTCGCCTGTTCTTGGGCCCGATGGCAATGAGGATTTCTATTCGTAGCAGTACTTTTGTTGAGAAAGCGGCTATGCGCATGCATGAGGAGCATTAGCGGTTTCAGCGATGAGATGTGAGTGTGATGATTTGCCATGTATTAGGGCCACGCGAAGCGCCGTCCCAGCCCCACCACATTGAACAAGCAAATTGACACTAATAGCGGCGCCTTGAAAAGGATGGTCATGGCTCGTTTGCTGATTCAAAGTAGTGCATTCATTTTCCATGGGTGCAGCAGTAATATGCTGTTGGCACCATGAAGCACTTGACGTTCTTGACGATATTGTTGCTTGTACCTTTTGTTGCGGCAGATGACTGGGAAGACTTTACCAATAATCTTGCAACTGACTTGGTAAGATCTGAAAATAATCACTACTACCTAGGTAGCATATTGTGGCAAGGTGAACGGTGAATTTATTCTAACTGTCTCGCATCTAATCTAAAGGCCCCCTTAATTACGCTCTTCGGCGAGCGACTCACGAAACAATTTCTCTCAGAGTCGATCAGCCTCCTAGACAACATAATATTCGCCTTATCGCCACTAGGGGTTTTGACCGCAGTTGTCTCGGTCATTCGAGTTTGTGGTAGTTCATCCCTCAAAGCATTTATAGGAAGAGCACAGGAGGGCCCTGCTGAGGCCGAAAGCGAGCTTTTACCATGTGTATCCGCGTCCACGGCAGAGCTATTCAACGATGGAGGCATTTCAAGAGTCTTTGGCCGGCCCAGGATTGTCGAAATTGTCGCCTGGAAGAATGAAGATGCGAAAACTGAATTTGGAACTCTTCGTGACGCGATTAGGAAAGGAGCGTGGAGCGCTGAAGGATCGGGTCTTACTGCCGAAGATTTAGATGACCCAACTCGTCTCCCAGAGCTCGATATGCCAAACCTGTCTTTGAACAAGGGGATTAAGAGAAGGCACGAGAGATGGTTTTACTGCACCGCCATTTTGGGTGCCATCATGCAGATTGGTGAGATTATGTCCATCCTAGGATGCTATTTGCAATATCGCAAAGTCAGCCAAACTAAGACCTCTTCTTTCCTTAGGAGTCATTGTATACGCTGCAATCACTGTATTTTTATTTCCCGGAGATTTCGAAAAGGACGACAAACCAGTGGCCAGTTACGCATTCCCATTCTACATGGCTGGAACGACCTTGCTCTTCGCAGGCATGTTGTTTTGCGCGATAATTATTGAACGCTCTTCGAAAGAATATTACATCAAACCAAAAAAACCAAGTAAGATCTATTGGCTACAACCCGGAAACCAGCACGTGGGCGATCAGGTCTTCGGTGCATTCATGACCGTCAAGGGGCAAGGGCGGAATCATCAATGAGCATGCAGCTGCGATATATCAAGTCTACTCGTTTCCCGAAATACGACGGAAGATATGTGGAGCTCTACATCATCCTAGGCTCGACAATGCTCGGCTTCATCATCCAATTTGTAGGCCTAAGAGGTCTGCATGCATCCGTCATTCTAGCCCAGCTGGGTTCAACTTTCATAATGTCAATTCTACGCACTTGTCTACGGACTCAGAGGATGGCACCCGAAGAAAACCTCTTCAAGGATGAGCGAGATCTCGCTACTCAGAAGAAACAAGAACTTGATGCTTTTGCATTTTACCTCCATAATGTCGCTTCGTTTGAACCTTCTTTCTCCACGAATCCGGCTACATCCCGCAGTAACTCATCAGACACTTATGTGGCCGAGCCAGAAAAACCGTTGGTAAGAGACGTCATTGCAACACGGGCTCTTCTTGCAGACGTAACCTCCAAGCAAGAGTCGACGCATGGGTTGAATGTACCATGGGATGATATTCCAACTCGAAAGGTGGCAAAGAGCCTGGCGGAAACGATCGGGAAGACAATGGACTTGTTGTCTAGCTGGGGTGTTGACTACGAGAAAGAGTTCCGATTTGATCTCTCCTTTGAGTGCAAATCCGAAGACTCTCAGTGGACCCAGTCTTACCATGGGCAACACCAAGTTCGCGTTCAAAGGAGCGGTGGTGCTTTGAAATGGAAAGTCGATCAGCATGAGCTCGAAGCGATTATTGGGCTGTCAACTTGGTCGTTATACAAATCCGACGAGGAGTGGAAGAATCCTCTTCTCCGAATGGTGGGCCTTAATTCTTTGGAAGCTGGAACACTAGAGACTTACCTGACTTTTCATAAATGGATCTTCCAGCAAGCTGAAGCTAAGCTTGTCTCTGCTAAGACGATTGATTCGTCTAAACGGCTCTTCGGGTTCGAGTCGGATCGCGATGTCTACGGCAATGACATCCTTACTGTTCGAACAGAGAGCAGCTTGGAGACTATGGTTGCTCAAGATATCTACATCCGATTCCTTCGCAATGCGCTCAAGCCTACCAATGCACTCAGAGGGCATACCCTTCTAAATGACAGCATTCATAATTCGAATGTTCAGCGAAATTTTTCAGCAAAGAATAGCCAGCTTGAAGAGCTAATTCATTGCTTCGAGAGCTGCATGCTGGGATCACGAGATGATGCACTGCTGTGCGTAATTCCTATCTTGCGGAGCTTAAACCTCCTTCCAGAGTTAACAGGAGATTCTGTACAAGTGAGAAAGCAAATCGAAGATTTAATAGGACAAAACGATTGGGAGAAAGCGTTCAGACTTCTCGAATGGATATGCGAGCGATCTCAAGGCGATGAACTACGCCGTTCTGCATATGAACTGGGTTATCTCTGCCGCCGAGCTCTGATGACACATGACGCTGCTATCCGGGGAACAGGACTCAGATATACGTGCAAGATCCTCAAGAACGATATCAGGGGGGGAGTTTTTGAACTCCCAGTACACAAGCGCGCCCAGACACTGGTCAGAGTCGAGCCAATTGGAGCCCTGGCTGGGGCAATTTTCCAGGGAACTAGGATGGATCGCATGGCATATATCGGTCAATGTACCCAGTGCCGAGTGTATACAGCCCACTCTAAACTCCTACGGAGTGCTGGAAAGTTTAGGCACACCTGCTGAACGAAATGAAGATGCAAACATTCCGATGACTGCGGTAAAAGAAACGCAGGAGTTTCTTACTTTGAGTGCTTGGGATGTCCACCATCGCGATCTAGAGGGAAATGATGATGAACTAGGCTACGTTTGGGCCTTAAAAGAAGACCTGGGTGCAATTGCCTATTTTATAATGGTAAGGTGGACAGAGATCGGTACTCAACACCCGATCCTTTCTCAACGAGCATTTAGTATTGCAGCGAGGCATCCCACTGGTCAGGGTGTGAATGTTCTTCTTCAGCATGGTGCTGATATCGGTGCATCGGACGAGAGAACAATTTCAGCTTTACTCCAAGCCATTGACGACAACGATTTAGGAGCCGCCGAGATACTTCTTGAAAACGGGGCTAACCCGAATGGCAACGAGAAAGGGCCGGATGCCAATCCTTTGGGCCTCTGTGCTCAACGAGACCTTATTGATATGGCACAGTTGCTTCTTGGCCATGGCGCTTCAGTTTATAATACTGACGCGAGTGGCATGTCTGCACTTCATTGGGCGAGTCATGAAAACAAACTCGGCATTGCCAGCCTCCTGATTTCCCATGGAGCGAATGTTGGAAAGTTTGGAGCAGACGGAGCGACGCCACTTCATTGTGCGATCAGAAACAATTATCTTCAAATGACGGAACTGCTCCTGAAAGCTGGATCTGATATTGATGCCCCCGGGGGTAATCGAGAGAAGACCTCGCTAATGTTTGCGGCCGACTCCGGCTTTGTCGATCTTGTCCATATGTTGCTAGCAAATGGTGCCGATATTCATGCACGAGATGCAAAGGGACTGACGGCTTTAGAGTGGGCCAAGATAAGCAGTCGCTCGGAAATCGTCAAGATTTTGGAAGAAGCAGCTCGAATGTCCGAGGCATACAACGTGGGTTGATTTGGGTCTCAGAACTTGAAGTTCTGCTTAAAAGAAAGATGCCTGGGAATTTTTCAACAAATTGTTAATTTTGGGACGATTTTGCATCTTCATTTGCAGCTGAGGAAACTTTGGACTCAGAGCACACCCAGGGTGAATCCGTATCTCCATGCTAGGTATATACGGGGTATTATTAACTATCAGCATCAAGGTACGTTAACCTTGGGAGATCACCGGGTAGCGACTTGGATCGTTGGAACCTTGGAATGCATATAATTTCTTGCCAGACCTAAGAGTTCACCTCCGAACTCAGCTTCCGCTCATCAACGCCCATCAACGCCCTTCTAAAATCTACTAGTATCTTTTGAGGTGCCATAATTGAAAGGTTTCTTGAGTGGTCTTGGCTGATGGTGGGCGCTAAGGCGCATTGCCAATCACAGAGAAGGATCCACTCTAGTGGGGGATCGATCAACCCATCATGTTGCGCAGGCGCAACTTTTACGCGCCGGCTGGGATAATCCTGCAGTAGTCGAGTGTGATACCAAAGCAGCTGATTGACTGCCAATGCAAATGAATCCCGCACGGTTGATCATTCCTCGAAGACTAATAATAACTTGAGACGAGCTCCCCCCGTGCGGAGTCGATAGCTCGTCTTCACAAAAACGCACCAGCTCCTCCTCCTCCCTTTTCTTAATCAAACTCCTCCTTTCAGACTACCTCCCTTCAGCGGAATCCATTGAGGCCACTGTACCATTTAAGGCTGAGTCGACAATCGCGCTCTCTTAATCGCATAGTCAAAACCGCCGCCGTCCACTCCCCACACCCGCAATCCAGCGTGAGTTTCTCATGGCCCCCTTCATCCGTACAAATGCTTTGTACATATGGCATTGGCATATCAATAAACATCTGACGCATTTATATTCAGCTTTTATTTCCCCAGTAGACCACTCGCTTCTTGAACATGGCGCAACCACAGAATCAGTACCCCCCGCCGCCAATGTCGGGTAGGTCAATCAACCTCCTCAAATCGTGGCATTTATGAATTGATGCTAACATGGAATAGCCCCTGCACATGTAACATGTAAGAGACACGAAGACGCATCTAAATTACTCTCCTTGACCCTCAATAGCTTTTCCCCCGCCTCCACAGGGCAGCCCTTTCGCACCTCCGAATTTCAGCTACCCACCTCCCCCAACTCAGTCACCTCCCACGAGTGGGGGATATCCAGGCCCTCCACAGTCCACTAGCCCACCTCCTGCAACTACACAGAACTATGCTCAACATAACGCTGCTGCTGTACAACAAAACGCAGCTATCCACCGACCCTCGATGTCACACTCGCCCCCGTTGAAGGCAGATATCGAACATCTACCCGGAGGCGCAGCCCCAGCAGGTAAATTCTCTGGAGCAAGCGCAGCAAACGAGGACTCCGTAGGGACTTTCAATGGAGGCAGCTATCGGGTCAGTCATCGGGATTCAAACTCTCTGTTGACTGTACAACTTGCGATCGGCGCTCCGTTTACTGCCAAACCAGGTAAGAAAGCATAACTTCGATTATCGCAAGTTGTCAGAACTCCCAGCTGACCACATGTATATAGGTGCTATGATTGCAATGTCTACAACCATCACTTTGAAGGGTACTTTCCATTTTGCGTGGAAGAAGCTGCTTGCTGGTGGCGAAATGACAATGTCCAAGTACAAGGGGCCTGGTGAACTCCTACTTGCCCCTTCCACTCTCGGAGATATCATCGTTCTCCGAATCAATGAAAATAACGAGTGGAAGATCGGGCGGGATGCATTCCTGGCTTCCACAGATGCAGTTTCGCATAAATATCAAGCACAGGGAATCAGCAAAGGCGTCTTCTCTGGGGAAGGCCTCTTCATTTACAAGATCACTGGTGACGGTTTACTCTGGGTTCAAAGCTTCGGCGCTATAATCAAGAAGGATGTGAGTTAGCCCCCCCAGTATTCATTGCGAGGACCTTTTGTTGACGTTTATCACTTTCCAGCTCCAAGAAGGAGAGGACTACTTTATAGATAACGGCCATCTTGTTGCATGGAACTGTAAGTATAAGATCGAACGTGTTGCATCTGGTGGAATCATGTCCAACTTCAGCGCTGGAGAAGGGTTGGCTTGCAGATTCTCTGGACCAGGAACTGTTTATCTACAGACAAGAAACCTGAATGCCTTTGCTGTCCAGATGAAGGTCAGTACCGCAAGTGGCTAATGCTATGGGGTTGAAAGGGGATGGGATGTAGACAAATGAGTTACGATCTTGATTGCTTAGCTACACCCACTCCGCCCACTTTCCAAGTCAGAGTTCATGGATGGGCTTTTAAGTAGTGACTATTGGGTTTTTGATATGTAGATATTTCATGTATAACCAAACTCAGAGCAGGTCTCTAGTTATTTCTTAAAATCAACACACTGTTCTCAAATCAAATTAGACCCGGGCTTTCAGAAATAACAATAACTCCGGAGAGCCATACTTCACGCCATCTAGCCTTTTCTTCCTTATTTGCCTTGATAACCCAAAGAGCCAAAGCACAAGGAATCAAGGAAAGCATTATCCGTTTCAATAAGGACTTGGAGTTGTCAGTCATTCAGGTTACAGTCCACAGGTTGCACTGGCCACTTGGACAACAACATACTACAACCCGATTCAGACACAAGCTTGAATGTAAGCCTGAGACAAATATCATATTCGTCACTATCAAACCTTGTTTTAGAACGAAAGAACAGAAACTGGATATATATGGTCATAGCAGTCAATTCATGCCAAACTAATCTATCCTTCATATCATTGCTTCATCGCAAATCCCCGAACCGGTTAAGAAAAATGCAGTTGCCAAGGGGCCCCCCTATTTTCACCCGTGAAAAGATCGTAGTAAGTGTAAGTGACACGCCATAAAGAAGAGAAACGGAAAACTCCCTCCTCCACAAATGCCAGCATTTTTTTGATACCCCATTTAACCAGTACGCTTGCGGCGGCCGACTTGGCCACGGAAACCGGTCTTGATGGCGGCGACGGAACGACGAGATCCACAGGAGTTGCAGGTGACGAAGTACAGACGGTTCTCACCCTTGTTGAGCTCGGTGTCGGGGCTGCGGCAGGTCTTGCAGGTAACGTATTCGACTGGAGGAAGCTTGGTTAGAGAAAATGTTTTGGAGAATAGGAGCGTGCGGGCAAAATAATGACATACCGATGTATCGTCGCAGAACGGACTCAATACCACGCTGTTGGAAACGACCCTTGATAACCAGACGACGGCTACCGTCAACACTACCACTGGTACCCAGCTCAGCGAACAGGAACTGCATGACGTGGTCGTCGGAACGCTTCATGCGCTTGCAGATATCGGCAATGTTGGCGAAAATGGTACGACGGTTACCCTCACGGAGACACTGGGGAGGAGGAATTTTGTAGGACTTGGCGCCGCTGGAGAGCAGATCAGGGTGGTGGCTCTGGATGAGGGAGAAGAAGCGGTTGACGAGTAGAGAGTAAGGGATGGCTTGTGTCGCATCGTGGGCCCAGACACCAGTGCCGGCTTCGTGGTCACCCTCGGGGATGACCTCCTCAGCCTCCTCCTCGGCGGTCTCTCCGGTGACACCAGCCTCGGCGAGCTTAGCCTCGAAATCGCCGGTATCAACCTTCTTCTTGGAGGTCTTCTTCTTCTTCTTCAGAAGGGAGGGGTCGAAGGAGCCGTCGGCGGTGGCGTCGGCCTCCTCGTCCTCAGCACCCTCGGTGTCCTTGGACTTCTTAGACTTCTTCTTTTTTGACAGGCCCTTGAACATCTCGGTAACCTCGTCGACCTCCTTGTCTGTATCACAGATATCACCATGTTAGCGGGTCCACCGATGTGCGTGTGCGGGAGTTTCGAATTTCAGGGGAGCTACAAGGCGTACCGGCGGGCTTCTCCTCCTGGGGAGTGTCTGTGACTTGGCCGTTGGTGTCCATGATGACGTCTCCTTCACTAAAGGCGACCGACTTGCGTTGCTTTTGGGTAGCTTCCTATTTAAAGAAACAGAGACCAAAATTAGTGGGGGTTGATTCCAAGCGCAGAAAATTGACAAAAGCGAATGCGCAGGACAGTGCTTGCAGTTAAGAAACCAGTCCGAGGGCCCAGCAAGTCAAAAAGGGCTTTGCGCTGGTGTGATGGTGAATGCTCGGAGGGGTATTGTGCAGGCAAAGAAAATGTGGGAGGGTCGGTAAAACGAGACCAGGATGCAACGTACAACGTCCGCCATGATTGCGTGTGCGATTCGAATATCTCTAGTCCCGTTGGTGTCAAAGGGGTACTGGAGATCGGTTTGCAATCGAATATTCGGGGAGAAAGTCGACAATGACGAATTTGACGCTCCGCTGCTCATATCCGCTGGGCAGGCGATGCCTGTTATCGGTCACGTGAGTGTTGAGTCACGGTCACGGTCACGTGTGAAAAGGCGGAAAGTCGAGGCAGTCCGGCCCGCCCCATCGGAGAAGGAGACAACCATTCCGATCAACATCAACAGCCAACACCTTGAACAACACCCTCCATCTGCGCCGATGCTCTGATCTTATCCGGCAGCAGGCAGGCCACTGCTCCATCTTTCACCATCACTTTGACATCTCACAAATTTAATCACAACCAATATTCGAGGCTAATTCGTCATGTCCGCCGACTCGTACTCCGGGTCCAATCCCTCCTTCTCCATGTCCACCTACATGGTTCCCGAGGCCGACCACTCATACGAGACTGACGATGATCTCGCCTCCCTTCCTTCCGAATCCACTACCGATACCGATCTAGAGACCCTCTCCGACTACTCGGAATCAGATGCCGAGGCCGAGTGGCGCGAAAGTATCGAGCAGCTAGAGCTGCTTCTCAGCATGGTTCTGGTGCCATTTATTGGAAAGTATTTTGGCCGCCGTTGTGCCTACTGGAGTATGTTGCCATATCTCCTTATCGAAATAAGGTTTTTTTACTTATATATCATCTTGCAGGTTGGACCAGGTTCATGCAATGGAAGTACCCGGTCGAGGTTGTAATGCAGAACCCGGCCCTCTTCAAGGGAACCGGCGCAATCGTGGCAGCTGCCAGTCTGTGATGAAAACGAATTCATCTTGCTCAGATCATTGCGCCACAACACAATCGTTGCCATTCCCAAATCATGATACCCCCGATACAGTCGATCGTCCACCTCCGAAAGTAAAGCTCGACTCTCAACACACCGGAAACCTTCTCCTCGCCATGTGGTGGATCCTACGATCCTGTGAAACTGAGCAAAAGAGCCTTGCTCTGATCACCTAGTATGGCACATTACCAGGATTTACAAACACTACACACACTTCGAAAGAAAAAAGATTTCGAGCTAGATTTTCTTTTTTTTTTTAGATATTTGCGTCTATCGCTATTCTTGAGATTGTTAGATACCCAACCAATCTATTGACCGGCATCGGAGATGCCGGCATGACATGTTCCAATACCTTATCCATCTACTCACGAGCGAACAAGAATCGCAGTATCATTGATAACCTCGACAACCTTCTCCGGGACAGATAACATAGGAGAGTGACCGGAGGCGCAGGTATAAGTCCGCACCACATTATCCCCCGCATTGGCCACCATCTCTCTCTGGAAATCGGGCCTGATGGCCTGATCCCGCTCGCAAAACAGGTAAGTCGTTGGCACATCCCGATAAGCCTCATACGTGAAGGGACTCAGGAAGGACGGCATGGCATGATGGACCAGTGCGTCCACATGTTTCGCGGCAGTTTCATCGTCGAGGTCATTATAGAAATGAAACCTCGGATCATTTGCCTGTGTCGCGTCGCCCTGTACCAAAGCTGTCAGTAACAAGTACATACTATCCTCAAACGCACGGGGCCAAGTCAACCCCATCCATCAGGACTGGGATTAACCTGGGATCAACCCTGTAGCGTAACGTCACCAAGGTCACGTACATCCATAACCGGGCTAATGATCGTTGGGCTATCACTGGGCAAAGACTCAGCGACACTCTGACCACCCGGGATCAGAAATGCCGTCGTATACACCAGTGCAATCACACCACCGGATTTTCCTTGTGCTGCGATATCCTTTCTCGCGAATCCTTTGACCGATTCGGTGCCCGGGACACCGCCGTAGGAGTGCATGACGATGATCACTTCTCGACCTTGAGCTACAAGACTTTCCAGATAGTTGCTGCGAATATAGGCCGCATCGTCGGCGACACTAGTCGAGGGGGGACCACCGGCAGAGGGGAGGGTTACAGGTTCGACATAATATCCTTCGCCTTCAAGGAGATTGGTGACAGGTTTCCAGCATTCGCTCTGATGCCATGCGCCGGGGATAAGAAGGATAGCCGGTTTGGAAGTTGGCATCTTGGGAGAGACTAGTAACTATCGCTTGAAATAAGAAAGCTTCAAGTTGAATGTCCAATGAAAATGCTGGCTGGAGTCTGGGGGTGGGAGACTGGCGCAACGCAAGGTGATGGAAGAAAGTATTCTAAACGGTTGGAAAATGTTGCGGATCGTTACTAGTATTTAGTTATATCAGGTTCTAATCTTCAAGGGCCCACATCGAAATACGCAGGATAATACTGCTTTGGGCTCGCTCTGGATTCCCCATTCGGTCTTTGCGCTTCCAAGCTTGGATTAATTGTGCGCGTTTAGTTTGGCGGCTAGTAACTAGTGGGATGGGGGCGGAAACGGGGCGTCGGGACTGAAGTAGCCAAAATCCCGAACTGCGATTCAAATCTTCAAAGTTCGGGGGGCATCATACCTTAAAAATTCAGAGCATCAAAATTACTCGCATTGACCGGGTTCAGCAGGAGATTTTGAAAACTATATCATTTGTGAATGATAGCTTTTTGTCCGAAGTATTTGAAGGAAGAATGTAAAGTACAATCAATACCCGTTCCTCAACCCATACGGGTGGAATGAGACAAGGAGAACCCTTTTCGTTGTGCAAAGGTTGGATATACCCTAACCATGTGCCAAGATACTAATACAACTTGTTTTGTCGCCAAAAACCGAGCGGGATCGTATTCTGTTCGGGAGTAGAGTGCCTCATCGGAGGCCCGCGTCGGCTGGCGCCTCCCTTGAAAGAAGGCTGTTGGGTCATCAGTTGCTGGTCCAAAGAATTTGTCGGTAGCAAGATCGGTAAATCATTTTTGTTGCAACTTGAGCTTTGTGTTAAAGCTCGAAAAATCGATTGCGTTTCACGAAGCGATGCAGATGTGTCAGTATCTATCCCGATATCGTCGCACGGGGCCATATGACGAGGACCATAACGAGATTCCTTTAGGCTATTGGAGCTAAAAATGACAAAATCTGTCTTGAGGTCGTGCGGGGGTCCTGGTCGAGGCGGAGGTATTTCTAGCTGCTCCCCCTCGAGAGTCGGCCTTCCATCTTGGGAGCTAACAACTTCCTGAAAGAGCATACCCAGCTGTTGAAAGAGATGATCACTATCTGATAGGTATTCCTCAATCACCCTCCTAGCATGGAATTTCCGGTTCCTTCGCCCGTCTTGTGATTTGTATGTCGTGTGGTCAAGTCGGGAACTGGAATATGGGAATAGAAAAGTCGTTGGGCCACCTCCACTTGCCTCTTCTTCCCACAATTCTCTTCTGACCTCTAAGATTGCCTGGAGGTCTTTCAGTTCATAGTATCTTCGGTCCAAGTGGACAGCTTTGCTTTGTTCGCTGGTATGTGCTAGCATCTTGATGTCAAAGACAGCCAGAAGAGTATCTTCCATCGAGCTATCAAGCCGTGGCTGGTAGAGCTCACTTCCAGACCATGCATATGGGGTAGCAGACTGAGACTCTGGAAGGCAGGCCTGCTTGCTGGCCTCCAGAACCCCTTGCTGCGCGCAATTGCCTTGAGATGCGGCCCCGGGGAATATCAGTTTTGGGCTGGACGGTTCCTGAGATTCCCTCAACTTCACAGCCATGGCGCGATTTTCATTTTGCGCGTTGGTCGACTTGATCGATCCTGAGTTCCGCAAGTTTGTGACCGGCTTCGACGACCATTTATCAGCATCAGAGCGATGAATCAATATATTCCCGTATGGATGGTAGTCCATCTCCAGTGGCCCCAGCACGATTCTATTGGATGTAGAGGACTTCGAGGGTATCTGCCTCTGGCCAAAGGAAGAGTATGTTTCTGAAAATGTAAGACCCGATATTGTCGAGGGGAGATCATTCGGTTTGATTGATCTGTCTTCATTGCACGTTTCATGATACTGATCTTGGAATAGCTTAATTGGAGATGAAGATTTTCTCTTGCTGAATATACCAAACATGGCGAATGGCTGGAGCTATCCTCACGGTCAGAAAAAGCACACTAGCACAGGCACTTTCGACTGATGCTTACCGTCAGCCTGTCTCGAGCCACATTTGGCGCATGAAATCCGACATTTGTCGTTTGATTTCTAGCTCGGCGCTTGGATTTTTTGGTTCTTTTGGGTTTCCTCCCCCCATGAACCTGCCCAGTGGCCACGCAAGTTGTTTGATATTCATATCGATCTTCTCGGGGTTTCCGCCGAGGGTTTCGATCATAACTGTGAATTTTCTTCCTCGGGCCATCAGATTGTTCTGGACGGTCTAGACCTGCATCCAGCTCATCTCGATGGCGCTTGTTCAGCCGTGGTTGTTGGGGAGCGAATGTAGTAGTTCCTGTTTCCAGCGGCATAGGAGGCAGCTGAGGACCTCCGTTTGAGACAAATGCATCCGTACGATCTTGATCTGTCACACGCCCTGTCAGCCACTTACCCACAGCATCACTGACACTGCTTATTCAACAGTTCTCGGGATCGAGGTTCATACCATGAGCAATGACCCCTCCTTGGTCTCCTGGTGACACATTTGCCAGCCACTGGTCAATCGAGATACGACCAGCAGTCTCCATGATTTAGACTTGATGAGAGATGCGACGATACGAAAAGAGTTGATGACCCAAATCGGAAAGAAAGAAATCGATGGAAGGGTTCCATTTCGGAAGGTGATTTCTTGGAGTGAGTGCGAACTTGAACTTGAATGCAACGGGCAAAAGGCAGGAGCCATCATTCATCACCATCACCCACATCGCACACACAACGTCACTGGATCTTTCCTCTCTCTTCCCCCTCTGCGCTACCCTGCTCTTTCAGTTATTTGCCACCGCGAGATCGTCTTCTTCCACTTCCACTTCCACTCTCACTCCCACTCCCACTCCAACTCCCACTCTTTTCTTCTATTAGCCTTGAGCAACCTCAATTTTTTTTTCGTGACATTCGGCTTATTCGCTATTCCATATCTCCCGTCACAGCGAACTACCCCAGCTAATGCAGGTGACCAAAGCGACAGTCGGACAATGAGCCCACCCCGTCAAACGTCCCATTGCTTCTTCCGAGTTGCTCGCCCAGGTCTATCCTCTGTGTCAAGGATCTCGGAGACTTTACCTTGTGAAATTCTCCCGTTGGGGCTGTCGTATTGTCACCTGGGGAACTGTTGATGTATATATGTACGGAGTACATATATACATGTCAGGACGATCCATGTGGTGATCGTCACTGCTCTCCGGAGTCCTGCCGACATACGGCCCAAGCGGCATGTGGGTCGAATGCCCCTCCCGCGTGCATTGCGTGGATTGGCTATAGATGATCATCGTTGCGGTCGGACTGGAGCCCAATTTGGCCTGACAGGGCTAGAGCAATGAAGGGAAAACGAGCCTTTCTGCACCTTGCATATCGGCCAGACCTTTCGGAATCCCCTTGACCGATGGATGGGGCCTGACCCTTGAGAACCTCCGTCAACGAGAACATGAACAACGAACAGAATCAAAAAAATCAAAATGACAGACTGTATTGATGATATTGCAAGGGAAGATGTGAGCTACAGTTCTAGCTCTTTCCCAAGGTACACAAGTTTGGGTCAACCGGTGTGCTCCACGGAAAGGAGTGCGTGGAGGTCCCGCCTTCAGCCCGCCACTAACAACTCTCTCTCAGGGGTCCTCCCCCAAGCCGGACATAGTCGGTTGACTTCCCCAGTGGCATGGTTCTACAACCTGAGCCAGGTGCATGCTTCTCGCGTTCTTTGAGTAACGACTCTCTCTCTTTCTCTTTCTCTGAACCGATGGTAGATGCATATGAAAGGAGCAGCCAAGCGCCGAAACCTGGATTTCCAGAGACAAATGAGGGGGGGGGGGGGGTTGGTGGGAAGTATGAGCTACGCCTATCAGCCGATGTTTACTAGCGTCCATCATATTCCAGATCCAGCCTCGGGTAGCATCTGATTGATGGATGGTAGGCACGCCAGGCCGCCGGGCCCCAAGAATTCAATCAGTTCAAGGTTTAGGCCGGTGGGACTCTTCTTTGAGGGGGTGGTGTGAAAGGCCTATTATCTCTGCAGCGACCTGCTCACCCCACCTTGGTCTCCATCCCCCTCTCTCTATCTGTTGGGTCTCTATTCTTCGTTTACTAGTCGCAGCCCGCAGCCAAAAGCAATTCAGTAAGCATCATATTTCCCTGGCCGGTCCTATTATTGGCGCCGGTGCGGGTTGGCAAAGTCCCAAGGACACGGAAGCCCTAAACCAGTGTGATTGTTACACGGGTTTGACTGCTGACTCGTTTCGCAACCACTAGGATCTCCCTGCCGTTTGGTTTCCCGGCACTACTCATCATTTCCACTTCCTCCCATAGGTTCTTTCCATCGAGTTGTTTTTTTGCGTGTGCATTAATCTCTTCCCAGTCTTGATTTTTGAAAGTTTCCTGGGCAATTTACCAGAATGTCCAAACTTTTTGTACAGTATGTGAAACTGACCTTCCCCATGCGCATTTTACCTGCGGCCCTTTTTTTCTCTCTTCCCAGGGACACTAGGCCTCTGTGCCAGGAGAGAATCGAACTGACCACTTATCCATTATGTTATAGCGGCCTGTCATGGCACACTAATGATGACACTCTCCGCGAGGGCTTTCAGCAATTCGGCGAGATTCAGGAAGCCGTTAGTTCTCTTTTTCCGGCCACAGAGCCTCATTCTTTTCTGATCTGCAGCCGAGTCTAACCTCCCCTGACCCAGATTGTGGTCAAAGATCGTGCCACGCTACGTAGTCGCGGATTTGGGTTCGTGCGATTCGCAACTGATGCTGAGGCTGATGCTGCCATGAATGCCATGAACAACCAGGAGTAAGCATCGTCAAGATCGCCTCTGGCTCTCAATCATCGATAGGAATTCATCAACTCATTCTTCGTTTTTACCTCTCCAGATTTGATGGACGGGTCATTCGTGTTGACAAGGCATTTGACCGTCCTAGCCGCCCTGACGGTGGATTTCAAGGCCGCGGTGGATACAACCAGCAACCTCAAAGCGGATATCAGGGTGGTGGTGGTGGTGGCTACGGCGGCGGCGGTGGTGGATACAACCGCGGAGGAGGATATGGTTATAACAACTATGGCAACGGAGGCGGCGCTGGCGCCAGCGGCGGAGGCTACGGCGGGAGTGCTGGTGCTGGCGGAGGTGCTGGTGCTGGCGCTGGTGGTGGTGGATATGGCGGCGGCTATGGTATGTAGGATTTAACCTCGCCGGTCTCGGTACTTGCAAAGATCTTCATTTTTTTGTTCTACATGATTTGAGGCTAACTTGGTAAATAGGCGGTGGTACTAACGCTGGCTATGGTGGTGGTGGCGGTAAGTCATTGCAGCTACATTCCATTCCCGACCACCTCGGCATATTAACTGACTTGTGCTGCTTTCACTAGGCTGGCGAAACAATAACCAACCCCCGGCCCCATCTGAGGGCAACTAAATTTCCAAACATTCAGGGGTTCTTCATTGTCATCTTTCTTCGCCTAGTTTTCTTGTAACCGATGGTTTGACGAAATATAACGAGTTCGGGAATATGCAATGCGGACCTGCAAGTTTTGCGAAGCCAGTCTCGAATGTGTTTTTTTGCGTGATGATTTCCTTTTTGTCTTTTTTTGTCTCACTCTTGAGTTTGTTCTCGCATCACTCTAAGATCTGAGAAAGCTGGCTTTGGACTCGACTTCACTGAGGTACATAAGATTCTACATCCTGGCAATAATTTGGTTTTGTTTTGTCCGGTGTACTATGGTTCAATCTTTGATGATTTCTTCACCTCGTGCATATTCCTAGTTCCAGTTTTTCTTCTACCATATTTTGGGATCTCCGTATTTGGCTCGAGAGAAGGGAAACATCGAGGGCTAGCATGATCATTCTAAAACATGGTTTTGTTCATCTAGATCTAGAGTCTATACCATAATCCAAAGAGACGTTTTCCATCACGAAGCGAACCCGCCCCTCATTAGCCCGCCGCTCATTCGATCTTGTCCCCATGCACCGCGTCTACAGCCGAAGCTAGATATTTGCGCACATCTCTTGCTGCTTCCTGCTCTTCAGCCTCGGGTTGGTCATCGGCCTTGATATCCTTCACCCGCTTCACTAGATCGGTGACATGCACATCGGCCGTGCCCAGCCCAATACCTTCCAATGCCTTCTCCAAAAGATAGAGATACTCCGTATTCTTACCACTCTTTCCCTGGCTGTCGCTAATAACCTGGGCCACATTCTCCGCATCACGCTCTCCGCGTTCACGAAGAAACTGGGGATTGGTAGGTTGTCCGATATACACCATGCAAGTGATCGGGGTTGTATCATCGACCTCGGGAACCTTTGCGACTGTGTTTGTCGCTACGGGGGAGATTGCGTGGAAGGGCGTAAAATGCGCTGTATATCCATTGATCTCGCGTTCGTCAAGGTAATCATGTACTTCCTCAGCATGTGAGGCGGGAATATGATACGCGGCGCCCCATACTTTACCTATGGAGGCGGATTCGGATTCAAGGGCAGCTAGCTGAAGGGAGTTAGCAATATACAAGCTTGGCTTCCCGTTCTACTAAGGGCTTTATCTCTTTCGCTTACCGGGTCATCGAGAGTTTCCCAAAACTCCCGCTCAATAACGGTAACAACTCGACCGGGCTTCTCCAACGTCCCACGATGATCAGAACTGCGAAAGGAGAATAAGGTTAGTCGATCACTCGTCATTGTATTACGCCAATTCTCTCCCACGGGAGATGAGGCTTAAATTGAAACTCCTAGGTTCTGGGATCATGGGGGCCGAGGGAGGGCAGTCGGTGCCCAAAATCAGAAACCAGGCCTCCCACTCCACAACCACATCCACAACCACAAAACATACCTAGCCTGCAATAAGAACGCCACATTGGCCTCATGTCAGCTTTGCTCGATTTAGACCTGAACCATGGGAGGGTCTTTTTGTTTCGCAATCCCGCCCAGGCTGCCGGATTCCTACCCCTCTCTCAGTAGAATTTACATACCTGCCAGAAGCGCCGCACGTAGCCGTTGATATACCCTGGTACCCGCTGATCTATTAATCTAATTAGCTACCAAAATCACAATCACGCGAGGCAGGCAAAATTCAAAAGAGACGTTTGTGAATGAAACCATTGCATTCATATGTCCATACCGAAATGAGGAGGTGGTTTCCAGATCAAACTCCTACGCAATGAAAAGAAAAATTAGCGGAATGATCAACTTTTCACTCTGGAACTTGAACGCCGCGGCAAGGGTCCGAATAGAGCAGGTCCTTCGGATATCCAGCCGTATGCGTCTGATTCTCCCGTTTGTACGTTGTTTTGGGGGCAATTGCATTGCCTTGAATTTCGTATAAAGCACGCAAACACACACCCCCGTAATCAAGATCAAGCTGAGAACTTGAAAGAAATGTCAACATACCCGTATCCAAAAACCCAAAGGTCACCCTGGGGGAAATGCTTCTTCCAAGTCCGCCCTTCCGGGTGTACTTGGTGCCCCTGTATCGCCGCAGCCATAACTGTCTAGCCCTCGCAGTGTCGCCGAGAAGTTGCGGGGATAGTGTTTGCTACTATGATCCTGGTTGGTGCGCAGCAAGCTGAAATGCCTCTTCGCTAGTATACTTAGCGGCAGGGAGAACAAGTCGGATTGGCGGGTCGATGCCGGGAAGCTGTTTGTGTGATCAACTCTCGTATACTTGCGTCCAGGGTCAATCAAATACTGGATTCAAGTTAGCCAGCTAGCCCTTGTGTTGCTGAGAAATCGGGCTGCCCGCTTTTGACCGACGCCCCTCCACTGTTTGCAGTGTTTGTTTTTTGAGTGTCGCCATTCAGGCTGTTGGTGAGGTCTTGCGGGTTATTTACGATTCGATTGCTTATGGCGTGATGCTTGTGTTTGTGATATTGGAGGCGTGAGTCCTTGTTTACTGGAATTTTTGATTTAACCTCGGTCGACTGGCCGATGAATAGTGCGTGAGTGTTCCATACTAAATTTCGTCACAACTTGGATGCGGGGTAGAGTAAATTTGTAAGTACTCCAGGGCTTGAACCGGCCCCCTTGAAAGCAACTGTTTCCAAAGTTGATAGACGATTGCTGTAGTTTTTGGGCTTTGAGATTCTCCCCGGTGGCAAAATTATAGCCCCGAGCCTCTTGAATTTACCATGGTCTATACAATTATCGATACTGGTATGTTTCTTGTTGACGACCCACGAGCCTCCCAGCCCCACTTGCACGGGATGACTCAGCAATATATCACGTGTCATAAGTGTTACGGTCAACACGCGTTTATTATCAGACCACCCCCAGGACTCCCAGAGATCCTGACGTCTATCCGAGTTGTCATTTTTTGATGATTGGTTGTCAAATACCTCCATCATGTCGAGACTTTTCAGTGTTCTCAAAATGCAATTCATCCCGCCCACAGATCCACTTGGAATCTCCTTTGCTGGCAAAACTATCGTGTTGACGGGTGCCACCTCAGGCCTGGGTTACGAGGCTGCCATCAAATTTCTCAACCTCGGCGTTGAGTCCCTGGTTATTGGAAGTCGCAGCATAGAGCGTGGAAACCATACCAAAGCAGAATTGGAAAAGCGCACAAATCGCCCTGGCACCATTCAAGTCTGGGAGCTTGAGATGAGCAGCTTCGCCAGTGTCAAGAATTTTGCCAATCGCGTGAACACCGAGCTTCCGCGACTCGACGTGGCTCTGCTAAACGCTGGTGTCTGGAATCGTGCTTATACTAAGTCGCCAGAGAACTGGGAAGATACCTTACAGATCAATACCTTATCAACCTCACTACTGGCAATCCTACTTCTACCCAAGCTGAGGGATAGTGCTACATCCTCCGATCCAACACATTTGAGCATAACCTCGAGTCAACAATTTGTTCGGGCCAAAGCGGAGAGTTTGCGAACAGAGGGTCCCCTGCTCGAGCATCTCAACTCGGAGACGACGTTCAAGGGGCCCAAACAGTATGGCATCTCCAAGCTACTTCTAGAATATGTGACAAAGACATTGGCCGGTCTCGTTCGAAATGATGATGGCACCGTGCCAGTTATCGTCAACACGGTTAGTCCGGGATTCTGCGTGTCCGACCTCGGACGACAGTATGACCGGTTCTACGAACGCTGGCTTGCGTGGCTGGCCTACAAGATCTTTGCCCGCACGACTGAGCAGGGAAGTCGCTCGCTAGTTAGCACAACAGTGCAGGGAATCGAGTCTCAAGGCAGATGCTGGCGCAGCGATGGATATCTCGAGTATGATTGGCCTCCTTTCCCAATAGCTTTTCGCAATACTTTGCTTTTATCTGCCCCCCCTCCCTTCCTCCCTTTTGCCACGGCATAATCAACTGACAGATTTCTAGCGAATCCACTGCTTTGACGAGCGGGACTGAAGGAAAGCAGTTTCAGGTGAAGGCCTGGGAGGAAATTCTGGATGTGCTGCAGGAGCAGGACACCAAAGTCAACATCATTACACAGAGAGTTTAATTGTGAACTCTCCTCGCGAATGTACTAACTACGATACCTTGTACTATAGTCATGTATTCATACTCCAAAGCGATTACCATCATACTTCGAAAGGGCTCGTATTCGTGTCGCAGTTATTTTTACCCGCAAGAGTGGAGCCGCAATTACAGGCCCAATTTGATGTCAGCCCTAGGCTTCATAGTTCTTAATACTCGGTAGTAAGCTGTTCATTCTCGCGTCGATCAACCGCGAACCGCGCAGGGCTGGACAGAAGTCCAAAACAAAACCAGCAGTGGAAACCTTTGTAACAACCTTTAATTGCGCAGATTGAAGGCGAAGCCTGACTGGAGTTTATCACTTGGCATTGGACTAAAAATCCTATCGTCTTGAACCACCCGCCCCACGGCTCCGCTTTGGCTTTGTCAAGAACGGATCAACCCTGGCTTTCTTTCTCCCTTCTCCTTCTGAAGATTTCACACTTCGTGTTCGACTCTCTGCTCGATAGATTATTTTACGACAAGTCTTTCCCCGGGAATCTGACGCCTGCCAAGTCCAGGGTCTTTCTGAAGGGATCTCTATCTTACTCGGGCCTGATTGCGTCAGTGTCGCGACCATGGCCTACAACAAGAGCTACAATCCCGACGCGCTGCCAGCGTGAGTTGCCATATCTAGCGCAATTCCCATGGAAACCCATTTAGATCACTGACACGCTGGAATGGCACAGGCACGCCGAACCTGAGCAGGTACTTTGACCCCTCGACCACCGTGTCCCTTCACAGCAACCACGCCCGCGCTAACAGAGACGCAAAACGAACAGGTCGCCCAAATGATCGGGAACATGCAAGTATCAGGTAGTCAACCTACCGGCCAAAGCCAAAAGCCCCTACCCTCACGACCCCCACAGGCAGGCCCTGGCGGCGGCGTTCCACCCCGCGTCCCGGTTTCCAGTGCCCCTCCACAAGGAGGAGGAGGTTATAACGCACCGCCGCCGCTGCGCCCACAAGATCCCCACGCCTCGCACTCCTATAGTGGCAGCGTTCCTGGCGGTGGCCGACCATCACCAGCAAATCCAACTCGGCCACACCCATTACACCCATCTCCGCCACCGCAGAACTATGGGTTCGGCCCCCCTCCCTCCCACAACCGACCACCACCCTCATCGCGCCCTCCCCAATCCCCACAACCCCCACCCCTCGCTGCACCAACGAGCAATGACCCACAGCATCTCTTTCCGCTCTTTCGCGCCGCGAATTCCTCGCACTCGGGCTCGCTGACGGAGCACGAGCTGGGCTCTGCGCTCGTCAATGGAGACTATACGTCCTTCCACCCGCGGACGGTGAAGATGATGATCCGCATGTTCGACCGGGACGGGAACGGGATCATCAATTTCGACGAGTTCGTTTCGTTGTGGCGATATCTGGCGGCGTGGCGGGAACTCTTCGATCGATTTGATGAGGACCGCAGTGGGCGGATTAGTCTACAGGAGTTTGAGAATGCGCTCGTGGCTTTTGGGTATCGGCTCAGTCCGAAGTTTGTCTCTGTGCTTTTCTCTGTCTTTGAGAGTAAGACGAGGCAATTGAGTGGGGCGCCGAAGAGCCCTAATCGGCATGGGATGAGCTTTGATCTGTTTGTTCAGGCTTGTATTAGTCTCAAGCGGATGACGGATGTGTTTAAGCGGTATGATGATGATCGGGATGGGTATATTACTGTTAGCTTTGAGGAGTTTTTGACTGGTGAGTTTGGAGTGGAGTGGAATGGAGTGGAGTGGATGGTTGTTGTTGGAATGATTGCTGACCCTTGTTTTTACAGAGATCCTCCAACTGCAGGAGTAAGAGAAGTGTTTTCTCTTTTCTGTTCTCATGTCATGTCGGTCTGGGTCTTCATGCATATTGCATTTGTCGCCTTGGGGCTGTCGAATCCGGACTCGGCTTCCTATCTTCCATTTTATACCCTTTCGTCTTCCCCCTGTTTTTCAGTGTTTCAGTCATAGAGTTCTCGGACAGGGCCGTTGCATTTGATCGGGGCGTTATTTAGTGATGCGCATATAAAGAAGGCTTGTTTGCTTTTTCTTTCATCCGATGGTGGGTTTCCTCGGCTATTTCGTGTAGACATGTAGGATCTCTTGTAGACCGCCTCTGCCAATTCTGTGCATCTGGCGTGGATGTGACAGCTTCGATCGATCTCTGCAGTGTGAGGTCATCAGGAATGCTTGGATAGCACACCACCAAGTATATCGGTAGCAGTAGCAGCAGTGGCAGCAACAACAGTATTGATTTAAATACTCTACGGACTGATTCTCAGATTCTAATTAATATTCCATTACTCAGTACTGTTCCTTTGTATACAAACAAACTGTTTGCAGCCCTACGCCCCACCTATCACAGTCAACGTGGTTTGCTGCAAGCGGCCCTCGCGTCTCGCATAACGCATAAAATTGTCCGAGCCCCGATCCATTCACCATTCACCGCACCCCTTCAACTATCTTTACTCTACTAGTACTATTCTAGTATGTAAATCTTCACACCTCGGATTAGACTAACCAGATCGAGGTAAAAAGAAGGAAGGTCGGCGCTCGGCATTTCGGCTCTTCCCGATACTTGATGAGTAAAATCCGAGAAGATGATGACTCTACACTACGCTTCATCTCGTATAAGTTGGAAAGCAATGCCGCTTGGATCTGGATACAAACGACTCCTCTTGAAGAGGATACATAATACAAACGACAATCCCACACCCTACCTCCCCTCCATCATCCATTCACCTCGCGATCGATCGGTTTTATCTCCGTCGCGCTACCGGACTTTGGCCTTGCGATCGCCCCGCTGAAATTTCCCTGCTCCTTTTCTTTCTCTCCTCGCGCTACTACCACTCTCTGCTCGCAGAGAATAGAAATTCCTTTATAAAACGCCATGTCGGTCGAGCGCCAACACCACGAGTCCTCCAGCAGCGACTCCGTTGCTGCGCAGCTGCCCTCGGAAAAGCTCCCCGAGGTCTTGCCATCGCCTTCTTCCCCGCAAGACGAACACGATGTGACGCCCACCCCAGAAGAAAATGATGCCGAAAATGTGATCGAGAAGAAGGAGTCTGGTTCGCCTTTGGACCGGACGCCCTCACAGGCAGCCAGGATGGGCAAGAAGAAGATCGCTGTCGTTATGACTGCACTTTGTGTATGTACATGTACACCTTTCCTTTGATACCAGGAACAGCCAAGCGCAATGCACCATAAGTCGCATCGCAATACGGACTGCAAGCTAACATTCTTCTCTAGCTGGCCCTGTTCCTCGCTGCTCTGGATATGGTACGAATTCCTCTTTCGCGCCCTCGTTATAATGCCGATTGTTAACCGGCTTCGTCACAGACTATTATCTCAACCGCCCTACCTACAATTGCCGCTGGCTTCGGTGCCTCGGAAAGCGGATACTCCTGGATCGCCTCTTCCTATCTTCTTGCCAACGCGGCTTGTATTCCGCTCTGGGGAAAGATCAGTGATATCTGGGGTCGGAAGCACATCATTTTGCTTGCCAATGTGTTCTTCCTAGTCGGTAGCTTGATCTGTGCCCTGGCAAATAACATGGCTATGATTATTTCTGGTCGTGCGATTCAGGGTGTTGGTGGCGGTGGTATCATCATCTTGGCTAATATCAGCGTGTCGGATCTTTTCAGCTTGAGGTATGATCGGATTGATTTGTTACCAACTTTTTTGGTCATGTTAGAAGTGGTATCAAGCTAACACCTTACTGACAGAGATCGACCCATGTATTATGGTCTTTTCGGTGCCACCTGGGCTATTGCAGGTGCTCTGGGTCCCATTATTGGCGGTGCTTTCACTACCAGTGTTACATGGCGATGGTGCTTCTGGTTGAACTGTATGTGTATTCCTTTGCAACGACAAGAACTTTGGCTGATAATACTTTCTAGTGCCTGTTGGCGGTGTCTCACTGGTTATCCTCTTCTTCTTCCTGCACATCGAATCTCCCAAGACAAACTTTTTGGAAGGCCTCCGCAACATCGATTGGGCTGGTACTTTCCTGATCATTGGTGGTACCCTCATGTTCCTCTTCGGCCTCGAATTCGGAGGAGTCAGCTATCCCTGGGCTTCTCCCACCGTTATTTGCCTGATCGTCTTTGGAATCGTGGTCTGGGCACTGGCCATGCTGTCAGAGTGGAAGTTGGCCAAGTACCCAGTTATCCCGCCTCGCCTATTCAAGGAGTGGTACAATGTGCTGATCTTGTTGGTTTGCTTCTGCCACGGATTTGTTTTCATTGCTAGCACCTACTACCTCCCGCTCTACTTCCAGACTGTGCTTCTGGCGTCGCCTATCCTGAGCGGTGTTTACGTTCTTCCCATGGTCCTGTCGCTCTCCGTCGTCTCCGCTGTAACTGGCATCGTCATGAAGAAGACCGGCCGCTACCGCGAGATGATCGTCGGAGGTCTTTTCTTCATGGTTCTCGGCTACGGCCTGTTCATCGACCTCAAGGCCTACGCCTCTTGGCCCCGTATCATCATCTATCAATTAATCGCTGGTGTCGGTATCGGCCCTAACTTCCAAGCCCCGCTGGTCGCATTCCAGGCCAACATCCGGCCCGCAGATATGGCAACCGCCACAGCTACCTTCGGCTTCGTCCGCCAACTTTCTACCTCGATGTCTGTCGTTCTCGGAACGGTCATTTACCAAAACATCATGGGCCAACAATCCGACAAGCTTATTGCCGCTATCGGCCCCGAGCTAACTGCCTCCATCTCCGGCTCCTTCGCCGGTTCTTCCAAGTCGCTTATTCAGTCTCTCACCGAGTCCCAACGCCAGGTCGTTCTGGATGCGTATACCCTTGCTCTGAACCGCATGTGGATCTTCTATACTTGCATTGCGGCCGTCGGCTTCATCCTGTCTTGTTTCATCGTTCCCCGTGAACTAAGCAAGTCCCACACGATCCAGAAGACCGGCCTTGAAGAGCAAGAACGTGCGCGCAAGGAGCGTCTCGAGGAGGAGCGCAAGGCCGAGGGTAAATCTGAAGCCGAAGTCTAATAATACTACGGGCTTATTGAGCCTTTCCTCGTTGTCTTCTTCGCTCTACTCTCCTCCACTCTCCTCTACTATACCCCCACCCTATCAACTCCCATCGCATCATATTCTGGCGCCGATACTCTCAATGTCTAATATTTTTACTTAATTGCACATACGTGTCTCCTTAGAGTTGGCTTATTTTACTCGAGGCATAATAGCGCTTGCAACGAAAAGCTTTGAATGAATTCTTTTACGCGAGAAATTGAAATCCAGTAAATATGTACGTCTGCAATTTATCATCGAAGGTCTGATCTTAGCATATCAGATGAAGTGTCGATCGATGATGTATAGGACCCGCTGATCCCTCTAGATGGGAATACGAGGTGAGCCCAAATACCTACTCACTGCGTCTTTTTGGACATATTCATACATTAAATCTACTAGTACTAGAGTAAATAGCGAAAAGAATCACATTGGTCATTATTATATTATTATATCATGGAGTATCACTGGGGATGCTTCTTATAGTGCGACATTTCCATCCATCCCTCCGGACCTCCCGGTGCATTTAGAACAAAGCGAGGTGTTTCCGCCTGTTCCTCATCATAGCCAGAATACGAGTCCGCGGAAGACGATGCACGTACAGGCTCGGCTGTACCAGACGCCCCCTTGACAGAAGAGACAGAAATGGTGGTCGTGACCACCGGGGCCTGGCTGGCTGTGGCGAGATCCCCCCCTTGTCGAGGCATACTTATCATATGCCATGTAATTCTTCGGGCTGCGAGAATATCCCGCGGATTTGATGAAGCGCTTCGTGATTGGTCTGAAGAGCGGCCATACTGGCGGGATGGACATTGAGATGAGTACAATCCACTCTTCGACTTCACCCCAGCGGAAGAGGATTCCGACACCATCTGGTACACGCAGTCAGTGGAAAGTCCAATGGTAGAAATTTTATCCGGCGAAACTTACATGAGGGATCGTCGCTAAGAATGAATTTGGCTGCCCATGTACGAACGATAGCGGCTGCTCCGGCGAAAACACCGAGGCCCATGAGGAAACTCAAGCCCCATTTTAACTTGCGGTCCATTCGCAGCGGGACGAGCATCGTAACTGGGATAATGGCGAGATAGAAATCAGAGAGTGCAGCCACGGCACCGATGAAATAACTGTAGCGCACGCTCGTTACATGGTTGCACTGGTCCTGGCGTGTAGGGTCCCAGAGTGCGTTTGGTGGACTGCATTGGAACCAAGCAAGCAAGATCTGCGGGATGCTCAGAATGATGTTAGCCGCGCCAACGGCGATTAAACTGCGGCGGATCTTGGGATCTATAAGAAACGGTTAAAACGACAAATGATTGGAACACTTGATTGCTTTTGTGAGGGGAACGCACTGCCTTGGCCGTTCATCTCGATCAAAAATGCTGCGACTGCGACCTTTCCAGTTGGGATGGCCATGTTGAAAAAGAAGACCGTGATCCATGTGAATAAAAGATAGTTATGTAATTGGCCGACTTCCTCGACGATGGCAATTCTGTTTCCAAGCCCATGGAGAATGGAAATCACGCCGAAACATTGTGTAATAGTCGTTATAAGCTATATCACCGGTCAGTCGTTTCGTTCCAGATAGATTCCAGGCGACAGTTCCTACCCAAGCGACAAGAGCCCAGATCAAGGCAGTTGTTCCAAATTTATTAACTCGAAGGCGAACATAGACTCGCAAGATCATGAATATCGTAGCCACTGCTCCTAGGCCGAGTCCCACGCGGAGATCCGCTGGGCCACGGCCTCCATATGCCGGGTATCGATCTTGTAAACTCATCAGGGAGGAGTTGTAGTGGAAAAATCACAAGTCGGCAGGAAGGCCATATTTAGCAGCAGCCGTTCGCATATATGAACAAGTGAGACCCAAGTTTCGGTGTCCGGCGGAGCGCGGCCACAAGGAATTCGATTTTCAAGTGTCCAGGCGGGGTAGATTGACCGAGAATCAATCTGACCATAGGTTGGCAATGCTTCATGGGTAGTTCATCAGATTTGTGGCTCGATCAAGTGGAGCCCTACCATTGAAATCGCCGGCCAGAACCCTTGGATTCGCTAACCGCCACCTATTAACTCGTTGGTCGTAAATCCAAGACGATGGGTCCACTTGCTTGCTTTTCGGCTTCTAGAATTGCCGTGCCCCTGTGGTGTTGGGGAGGTAGGATCAGTTAAATGAATACAATTTCTTGGAGCTGAAAGAATTAATCTGTATTACCGAAGAGAAGCATCGTATTGGCCACCATATGAATTGCCCTCGGACCAGCCTCATCAAAGAGAAGAGCAAAAAAACGGGGCAGATAGATTAATCCCGTCACGATTTTATGACCAAGCGTTCAATCAAGATCAAGATCTGAGTCTCCATGTGGCAAGCCCCTCGCTAAGCATCGCCAACTATTGCCAAGAGTGCATCGGAGCGCCCGTACTGGCCTGAGAACTTTTTAGTCAGGTCCCACCTTCGTTTGGCTTGAGCGCAGTCCTTCGGAGGTTTCACCTTATCCGTTCACACGATTCACTTGGATCGCTTTGTTCTTATAGAGGAAATCTTTCCCTTTGCGCTCGGTCCCCACTCGACCACGCGAGTTTTTCAATAGTTTCCCCTCCAGAACCTCGGTCAGGCTAACGCTTGACATCACCCAGACATATGAGTGGGGGCCCACGCGTTGAGAGGCTAGCATCTACTGATTTTTTCCCATCAATATGATACAAGTTTCAGCTGGTGCTGCGACATGAGTACTCCGTATACATGAGCCTCGTGTTTTGTTTCGAACGTGGAGGGTTTCATTCAAATATGAGTTTTACGCTGATCGAAATGGCTTGGAGATAGTACTTTCTACCCAGGTGAATTCCAAATACAAATAATTATTTATAATTATTTATAATTATACTCGAAGTACTCGAGGACCTTTGCTGATTTCCTACCGGCCGAACCCCGGAGCATACTAGTAACTTGTCCTCTGGTGTGGATACTCTTGCGGCTATTCATATCTTAGGCTCCCGTTATATCCGGGCAGATGGATGGAATCGATGGCGTACCACTCAGCGAATTTCGGCAATAGATACCCCAGCTCATTGTAGATTATCTGAGCTCGAAGTGAATGGTATCGGGGGTTTTCAACCCGAAGCACTGCAGTGTCCAATAGCAATACTCACGAGTTGAATTATCGTGCTCTGTTTACACACCTCGATGGCTGGTTTTCAATGGAGGACCCGGATGTGGGACCTATATGATACCCCCGGGCTTCTCTTGAACCAAAAGCGCCTCGAGTATCTACACATGCGCTGCTCTTACGACAGGAGCCAAAAAAGGACCACAACCTAGAGCCAACAGTATTAATCTCCTGATGAAAGTTGCCCCAAGCTGAAAATACCCGCCCTTGAACAATAGAGCGAGTCGACATACCGACGCGACACGAAGCATCACCACTTCCTAGATATGACCCAAAATATCAGTATCACGCAGCTCAGGATATTTCATCTTTGAGCTTCAATATTAGTCCTTAGAAGCAGTATTAAAGAAAGCTAAGGTAGCATTAAATGCCGTCACGCTGGAATTGATTACGATATGCAACGATCGTCAAGTTCTAACAAATCAAACGCCTGTGGGAAACATCCAGTGTCCTTTGGATAGGATAAGTGCTTCTTGGATGTGTTTGGATTCTTCTTGGGAACGAGCTCTCGCTCAAATTCTCTGAAGTGGAAACCCTCAATCTCTGCGCCTTGAAAGTATTTTGGGTAAAATATGGCGATTGAGGTCAAAAGTCGAGTCCGCTTTGATACTGGATTCTCCGATATCTCGTTCCATGAATGGATAAGTCATTTGAAGGTATTAGTAGTAACGGGTGAATTTCGCGATGCCGTACCAGTAGCAGCAAGACATCAGGGTGCAGGTGAGGTACCAACATAATCTGGAGCAATTGATAATCGTTTTCCTTATGTCTTAACGAAATGGTTGAATTTAAATTGCCTCAGCAATGCGATTTGACTCACACTCTTCAAATGATCATGATATTGAAGAAAGGGTTTCGCCAACAAACCTTGTGGAACCAAATGTACCCATGGGAGCCAGACAATCATAGTCTGTGAGTAATCTGAACTCAGATTTTGAAGCAAATTCAGTTCGGGCACAGAAAGAGGGAGCGCATAGATATTCAATGTAAAGGCAAATAATGCGCTATTTTGACCAATTCAAAGCGACACGAGCCTTGAGACTAACAAATCACACACTTTCCCACTTTTAGTACGAATTATCTTTTTATACTCGAAATAATATGGGAATGGTGCCCCAGACTTCTTCAAGAATTGGCCTCTGGGTGGAATTCCAGTTGATCGGACCCTATTTCAATAGCAAGGGTGTATGTCGGAAACAGCATTCTCGCGATTCTGTTAAGCTTCAATAAACACTACTATGGATGGACCTCCAGATTCAAAAAGAAAAAAAAAGATTCCAGATGCGACTCGGAACCATTCATGAATGAAAAACAGATTACAGGCACTATTGCCGATTACATTAGAAAAAAGATTGATAATCATCGAATCCCCATTCATATTATCATCCAATATTGCCCAGGTCTCCCCACTCATGTACCGAGGGTTTAAAATATCATGACATTGGTGCAATTTTCTTAGTCCACGGGCATCCTATTAGGCTTTGGATGACCCTCACTCCCTATCTCGGTCGCCGCAGTAGATCCACTCAACTCCACCTCAGGTGCTTGCAATTCAACAGGCGCGTTACGGTATGTCATTTGCGGATAAGATTGAGCAGTCTCTTGGCCTTGACTTGTCCCAGCCAAAGCCCTCATTCGACCCCTCCGTTCCCAAATAGCCCATATCAAAGACCCAATAGCAATCACACCAAGCGGGACACCAACGCCTGCGCCGATCGCCGCGTCTCGAGATGAAGATGAGCCAGATCCAGAACTGGATCCTGAATCGGAAGAGCTGGTGGAATTGGTGGAGTTTGTCCTTGTTGAACTAACCGCTAGGCCAGCGACGCCTGGGATGGCGGTGCCGTAGGGCACGGAGACTGACTTCATGGGGCAGGTGATGGTGCCGTTATCATAGGAGGCTGTGCCGCAGCAGTGTGTTGTTTTATTTCCGGCGTAGTTCGCGGCGACGATTGGGAATCCTGAATTTTGGTTGTAATCAACTGGAAGCCATTAGTATATCAGTGTCTGCTGTGCTGAAGTGGATCACGGTCTCTTTGGATGGGCTCTTACAGCAGAATTTATACGAGCCGCATGAGGTCCAGCTTAGATCTGTACAGCTCGGGCGGGATAAGGCGTATCCTGATGATTGCTGGAGATAACATAGCCCATTGGACATGCATATATCCCCTTTATTGCAGCAGAACGTGTTATCGGCATCTGTACAAGGAACATCGTCCTTGGCCTGTGATGAGTCGGGATTGTAGCATTTGCGATCATCAGCGACAGCTGAAGCTGTCCATAATAGGAGTGAGATTAAAACAGGCCATAGCCTCGTCCTTGGAGGGTTCATTATGTCGATACGAAAAAGAAGGAATAACAAGGTTGTGGAGAGGGGGCGGGTTATGGGGGTAAAGAATAAGCAGAGAGCCTATTAAGACACGTGGTGGGGCATTTGCTCGAATATAAGCGGCACGTTGGGGCCCCTGTTTTTACAAGGCAGCTGATTGACATCAGTGGCCATGTTCTTCAACTAATACTGGGGGCCAAAAATTTGGGGGTTGGGATGTTGATCATTCGATGGATTCGGTCAGGGTTTGCAGAAAACCCGCACGAATCATGTCGCTAGTGGTTAGCGCCTGCAAGTTTCGAAAGGGTAATTGCCCTCGTATCTTTTGCTCCGCTGTTTTGAACATCTGGATGATATCTCCGTTTGTAAGGGCCCACAAACGCATTTGAGATTTGTCGCGGTGTGACACCAGAAATGTAAGGGGTCAAGGTCTACCACGGTTATAGAGACCTCAGTACATACATCCACGGATCATTCCTCGCCGTTGAACAAGCTTGAGATTACTGAGTAGATGTGGGAGATTGATCAAAGTGGCCCGTTGTCCAAAACAAGGCCTGCCAAACTAGAAACGCCACAAAATGAGGCTCCACAAGGGCGGTTACTGCTATATTGAATCAGCAAGCTTCTTCGACTGGCTCTTGTTCCATATTTTTTTTTCACTATTTTAGGTTAAATTTGGCAGCGGAGCGATATTTTTGGCTGCTCTTGCTATTTCTTCCGATTTTCTCGAACACTCGCGCTCACTTACTCGTAGCGAAGAAAGGATTTGTCTGTGCCAGCTTTGGTTTAGTGTGGCCAGGTCATGGCTTGGCATAAGCACTGGCGGAGCAATGCTCCTATCTTTCTTGATTCGATTGGGAGAACCTCGGTCTGCGAGAATTAAAACGTATAGTAGAATAAATCACAATCTAGATTTCAAACGAGTTATACTAAATAGCATACAGGAATCGAAACTCCTCGCAACGGGCGCGTAGAGAGATCAATCTCCAAAAATCCCAAATTATCAAATAAGGCCCGAACGTCGCGACAATTCCCAGCCAATACTCTAATCATTCAGAGCCGCAATGATCCTCCCCAAAGCCTCCTCCAAATGCCCCCGATGCTGCGAAAAGACGATCCGGAACCATCCATCCCTCTCCGCCCCAAACAAAGCACCACTAGCCAAGAAAACCCTCCGACTCAACAGTAAACCCATCACTTTCTCGCCTACCTCTTCCGACTCCGGGATCTCGGGGTGCAATTTCCTATAAGCCTTCCCCAGATTCACCCACAAGAAGAACGCAGCATTGCAACCCGGTGCATGCTCAATACCATGACTCTTCACAAATCGCACGGTATACGCATACGAATCCCCCAATCGGAGACTATTCTCCTTGATATAAGCATCCGTGAACTGCGAATCCTCCAACAAAAGCGCAGCCAGATGGTCCGAAATCCCCGAAGCATATGTATACAACGAAGCGCCCTTCAAGGCCTGCTGCACATGCAAATTAGCCTGGGAAATCACAACGCCGACACGGATCCCATTCGCGCCAAAGTCCTTGCTCATCCCCCACAACACATGGACGAGCTGCGGGTCAATGATACCCCGCGTATCGATCGAGAGGGCGGACTCGAATTCGACAGCAGGGGGAGTGTCCTTCTCATCGACGGTATTTTCCCAGACGGATAGCGCGTAGATCTCGTCGCTTATCAGGTTTATGCGATACTTTTGGCAGAGGCGCATTATTTCGATCAGGGTTTTGCGCGAGTAGCAGCGGCCGAGCGGGTTGTGCGGGTGGCAGAGCATCAGGGCACGAACGCGTTTGCCTGTCTTTTGCTGGAAGTCTAGGAGGGCTTTTTCGTATTTTGCCACGGATTGGGTGCTTAGCGGGTCGATTTCGTCAAAGTTTACGGGTACGACCGAGGCGCCGAAGCGCATTGACATGTCCATTATAAAGGTACCGTAGTAAGGTCTGCCGAGGAGAATTCCTTCGCCAGGGTCGGTGAATGCCCAGGATATATGCTCGATGGCGGAGGAAACTCCATTCGTGACGACGAGGTGGTCTGGATCCAGTGGCGTGAATGGGTTTAGATGCTGGTTGAGGAATTGGCACATTGCGCGTCGGAGACGGATGGATCCGCCTCCGCCGTCGTTGTAGGTGAGATATTTTGCTGGTAGTTCGAGCTTCTTGTTTATGAATTCTAGGAGCTCGTTGTGCATTAGGGCGTTCTCTGCAACGCCGACGTTGACGTAGCCTCCCGGGTTGGTGGATGGGTCCCAGACATTACTGAAGATATCCCACATTGGGTTCTCGGCTGTGGAGACAGAGGCCAATTTTGCGCGATGTGAGACCGTCGTGTCATCTCGATGATCTCCCATTTTGGACGAGGGGGGTTTTGTTTCAGTGAAATAAGGGCGATCGATTGTGGAAGAGCAAACTCTGGCCCCTGTCGGTATGTAATGGAGATCTGGGGTATGTGAGAGCCAAATGCTTTCTTTATAGGGAGTCCGGTTTCTGATCAATGTTGCATATACGAAGACCTTGGCTGTAAGATTCGTGACTCAGTGCCAGCGCGGTCGGAGCTATAATGATAGCTCGTATATCCAGTTCATCAGACGGCTAGCTGCGGAAAATTCGGCGGGGAAGAATAAAGTGGAGTCGGGGTGCCTAAAGCGTTCCCAAAGGTTATCTATCGTTCTTCATCCCCGGACTTGGCATTTTCTAGAGTTACCAGCCAGGTACTACATGTAGTATTAGTTAATGAATGCGTAATGCTTATTTCAACTACGAACAGAATATCTAGTAGCAATATCTGATGGCGTAATAGTTGTCTTGTATTCATTTTCTCATATCTCTGCCTTCCCCACAGAATACTACTAGTTAACTCGGCCTCTGCTCGACCATCAATCCCACGCCAAACACCGAATACCGAATACCCCAACAAATCCTCCAAGCTTCATCCCATTTTATTGAGTACTCTACTCCATAGTCTGAGCCTGCTTAGCACCATCCACAGCAGAAAGGTAACCAGTACGATCCTTAACGTAAAGCTCAACATCAATCTTGCCATTCAACTCAGCACCCTTGTTGTCCAGTGTCCCAGCCTTGACACAAGTCATATCAGGCATGATTTCAAGCTCAGTATAGATTCCGGAGCCGCAGGTCGGGCAGAAGAAGTGCTTGTTGATCTTGCCGCTAGCACCTTTGGCGTCGTAGGAGGTGCATGTTCCTATTAGCGTGAGTGGGGTTCCGGAAACACCTTCCAAGGAGTTTTGATCTCCCGCATTCAGAGATGACAGATCGATGGCTTACCTTTGGTAACCTTGAAGCTTGTGCGCGGGACAACGGCGTTGGAGGTGAAGGCGCCTCCGGTCCACTGATCTACGTTAGTACTTGGTCTTTCTTGTGTGGGGGATGGGATGGGATATGGTCAGGTACCTTTTGGCAATCGGTGCAGTGGCAGAGAGCACTCATGTATTCCTCCGCTAGTAGGTCGATGTCAGCAATTGGGTCGTGGCATCAACCCCGCACCCCGGTAAGGGAAGGGGAGAAGGGTGCGACGTACCTTGAACAGTGTAGTGGACACCGCCACACATGCAACTGCCATTGAGGACCATTGTGTAGAATAATAAGATTAATTGTCCGGGACTAGTACTGGTATGAGGGACCTTGGTGGAATCGCAGGGATGGGGAGGAGTAAGATTTCCAGGATAGTTTTAGCTATGATGCTTTATATACAAGGCTCGGCTCTCGGCTTTTGATCGCCCCACTTCCCTCATTCCAATCACCGAATGCTAGTCGTGCGCGGGGAAGAGTAGCAGTGACTTAGTACCATCTAGTATGCTGGTGGACTTGGCTAGAACAATGTCATTCTAGACGCGAGCAAGGATGCGAGAGCCCGGAAGGTTTAATGTGGTGTGACATTCCACCTGAGCAGTGCTTTGAGGCAGTGTATTTCAACTAGGGTGAACTATTGGCTGTTGACCAGGGATATTTGTATGATTTACATTGGAAAGCTGTATAGCGGAAAACTTGACATTGCTGTCCATAGTAACAAGGTCTGTATGTACACCGTCCAAAACGTGCAAAATTAACGCCCAGGTTTGACTCAACAAAAGTGACACAACAATACATAATAAGATATAGGGAACAAATAAAAGAGATAATTTGGAAAGGAAAGAAATAGATGACTGGCTGAATGGTCCGGTGTACCGATTGAAGGAAACCATAGAACATAGAATATCATCAGGAGAAAGAGATTTCAAGGAAAGGAATTGAGAGATGGTATAGAACTGGGGTATAAAGAGCAAGGAGACCCTGAACTCAACCAAATAGGGGGAAAAGGGTTCAAGAGATGGAAGCGTCGTAGGCGGAGCTAGATCTCGGGATATCGAACCAGGATATCAAACATAGGGGCGGGAGCATACGTGTGAACGCGAAGCTGATCGAACACACTCGGCAGTGTTTATGTTTTTGGTTTTTTGCTTGCTCCTTCTTCCGTAGACCCACTATCAGGGCTCTTGCGCTTTTTGTCCTGTTCGTCTTGGCTGACGAAACTAGGACCGCTTTGCACCGCTGGAGTTGGGAAACTGAGAGGGCTGGGGAGTAAGTTGGAATCCGGGCCCGACCGGCCGAGGCCCCATTCGGAGAAAAAGCTGGATGGCGAAGGAAGGAGATGATCTGACATGTATCGACTCGGAAGGGCGGAGAGAGGTGTCTCGATGTTGTTTGAATTGCTTCCGTTGCTATTCGTGGCGCCTCTGTTGCCGTATGCATTACCCTGCGAGGCAGCGACTGGGGGTGGGGGCCTAGCAAATGGATTGGGAGGTCCCTGGGCGCCAGCACTGAGTATTGCCCCTGCTGAAGGTGATGGGGGCGGTAATACGACGCCTGTCTGAGGATTTTCCTTGGCGGGAGTCCCAGTGTTGTTCCCAGCGGAATCCCGGGAAGATGATCCCGCAGTTGCACTCCCCTGATCAGAATGTTCACTTGGAATTTGCACCTTTAATTGTGGTCTTTTGGACGTGAGTGCTCCACTATTAGTTCGCGACGGGGGTTTGATATCTGGCGTCGATGACATGGCTGGTGGACGTGGAGGTTCTGACACTGCGCTCATCGGGGGAACAGATGGAGGTTTCAGGTTATGCGAATTTTCCTGAGAGGTTTCTATTTTTTGATCTCGCGGAGACTCATACATTGGAGCTCCTCCGAAATGTCGAGCAAGCATGGACCCACGATCGTCAATTGGTGTGAAGATGCTGCGAGATTTGGATAGGGATTTTGGTTGAGGCGGGCTATGTTCTGCTTTTAATCCACCCGCTGGGGGCATCCTGCGAGCTCTCAGAAACGGGTACTGTGCTTTCCTGCTGGCTCTCGGGTGCATATGTTGGTGGTATCGATGCCCGGCCTTGCTCTGGGATATAGACTTGGGGGACCTGTTGAACCGGTGCATGAGATACCGGTGGCATTCCCATGGGTTGTGGCGCTACAGCATGTGGATGTTGGAATTGCTGAGGACCTTGGTGAGGCTGCATCTGCTGAGGGGGAAGGCCGTGCTGAGGGGGGACGCCGTGCTGAGGGGGAAGGCCATGTGGGTGATGAATCGTCTGAGGCGGTGTCCCCTGCGGACCCGGTGGAGGATGACCATATCCTGGGTATTGGCCAGGGCGCGGCTGTCCCATTGCCGAATGGATATTGGGATTATACATGGAAGGGTTGGGCATATATGCGAAGCCATTTTGGGGAGCAGGGGGAGGAGGCGGGGTTCCGTGTTGATGCGGACCCAGATTGGAGCTGACACGGCGAATGTGGTTTCTTGATGAAGGGCGCGAGAGATTTTGTGACTGAGGGGTGCCATGTCGCGGCGGTAGTCCGTTGGGGATAGGAGGAGAGGCGGAGGGAGCGTGGTTGACGTGCTGGAAACCCGTTTGGTGAAGATGTGGTGGAACGACGGCATGACTCTGCTGAACTGCCTGGAGATCCTCTGGCGCGGGGGTCATCTCATCCTCTTCATCGTCATCGTCACGCTTACCCGCGAAATCTTCGGGACCTTTGTGTTCGTGTGGAGGGCCGTACTGAATAAGATAAGATGTCAGCCGATGCAGCTATGCGCCCGGGTGTGCAGGACCGAATCTACTCACGTATTGATAGCGGGCGAGAGCCTCTGGCATATCCGACGAGGAGTACTCGTACAGCTTCTTGTTCTGGGCAAAGATAATCACGGCGACATCGACGGAACAAAGAACAGCAAGTTCATGCGCCTTCTTGAAGAGGCCACCCTTTCGCTTTAAAAATGTGCTGTACGGCGCAAATTAGCAAATTCGAACATGATATTTATCAGATACCGAGAGAGCGACCAGGGAAACATACACGGAGCGATTGCGGTCATCTTTGATCGCTTTGATCTCAATCTTTCTGCGACCCATGATGAGGAGTTACGGGCGCACGAAAGGCGCGCCGAGGAGAGTAAATGAGGAAAAACGAATAGTCTCGGCAGCACTTTTCGCGTTTTCGAGCAAAGGGAGTGACTCGGAGGTGAAATCAGGTCTCGGGAAACCAACACACAAGTGCAGAAAAGTGTATAGAGATACTTTGTTTGGCGCGCGGGCGGAGGCGAGACTCGAGGCGGCGGCAAAAGGGGACAAAGGGGAAAGGGAGGGCAAAGACGGAAGCAGACCACGCGATCTGGAAACCCAGTAGAGGGCAGACGAGGGAAAGCCGACGAAAGGGAACCAGAGGATGGTCGATACCGTGGGTAGCGGATATGGATATGGGGGGGGGCTGATTGACGATGCAGAAAAGGTTGATGCTATCTTTAGAATCATTCCATCGAGGTGAAAAACGGGAGGTCTGACTAAGCGTCTCCACTTTAGCATACTTAGTCCTAGGGTATACAGTAGTATACTAGTACAGTGTGATAGTTATCACACTGCCCAGGTGTGATTCGATTATAGTACAGTGTGATTCAACTAAATAGTCTCTCGTCACATATTCTCGGTAAATATCAACATCAGTGAAGTGAGTGCTGCAGTATTGGTAGTTACTCTTCTGTATGTAGTAGTAAATGTACCACTGCATCTGCACCTTATTTCCTGGGTTATTTCTCTGCTTCATGGATATAATCTCCACAGGTAAATAATGATTAGTACTATTACTATAATTCCTATATATCTTGAATGCTGCTACTCTGGTACTAATACCCAGGTAGTACTCAGGGGTGTCAGCAATGACCACGTGACTATGGGGCATGGCCTGAGCTCGGGATGGGGCGTGCAGCTAGCATATCGTCGATAGCTTGAGAGTTAATCTATACCTTAGGTTAATCGGCGATCGGAGATTGGCAATCGTGGTAGGTGGAGAAGGGGGATAGTAGAGTATTTAGTAAATATAGAGTACTAGTACAGTGTAGCTGTAGTAAACAGTATATTCAATGCATACCTAGGGACAGTGTATACTAATGTTACTTCGTGCAGTGTAGTATAACTAGAATGTAGTACAGGCTGTACTAGAATAACTAGTACCAGGTCCTATCTATATCAGCATCACCAGTATTACTAGTACTAGTAGATATCTTCAACTTACCTACTTACATAGGGTATCATATCTATCTCTAGTAATGCAGAGTGCTAAAGTACGAACCTTTACTACTCTGCCGGTACTCTGATACTAACACGAGATGATGATCGCCCGCATCATCCACTCCGCACACACAAAACTGTTTACATTGCACTATACATTACCTACTACACTACACACTACACCACTACACTTGGCGACACTGCTTGGTTACTGCCAGTGATACTATACTCCAGGGCTCTCGTGACAATTGATGCTATTTAAGTAGGTACTCAGGATCTACTCTCCTCATCTCCCTCATCTCTGGTGGGGGTGATCTAGACCCGGTTAGTGGCTACCTTTCCCTTTCCGTTACCCCTGAGATTCCACTTCATCACGCCCAGGGACCGTTTTTTGTCATTGGCCTTTTTTTTCTTCTTTTGCGACCTGTCGACCTGGACCTGGACCTTGACCTTATTCTCCCCTTTTCATTCCTTTGGCTTCCCCCGTCCTTCGTTTCTCACTTCCTCTGGTTGACTCCAGACTGCACCCATTCACACTCCCATTCACGCCCAACCGGGGATCCTTTCCTTTCCTTTCCTTTTCGCCTAAGCCTAAGCCTAAGTCTAAGCCTAAGCCTGCTCCGGGGCTGCAGGTCATCCCGGATCTTTTTGGAATTTCTACTTTCCTCCTTCGCTTCTCAATCCATCATTCCTACCTGGTCCGTCTTTGCATTCCCGCTTCCGATCCCCCAGACCATTGAGTCCACTCCGGGACTTTCCGCATGATTTGAAGTTGTTTGACTAAACTCCACTCCAGAACAACAACCCAAAAAAAGAAAGAAAAAAAAAGCAAAATAACCCAACCCTGTGCCGTCGCGACAGCGGAAATCGCCCTGTCCGGACAACCGCACTCCCCAATTCGAACCGACCTCCGAAGATGCCTTTCTTCTCACGCGTCTTCCGGGGCAAGGACTCCAGTGCCACCAAGAAACATTCAAAGCCCACCACTACCACTGACACAACCCCCGCGAGACCCAAATGGACCGATGCCTGGCAACGCACTGAGGTCTCCCCCGAAGAGGTGGCCGACCTCGTGAGAGGCTGTTCGCAGGAATTGAAGGCGCGAGGTGGGCATTCCCATTCCAACCATGTGGTTGTGCTACCCCGGCCACCACGCGCATTGCCCCCGGATTACTGATCATTCGTCCAGCTCTCAATGTGCCCTTCCTCCTCCTACCCTTCCGACCGACCTCCGATCCCAGTGCCGCCCGCACCTTCATTCGCAACTACTTCAATCAGTCCTTCGAGAGGGGGGCACCCGTCGCGGGAGATGGCTTGATGCAGGAGCTCCGGCTCAATGAGCCCATGGTGAGAAATATACCCGGGTCGTGGATTGGCATGGAAATTTCATCCAGTGGGTCAATTACGGCAGATGACTGACATTGGACCCCGATAGGTGCTTTGCAGTGTCTTGAAATGGTGTTGGAGTAGATTGCCCGGAGGTATTGTGACATGGGACGCCTACGAGTTGTTCAAGGTTGGCGAACAAGGTACAACAACCCCGTGGGGAATGGCATAGCCATGGCAAGAACAAAGAAAATTCACTAACACAAACTAGATTCGGACCACGCCCTCGACGCCTTCTCTACCTTCATTCCCCTGAGTGTCGACTCCGATGCCCGCACCAGCATCATTAACGACTTCTTCGATCTTCTTGCTGCCATTGCGGCCCATGGCAAATCCAACGGTCTCGGAGGCCGCAAGCTTTCCCGCTATGCTGGATGGTGGGCTTTCGAGCACAGTGATACGGGTGGTGGCTTCGAGGCCTCTTACAAAAATTGGGCTGCGTATGGCTTTCTCCCTCAATTCCCCCTGTCATTTATGGCTCACTAACCCGAGCAGTGCTGCCGATGCCACGAGCCATCTCTTCTTTGCTTACCTCCGTTCGCTTACCCCGGAAGTCAAACGCGGCGTCGCGGGCATTACCTCGCTCCCCATCTCCCTGCAGTCGCTTGTGCAGGCAACCGAATATCCCCCACGAACACCGACTCTGCTGCAGGTCACAACGACCAAGGTTGTTATGATTGTCGACACCGTCTCTCCCACTCCTTTCTCGCTCCTCCGTCGTGCCAAGAACTTCGAATACCGCGACGAACACTGGAATTTACAGGAATTCTCCAATTATGAAGACCCGGTCAAGGCATTGACTGAAGAGTGCCTGCGTGTTTTGGGATGTATCTCTTCCACGAATGAGTCCAGTGTCTCCAGCTCGAAGCAATCCACCAGCCTTCGCGACGCATCCTGGTCGAGATTCGAGGATATCGGATTTGGCGGTGCCATCGACTCCGACCCCGAAGATGATGATCATATGGTCCCAGCTCCACCTAAGAGCGAACCGGCAGCGAGCCTGAGGACTGCGCCTCGGTCCCAAGGTGGTGACCTTGGACGTCCCACAACTCCATCCTGGGCAGACTTCATGTCCTCTGGATTTGCGGATGAAGGAAACCTGAAACAGAATGTCACACCTTTGCTGCTCACCCCGGACAAGATGCTTCCTCCAATCGCTGCCACGCGTGGCATGAGCTCCCAGTCCCACAAGCGCAACTTGGACGCCGAACCCGCTTTGGAACCGGCTGAGTTGGCCAGCATCAACTCTTTCGATCTGGACGACTCGTTCTGGTGGGTTTGGATCACCAGTCTGTCCAGCGACGAGCCTCTCGCCCGCAAAGCTGTCTTCGGCCGGTGTGCACTGCTCGAGACTGTCATTCGGGGGACCAAGTGGTTGGTCCTAGAAGAACAGGTGAAGGGCGCTGCCCCAGAACCTGAGGCTGGCGCACAATTCGTTGAGAAGAAGAGCTTCTTTAGCTTCGGAAGCCGTAAGGGCACAAAGCTAAACCGCCGCAAGTCATCGGCCAAGAAGGTCTCCCCCATTGAGGAGTCGTATAAGCGTTCCAACAACCAAGCTCCTCAGAGCAAGTCCAGCATTGGGCCTGATCAACATAAGCGCATTCAGGCTGCCGCTGCTGCCCTCCAGAGGAAGAACCGCGAGGAGGCTGAAGCTAAAGATACTAATGTTAATTTTGGCCGTGATAACTTTTCCACCAAAACTAACTCCGTTTTGACACTCCAGCCCGGTATTGTCAATGAAGCTTCCTCTGCCATGAAGTGGACCAAGAACTATGACAAGAATGCCTACCGTACCGCCTACCTGAGTGACAGCCGTGCTGGCACCGGTGCTGTCTCTGCAAATGGTGAATCTATCGAGGCTGCCGACACTCTCGAGCCCGTCGCTGAGCCTACAGCAGAAGATTCCGTGGCGCCCTCCGCTGCCCTTCCTCCCACGACTTCCAGGAATGGCCCCCCTCCTCCTCCGAAGGACCCTGCCGCTGTGGCAACACCCCTACCACCCTCTCCGGAGCCGGCCAAGAAAACTTTGGAAGAACCAACCCCTCAGCCCGAGAAGAAGGGTAGCGCGAAGACTGTCGTTATCGAGGATCCCGTCGACTCACAACCCAAGCAATCCTTGGACGAGTCCAACAAGAAGCTGAAGAAGAAGACCGGCAACAATGGCTTCAAGAACATGTTCGGCACCAACAAGAAAAAGACAACCGACCAGCCTGCCATGAAGAGCACCGGAGCTAAGGAGATCTCTTCTGTTGCTGCTGCCCGCGCTGCCCTTGAGGCCAAGGCTGCCGCCGCCCAGGAATACAGTGCGCCCTCCCCTCCGAAGTCTGCCGTCAAGAAGAAGCCCGTTCCCGAGAAGCCTAGCACCCCTGTGGCTGCTCCCCCGGCAGTCCCAGCCCCGGCGCCCGAGAAGCCATCCACTCCTCAACAGGCTCCCGAGTCTCCTGAGCAGGCCCGTGTCCCCATCTCTCCTGCCAACAGCGGACCTCCCCAGACCCGCCATGCTGTGGAGTACGATGCCCTCTCTCGTGTCGATACGAACGAGCGCACCGCCGCCGATCAAGAGTTCTCCAAGTTCGACCAGGGTCCTCTTCTAGAGCAACCTGCCTTTGTTCCTGACACCCCGGCCACGCCGACTGCCCCAGTTCACTCTGAGCTTCCTCAAACCCCCACCAACGGCCACGGCGCAAAGTACCAACACACTACTACCCAGGCTGAGGCCATTGCCACTGAAGAGGACCGCTGGGCGCAGATCCGCAAGAACGCCGCCGAGCGTCAAGCTGCTGAAGCTGCCCACGCTTCCCGCCCTAGTGAGGAGCCCGAGGCACGCGTCAGTCAGTCTGAGCGCTCTGATGAGGGTGATACCAGCGGCGAAGAGAGTAAGTGGACCCTGCTGCAACATACTCATGACAAACGTGCTAACCATTCCCAGCCATCGAGTCGCGTGTCGCCCGCATCAAGGCCCGTGTTGCGGAATTAACCGGCCAACCCGCCTAATAAATACGCCAAATCTACCTCCAGAAAGAACTTCGCCATTGTCCATTTTAATCTCTTTGATTCTTTTCCCTTACGTCGATACTTATTTTTCATCCGCGGCCTCCTATTGATTTTTTTGTGACGAGTACTGGGTTGAAAGTACCCCGATATACCCAACCTCTTCGGCCCGGCTTCTCTCGCATCACAACCCCATCTCTTCTTTCCGACCACAACGCCTCTGTTTCTCGTGTAGCTTGTCGTCTCTCAAGCCAGTCAAACACCTCACTTCCCACCGCCTGAACCAGAGAAACGAAATACTGCGATACGATTAACGGAATCCTTTGGTTGCGCCATCTATTTACCATTTACGCTTATTTTCTCTTCGCTTCGTTCCGCTCCGTTTTGTGCCCGTCTTGATCCTGACCTTTGAGCTTTGATACTTGAGCTTATGCCTTTGCTTGGCTGGCCGCAGCGTAGCGGCTCCGCTCTGCTTCAGATGTCCGATATTTTCTCTATTTCCTTGATCCTTTTCCAACCTACTACCATCTTCTCCGAATCTGGCTTTGAAGTCTCTGTTTCTTGTGCTTGTGCTTCTGCTTTGTTGCTATATTCCCCTTTCGCTTTTTAACCGAGTTCTCGTCCCGGTTCGGGTTTGCAGCTCTCGGCTCGCTACTACCAATTGTGAATCTGAATCTGAATCTGAACCTGAATCAAGACTCTGAATTTGACCTTGAATTTGAACTATTCCCTTCGGGATTGCCGGTCCCTCGTCCCCATCTATGGCTTGGCTAGAATACCGCGCGTAGAAAATCGACCCTTTGAGGTTGAAGGAATCCATTTCATTTAATTTTGTTTCTTTGAATCTGAAAAATCACGACTACCATCACAGATAGGGTGTAAACGATCGACAACCTACAACTTGAACTCTCTCGTGGGCTGTTGTATAAATAGTAAAGACGAAGACGAACACCTAGGTATTGCTCTTGTTTTGTCAAGAAGAGCCCACCCGGTCCCTCTCTTCCTATCCTATGCTCAATGGATCTCATAGATTTACAACCCCAAAGCCTTCAACAAAGCCTTGCCCACCCCCTCGGCCGAAGCCGGATTCTGTCCTGTAATAAGCACACCCCCAACCCCGTTCGTACTCTCAACAACAACCTTCTCCCCCCAAGCCTCAGCCGCCTTAACGAACTTCCCGCCAGAGATCTTATTCAACTCGTCCTCCAGCATGAACGGCATAGCGGCAGACAATTGCACCTGATCCTCCTCCAAGTTCGAGAATCCCGTGACAGTCTTACCAGCGATGAGCGGCTCGCCGTTCGGCGCCTTGGGTTTCAGAAAGACGCAGGGTCCGTGGCAGACAGCCGAGATGGGCTTTTTGGCCGCGGCGAAGGCCTCGATCAAGGCGATGCTCGTGGGGTCAGTTGTCAGGTCGAACATTGCTGTTGGTGGTTAGTTGGACGAGTATAGAGGGTAGTTTGCGGGAAGGCCCGAGGCTCGACTTACGGCCGTGACCGCCGACGTAGAAGATAGCGTCGAAGTCGGAAGCTTTCATGTCGGATAGGACGTTTGTCTTTTCCCAGAGGGCGGACTGGGTTTTGTGGAATGAGACGGATTTTTCGTCTGTCTTGAACATCTCGACCGAGGCGGGGTCCAGGGGCGCTTTTCCGCCCTTTGGCGAGGCGACTGTCAGGTCACATTTCTCGTGTAGTTCGTACCATGGGTGGGCGAATTCAGGCTGGGGTGGAATTTTTGGTGTTAGTTGTTGTTTTTCTTGGTTTGGGGGGTTGTTTGAGGGTTAATGAAGCATGGCTTGGATCCCTGCTGATATGATGGATAGTGGGGTTGGGGTTTAGTAGACTCACCAAGTACCAGCCGGTGGGCTTGCCAGTCGCAGGCATGGTGTCAAAGGAAGTAAGGACGATGAGAACCTTAGGAGCCATTGTGATTGAATTGAATTGGTTGGATATGGATTGTTTTCTGGTAGTTGTAAAGATCAGAAGTGAGAAACTGAGGTTATCCTAAGTTAAGGTGGCTGCCCGAGCTGCGGTGGGTCTGCGATATCATCGAAGCGTCATTGCCCCACTTAACGCTTTGTTAGAACTCTTCAAGGGTCCTTATTTACCGGTAGGTCCAATTTGAGCTCCGGTCTTCATGCTTCAATCGAGAAAGAAAATAATCGGCCTCCTTGGGAAATTTTACAACTTTAATATGAGGTCCATATGGAAACGGCACCAAGAATTGGCGTCTTGCCATCTGCGATGTTGATTTTTATGGCGAGCCAGGTATAGAAATGAAAGTATTGGTTAAGCTACCTAGCATTGGAACTAGTATTTGAGTCGAAATCATGCACCACAGGTGCTGCTCCTAACCACAGCTAATATAGAGATGCAAGTATAACACCCTCTAGCGATGCGACAGAATCCACTATCGGCAATACTGATTGATATCAAAAATGTTAGCTTTGTAGTTAGAGATATCAGAGGGTACAAAACTTGAAGACATACCCAGTTCTCGCTTGAGCCTGACCGGACGCAAGATTTTCCTTCGCAGCAAACGCCCTGGCCATCACCGGGTTTATTATCACCGATTCTGCAGAGGTCCCCAGGACAGTGGCAAGAAGGGAAATCAGGGCAGTTACCAGCGGCCATGGCTAGGCCGAGGAAAGAGGCGATCAGGAACATAGTGTACTTCATTTTGCTGAGCTAATGGGGGTTAATGAATGTTATTTCTGATGTTGAAGAGAAAGAATGGTATATACCGGATGGTTGCAGTGGAAATAATCCGAATGAAAGATAGTTGTCTTGAGAGATGATTCAAGTTGTTGATGAGGGATTGAGATATTTGGAAAATATCGTCCAGTATTTATAGGTTTTGGTGCTCTATTCAGGCCGGTACTCATGTTGAACCATCAGTATACTGTTTTGTTCCTGGAGAATGAAGATCATCTTGGCAAGGCTAGGCAACCAGGCGGTTTGCTGAATAGCTTGGGAGGCCTAACGTTGTACTTGGTAACATGAAGCACCTGAGGTAAGAGCAGACGTAATCACACTTGAAGGATCATGCAGGGCCCAACAGGAACAACTCATGATTGAAATGGGAATGTGGGGAAGCTGAAGAAGATCGTCACCAACATTCAGATGGTGGTCCTAATTGGCGCATCTCCCAAGGCTCATCACAAGTCGACGATTTATCAAAGCCACCCGCTACCACAAGTGATCATTGCAACGAGCTTATATGCGCCAACGCCTTGGCAGTGTGACTACGGTGGACCCCAACAATAAGCATTAGTCAACCACATTCTGAAATTGGCCCAAGACAATTTGGTTACTTGATACTAAATGACAAGTTTTGTCTTCATCTAGATCTAGATCTCTTCATGGGTGAGTATGCTTTGCTTAAGAAAAGCCGATACTAGTATGGAGTAAGTAAGTTTTTACTGGGCGTAGCTCAAACATCATCTATAACTATGTACAGTCGAAAATTGAATCAGCTTCCGGATTACTTCCTTCGCATTCTCAGGTCTCACTGCCAAGGCTCATCGCAGATCATCTATTAATCGGGGCATATACAGCGCTTCATAGCGGCACGGCTCAGTTCTAACTGCAGATTCTAAGAAAAGGATCCAAGGATTTGTAGCCTAGAGCATTATATCAATACATTTCTGGGATATCTACCTGGGTGTTTAGTTTTCAACTCACCAAGTCTCATGGTACATAGCCTAGTACACTTACTGATAGCTACTAAGGTTCCCAATGTTCGACTTGCTCTACAGTGCTACCGTAGGTGCCATTGAACACTATCTGAAGTTTATTCAAGAGGTCCTTTGAAATTTGCTTATAATAGTAGGCTTAATCTACCTAATCCATTTCAAGATCTAGTCATATAAACCTGAGTGCTATTAGGTACAGGCGGTCACTGGGACGGTCAATCTAATTTACAGGCCTATGGAGCGCCGCAGGACATTCTAAGTTGAGGGAGGACTAGGGTACAAATTTTGCTATCGACTATATAGTATTATCGGCTTGGGATTCATGACGCGCTGCCACATTATAAGGGTACTGGCAGCTAGACAAAAATGAGCCTACTAGTAATTCGTTCCAACAAATAGCCATGCTTCAGGCGTCCCACGAATGCAAGGAGAAGATCATTTCCATCTCCATTACCCTGGAACTGAGACTACCAGTCAATGCGTTCAAACAGTCATTGGACAACTATCTGGTCGCATTTTCCTCTTCTTAGCGGGAGAATTTTCCTTCTTATTTTCCTAATTCTAAGAAGCCGCTTAAAGGAGAACCCCCAAGATGATTCACCCCAATGAAAGGCTCTTGGCAACGTGGGCATGTTCGACTTTTCTAAACAGGCATTAGCTTAGAATGTATGGAAAATGTACTATCTTGATGCATTTTTGACTGCCTTGCAAGATTGATCTGAGTTAACATGCCGTTCATTCGAGGTAAAATTACTTGAATTGGTAAATAGAAACTCTCATGTGGTATTCATAGAATTGATCAATCGCTCGAAATTCGTAATATCAAATGCTGCCACAGAACGCAAAGGACAAGTCTTAGTAAACAACTGGTTGATTTCATCATGCATCAAAATGTAAAGTCTGCAAAACTCCGGAATGACGATCATCGCGCAGTTCCTCATGCACCCTCGGGGCTATCATATCTCTCCATCGGCGTATCCATTTGCACTGGCACCTGCTCCTTGAAGTGCGCCTTCTGCGCAGCCCGAGCTTTATGAATCATGACATACGCCTCTCTAACATCGATGAACAAGGTCAATGGACTGAGATAGACGGCCCAAGCATGCAGTCCCAACCAACCACCCTGGTACCGCTTCGTGAAACCACTCATCAATGCCTCGTCGGCATCGTCGCCGAGAGCCTGGTACTCTCGAGGGCGCAGGGTGCGCGGGGCATTGTTCGAGATCTCATAGGGCTGTGTGCGGTAGGTGTAGCAAACAAACAGTGCTAATGGGACCATTTGGACACAGATTACCATTGTGGGTAGCCCCATCGCGATATCGATATAGGTGAGGGACTTCACACGCTTGAGGACCCCTGTTCCGCTGAGGATCATGAAGATTATCTTGAGTCTTGTCAATGCGTTTCTTTTGTCTTTGGTTTGGGTACTCTCGGTGGTTAGAGGCTTACCTTCTCCAGAAATATCACTCCGACAATCAACTTGAAGGCTAGGAGTTTTAGCAGTGGTCTATGCTCGGCCATGTACCCCTTCATATTCACGTAGAATTGCACGATGGCGTTGACGGCCACTCCTGTGGAAAGTGAGGTGGCCACCGAGATCTGTCGAGCCTGTTAGACTCTGATATCTAGTCGTAGTTCGATTGTACTACATACCCAAATATGAGAGAAATGCGGCGCCATGCTACTAAGACAGTAAACATGCACTGCCTGAGTCGCCACTTGAGTGATAGCAGCACCCCATGCGATTAGAGTATATTGCAACACTGACCACCACACCACCTGATTCCAGTCAGTTACCTCTTCGCAGCACCTCTATAGGATTTTGTATCCATGTATCCAGGTGTCGCCTACCTTCAAGAATTTAAGGCCGTTTCTTGTCCTCTTCGGCCGCCATTGTTCCTTGATTTCTAGCGAAGAGAAGAATTCCACTTTGCCTTGATCAGTGGGAGCCATGAAATCGCACATAAGCATGAGAAATGAGTATAAAGCGATGCCCTGGAACACCTCGGTGAATCCTTGTAGGTAGACGTAGGCGTTCGGAAAACAGATTGAGGCATAAGACAGGATTTGGTAGGCAGGGATTAAGTTGATGATTCGCATGATTCTATGAAGAAAGCTTAGAGTTAGCATCTGCTGTGATTGTAACGACTCCATTCATCTTTTCAAGGGAACATACTTGAGTTGTTCTTGTGGATTACTCATGCGCAACGCATGTCTTGCCATTAGACCGAAAATCAAGACTAACACAATCGCGGTGCAGATACCAGACACGATCATGTTAAAGTGATAAAACGTGAGATTTCCCACAAACGGCCCGACATCCACTAAGTCCACGGTTAGGCAAATCCATTTTCATCGCGACCTAATCCTAGGAGTTTGTCAAGTTGACTTACTTTGCCTGAAATCATCGGGAAGCTCACAGCCATGGCTACCAGCGGCGGCCTCTCTGGGGCCTAAAATTCCCATTTCGAAAACGATAAATGGATATAGAAAACGCTAAACCGGCGAAGAATATGACAGAAGGCGTAGATCAAGAAAAGCTTGAAGGAAAAGAGCCTGATGAAACACGAAAAAGAAGACTTAAGTACCAAACTCCTCGCCAACCTGAGACCTATCTCCAATGACAGAAATAACACACGTCGATGAAGATCTTGACTTTGTTGTAAGGAGGCGCTGCCGATCTTCATCCCCACTTCACAAAACAAAAGCCTTGGTCTCACTGCATTCCTTTTTCGAGCTTAGGGGCTCAGCCCAAGCTCAGCCCTGGCAGTGCTTGGCCTTGTTTAGTCCGTTTTGGCCCCCAATTTCCACTCAACAGCCCCCACGCATTAACCCGCGCTGACCACTGAGAGAAAAGGCAGCGGTGAGATCGTCACACCGTGGCTTCGCCACGCGCAATTGTGCGGTAATTAAGCCTTTGATCAGCGTCTGACCGCAGTGTGAAACGTCAATTTGGGGAGGGCTGAGTTGATCTGAGCCAATCGTTCTTCAATCTGCAGGGCTTCGAAATGCTTTCCTAAATTGGTCAGTGAGATAGTACCAGTACTAGTAGTATTAACTTTCATTCGAAGTTGCTTTTCCAAGGCTAGAAGAGAAGCTTGGTCTTGCAGATTATTTCCAGGGGCTTCTTTGGACCAATGTCAATGTCGTTGATTAAATTACTATTTCGTCAGGAATTATATATGCACACCCTAATGCCAGAACTCCAAGAGCTTCCCCCGCTTTTCGGAAAAATGACCCTCTATAAACATTGCTATACATCGGATATAAAGCGCTTTTTTGTATCATGCCATGGCCGGCTGTCGTTAAGGACACTGTGCTATTCGAGAGAAAAATCACGGCACGTATCTCAGTCGTCGGGTTGCCTCAGCTGCGACAAGGGCGCTGATGGCTCCGATGAAGAGGCAAATGGAAATAGCGTTAGGTTTGTCCTTGTCCAGGTTCATCCACTGCGTGTCTGATGGGTCACTGTCTTTTTCAGGGGTAGTGCCTGGCTCGAGGAGTGTGAAGACAATCCAGCTGATAAATGTACCGACAAATTGCGGGAGAGTCGTATAGACATTCAACACGCCGAGATAGATACCGGCGAGCTCGCCTGTTGATGGGATATTAGAAGATGGGTCTTCTTCGTCTGCGTCGCTGTCCGAGTCGTTGTGGTTCAATCGAAGTACCTCCAGCTCAGTGTCCTGTGCGCTAGCCCGCATGCTGGCAGAAGTTATCATCGTCACACCCCCAGCGCGTGCAGTTTGGGCAGCCAATCCGGCAGCACTGTTGCTGTTCATCGTTAACTTATTGATCTCCACGCCCATAAAAGCAAATGGTGCCCAGCCACTGATGGCCCAGGGAATTCCACAAAGGGCGACTAGGAAAGTGGCAAACGCGCGCGAGTGGGCTAATGGTGCAAAGATCATTGTCGCAGCAAACATAATCTGGGAGATAAACCAGGCTGTCTGAAGATCTGGGCGAACGGCGGTGATTTTCTTCAGAAACCTCGCAACACCTGGAGGCGGTCTGGGTGTGAAACGCGACCGCTTCGTATCGGGCTGTTGCACGCAGAATGGGAGCAACACAGAGCTCAAGAATGTAATCGAGGAGAATACCGTGAGTGACAGACTACCAACACGGCCCACCTCGCCCAGCATATCGGTTGATTTCGCCAATTCGTCTTTCGGGACTTCATAGCGGAAGTATGTCTCACCGACCCAGGTGGTACTATAGAAAAGGAAGGGGAACCATCCAATCCATGCCCAGAACTGGGCCCAGCAAATAGCCTGGATGCGCGGTGGGAGCTCCATGGTAGTTTTGAAGAGCTGGGTGATAACCTGAATAGCACCTGCTTTTCCGTCCGAGTCTCTGTCGTGATGTCAGCGCCGATAACTTCGAATGTATGCAGGCCGGATGATATCTTACCGTGCCGAAATCAACACGCGCTCCTTCACCGAATATGAAGTAACTGCCACAGCCGAGATCAAAGAAATAGCCGCGATTACCGTCATCTGCTTAAATTGGGTATCGCCAAGCAGACTGCCAAATATGCTAACCGTGTCAACTGCACCTACCACGTAGGAAATGAGTTGTCCGATGGCAGACATTCTTCCAGCTAATGAGAATGTCAGATATCTTTAAAACCGGGCTCAAAATTAGGATGACATACCCCAGGCAGAACCGGCTTGCTGTAAAGGAATCGGCAAGGTATCCACGATTAGACTGCGACAACATGCTTGAACTAATAGCAGTTTAGCAGGGAACACCGAGTGGTAGAATGCGGGTAGACGCACCAACGTTAATAGAAAAGTCCACGGCGTAGATACTAGACACAGCCAGAGCAATAGTGACGTTCTTGGCCTAGTCAAAATGGTCAGCAACGATGCAACACAGCAGGCTCGAGAGAGAAAAACAACACCTTTTCTGGTTCTGTAACAAACATGGCTACTATCTCGGCAGTCCAGCCCAGCACGATCAAACAAAAAGCCACAACAAATGAGCCGAAGATCATAAACGGCCGGCGTCGTCCCCATTTCGACCGTGAGCGATCAGCAATAACACCAATTAAAGGCTGGATAATCAATCCCGACAAAGGGCCAGCGATCCAAACCAACGAGACCTTGGATTTTGTCAAACCAAGTTGAAGTAGATACGGCGTACAATCTAGTCACAGACGCGAGGATTAGCAATCGTCCAGCTTTCAACACCAATCCCCAATGCCTCCGTAGTCTGCAGGTCGAAGCTTACAGGTCATCTCTGTACCCCAGGTAAACCTATTAACACCTTGTCAGCCTGTCTGTCCCTTGATGCGGTCCCAGGAGAGAAATCCAAATACGCACTGTAGTCCCACCAAGCTGAACGTCAACAGCGCCATGCGCGTCGATTCCGACTTGCCCTTGATAGAGGGCGTGCCCGCCCATCGTGCAGTTTGCACCATGCTGTGCTAATTGCACAATAGCATGCGCTCGATCTCTCCTCCGCGGGTTCCGCTTCAAACAGGGCTAATTGAGACGTGTAGACCGGGTGGTCGCGAATCGTGATCCGAAACGCGCGGCGGAGGTCCAACTGGCAGGCGCAGTAGTGAAACGACGCGGCTCTGGCTATATAGGCGAAGAGAAGTTCAGTCGGTGAACTGCCTATGCCCAATGGTGCTCGACGTGTCACCGCGTGCCCTCCTCCTTGTTTCACTTTCTTGTATGATCGGCGGGCGCGGCAGCGGAACGATTCGGTCGTGTTTTGGGGTGTGGGGGTGACGAATATGGGGTCAGCAAAGGGTTGGTATGGGGTCTCGAGGGGCCGTCAGAGGGGGCGAGGCGAAGTCTGAGGAGGATAGCAGAGTAAGGCTGAAGGCTGGACTGGGCGGTTTCGTTTTGGGGGGGGAAAAATGGACTTGGCCCCGGCGCCGTTCATGCGGGCCCCCGGCTTTATCGTGAGACCCGCCCAGGGGTTTCGCAACTGCCGATTGAGGTAGTGACAGCTCTCGTGTTCCAGGTAGAAGCGATTTTTCTATCAATTGTACTGGGTGTTTCAGCTGGACGAGCGAGGTGTTATTTCCAAGATGTTCAAAATACAAAAAGGAGTTAATCGTCGAGTGCAGTCAATTCAATCCGGAGACCCTTTTGATCTGCGCGAAGCGGTTGATTGGCTGGAATTGCTGAGTCATCAATATTCCGGTCTATTTTTAACAACACCTTGAATTATCAAAGGGGAAGCACTCAAGAAGTTACAGCGACATGAAGAAGCAATTATTTTCTCCAAGACTGTAAGGATAGAATTAATCGGCTCAGGTTTAGTTTGGGGCTGGAGTAGTTACTATTTGCTCCTAGTGGGCACGGCGTCATGCCCCCCGTGGACTGCCCTGTTCAAGTTGCATCAGATATATATAAAGGGGCATCTGCCATCAGTGATGTACCTAGGTAGGTAGGTGTATCTTCCAAGGTTTCAAGTTCAAATTACATAGTCAGAAAGTTCAAGTTGCAAAATTTAACCTTGGAAGACCTTCAAAAATTAAACTTGACTATTATAATATTGAAACTATCACTAAATCGTAATTCCTTGCCACAAATTTGCAAATTTCAACTCTGTTGGACCAACGTGGCTCGTCCGCAGCAGCACTCCAGGGTTCGATGTATCATCCTCGGCAAAGAACCGCATACCAAATGTTTCCTCGGCCGCGTAAAGACGAGTGGAGATCGCAGTCCGACCATTGACAAATACCTCCAGGACAGAATTATCTCTCCATGCGCGAATATCCAAGCTTTCCGTCCATTCTTCTCCGTTGTTGGGGCTCGTCCCTGTGAACAAGGTGTGTGGCGCTATTTCAGGGAAGCTATTGATCAATAAAGCCGAATCGGGACGGGGAAAGGATGGCCGGGAAATCGTGAAAGTTTCATCTTGCGGCTTGAATACCATTGTCGTTGCATTTTGAAAGTCTGTTGATGATGTGATCAGCATGAGGCCAGGAAGATGAATTGCGGGGGAGTCTCACCTCTTGAATGGCCAATGGATATACCAACCCGAGAGCAAGTTTTCGAGATCTTAAAAGAGCACTCAAGCTCCCAGTGCTTACTGTTCAGGCTTTCTAGAGAGAAGCCAACCTCGGCAGAATCATTATCCAGACACGATGCCCGCAAATGTGAAGAACGCGCCTCTGAAGATGTTCGAAGATACTGAACCAAAGGCTTATATGGCTCACTGGCCAGAGTGTGGATAGTGAAAGCTCCATCGGCCTCTGGTTCGAGCTTGAGTGAGGTGATGCAGGGCAAATCAGAGACCAATGCGCCAACTACATTGTGAAGAGTCTGTAGATGAAGCTGTCGGGGCATTGAAAGCGACCCGCTCCATCCTTGCTGATGGCGAAGATCATCACACAGGTCTTCTTCTGTGATCCCCCCCCAGACAACGTATTGCTGAATTCGTGGATCAAAGAAAGAGTTGGCCGCATAGAGACAACCATGGTCGAGATGACCTCCGAAGCCATACGAAATATCTGCAAGACCAGTAGCTTCATCTTTCTGAAGATTGCCAGACATCCAAAGCTGGCCACGGCTTGGACGCGATGGACATGCACTGCCCGGAGATCCTTCAGGACCACCCTCGAGACAGCCTTCAGTACCCATGATCAGAAAGTCGAAGATCGAATGGGGATCATTCTCTTCGGACAGTGACAGGAAGTTCGTCACCTCCCAATTCCTTCCTAAATCACCAGACCACCGTGACGGCCTGAGATTCAGACCAAAATTTGCAAGGGGGCCGAGATACTCCCAGTCACTCAGGTTGTTCACGCTAATCTTGTAGAGAAAACTTGTAGGTGTAATATCCCTGATGCCTCCGGAAATAATACCGAATAAGGTATCCGTTGAGTCTAACCCCAGAACCTTGCTCATGTTGGGCCAAGGAGCACAGAATGGATCTCTCCAGCCAGTGACATCGAGATCGGACGGTTCACCCGGAAGAATTGGGTTCCTATCACTTTTATGCCAAGTCTTTCCATGGTCCGAAGATGTTGCGATGCTTAATGTCTCACAGCCAGTTTGATGCGGGATGGTGTGGTGGATTGGGAGGGAGCTGACAGAGGTATAGATGTAGTTGAGAGTTCCATCTGCTGCTTTGACAAAGCACCCTGTGAAGACACCTTTGGAGTCATATCTATTGTCTGGTGACAAGATGGGATGTTCTTGAATGTCCCATGAAATCATATCACTGGAAGTCGCAGTTCCCCAAGCAATATCACCCCAGTCAGGGCCATTAGGGTTCCACTGAAAGGAGACGTGATACAACCCGGTAGAGGGGTCGTATCCAGGTGCGCATGGATCATTCATCCATCCCGTTTGAGGCATAATATGAAAAGATGGACGCCATCTCGTATGTCTTTGGGCAAGGCTAGTAGTTTCGGCTTTGAATCCCTCGGGAGTAGTGACCTCAGTTGAGCCACAGGATTCTGGGCTTTGCGAGGTTTCTCCGGAGCTTGATGCACTCGTCATCGTGGTAGAAAGAAATAAAACTAAAGCGATGCATTATCGAATCGAAAGACTAGTCTTCGGGTTTTAAAAGAACAAATGTTGACACTCGTTGAACGGCGATATACCGGAGCCTTGTACTATAAAGTTGAGTTTCGCCGAAGCTTCACCGGAGGAGAAGTGAGCCTCTTCCAAACTTTGCCTCGAGTCCGCCCGCATTTTCAGCTCTTGGAATTTCCCCCGTGGGGACTCCACTGTATGGTCAGCCGAGCATTACGTGGAACTGATCTATCGAGAGTTTTTCCGACGATTTCCCAGAACCACCTCCATTTTCATTCTTGATCCTTGCTTCCTGAGTTTCGCCGTGGTGCTCTGGCCCATGTCAGAGAGATAAAATGTCGAGATGCCTCCGCTTGATGACAGACATTTCTCAAAAAACAGCATAGCCTCGTCGATCTTGTTTCTGATACGAGTTCTGATCAATCATGGGTTCTTCTCTCAAAGCTCTTGAAGTCGAGAAGACGAACATCAGTCATGTCGAGACTACCCTCGCGGACCCATTACCAACAAAATTTGAAGACTGTGAACCTTTGGAAATCACCACCAAAGAACAATGGCGGAAGCTGTGGGGAGCTATCCGGGCCGAGAAACGATTCTGCCTGTGGACTCTCTACACCATGCTTCTTGTCTTCAGCTGGGGCTACGATGCCAATTTATCTGGCCTAGCCATTGCATTCCCCGATTTCCGAAAGGCCTATGGTAATTACTACGCTCTCGGTGACGAGTATGTGATTCCTGCTTTATGGCAGTCACTGTGGAATGCCGCTTCGACAATCGGGCAAGTTTTTGGAGGCTATGCCGCAGGGCAATTTGCCGATTTCTGGGGTCGCAAAGTCCTGCTCTATACCGCAGTCTTCATTTCTCTCGGATCATCATTTGCTCTCGTCTTTGCTCCAACTCTCCCAGTTCTATTCGTCTCGAAGCTTCTTCTCGGTCTTTCGGTTGGTCTTGCGACAGTGCTTCCCCCTCTATATGTCACAGAGAATGCACCTACACACCTTCGCAGCATTGCGTCGTCTCTTACCAATGTTGTGATTGTCTTCGGTCAATTCTGCGCATCCATCACAGCGTATGGTGCGTCAGGACTTCAAGGCGTCTGGTCTTTCAAACTGGCCTTTGTCATGACTTTCGTCATGCCTGGTCTTTATCTTTGCGGTCTTCCATTTCTGCCTGAAAGCCCAGTCTGGTACATGAAGAAGGGCCGCGAGGATGATGCCCGCAAGGCTATCACTAGGCTATATGGCCCCGATGCTGATATCGACCTCTGTATTGAAACCATCAAGACAGAACTTAAACAGACTGAGAATGAGGAGTCTGCTTTCAGTCAGACAAGCTGGAAAAGTATCTTCACCAAAGAGCATCGCTCCCGTACGCTCGTCGCTGTGCTCGGCCTTCAATCTCAGAACTTTTCGGGCGGCTACTTTGCCAATACCTATCAGACCTATTACTTCCAATTGATCGGCCAAGCTGACTCATTTCAATTGACGGCAATCTCTTCATCGCTGCAACTCCTATCAAATTTTGTTGCTGTCTGTCTTTCCGACATCATTCCTCGCAGAAAGGGCCTCATTGGTGGAGGCACTGTGCTGATGTTCTGGTCTGTCATCATCGCTGGGGTATCCATGGCACCTACTACCAATACTGCTGCCAATGTTGCCCTCCTCGCCTTTATGATCACTTGGTCAATGATTTACACTGCTACTGTGGGCTGCTACGGATGGGCCGTGGCCCAAGAAACCGCAGCACAAGCCACGCGCCCCAAAACCATCTCATTTGTTTTGGTCTGTCAGCAGCTGACAGCCCTCTTGCTGTCGTCTGTCTTCCCATACTTCATCAACCCGGACGAACTCAACTGGGGTGGCAGGGTCATGTTCCTGTTCGTTGGAGCGGAGCTATTCATCTTCGCGGGTCTCTACTTCTTCCAGCCGGAGACAAAGAATAGGTCCAATGCAGACATTGATACGCTCTATGCGAACAAGGTTTCACCACGGAAGTTTAAGGACTTTATCGTTGTTGAAGACCAGGTTGTCGAAAAGAAGAAGAAGGCTGGCTTCTTTGGTGAACTTGCTGACAAGGCTAAGCATGTTGGCAAATCTGTTTGTTAAGAGAGCAAACGGTTGATGATTAGATGTTTTCTATTCTGCCCGCGTAGCGATTATTACGAGTGCTTCAAGTTTGTTTTATGCTTTTTTATGAAGTTTGCTTGGCCTGCCTGCTTTCTAACCAGCCCATTAAACAATACTATTCAATTATATCTTATACCACTTCAAATACCTCTCTCGTAAACTTGATTGCAGAACTATCATCACGCCCATGTCTCAAAAAATATTCGTGTCGCAGTAAAATTGACTAAAGCTTCGGATAGAACTAGCGGAAAAGTAAAATGGAAGAATTATCAAAATTTCCAGTCGGCAAAGTTAAACGATTAATTCCCCGAGTGATCGCGAAGTAAATACCTCGCAATTGATTCGGAAGCTATCCTGGCATCATAGACTATCTCGACCTTGATTTCGATGCGGTAGGACAGCAACGGAGACTCCTCGGAGAAACTCGACAGAGGTCCACGATGTTGCCGACCATCGACCTCAACGAACCTCTCCGCATCGCCAAAAGCCTCGCTACGAATTTCTCCGAGCTAGCCCCAGGTTCTCCCTTGATCTACCCGAGCTGAACAACTTCGGTGTGTTAACGGAGTAGTATGAAGAGCCCCGTGCCACCGCCATGACCTACTTATACTCCAACCACATCTTCACGGCAATCTTCGTCTTCACCTTCGCCTTGCTTTACGAAAAGTCAAAACTTTTCCTGAAAGACGATTGACATACTTGTTTTATCTTCCTATATCTCCTTTCCTTCTTATACATACTCCACCATGACGCCCCAACCCATCCAAAAGGCCTGGTGGAAAGAAGCAGTCGTCTACCAAATCTACCCAGCCAGCTTCCTCGACAGCAACGGCGATGGCCTCGGTGACATCCCCGGGATAATCAGCAAAGTCCCCTACATCAAATCTCTAGGCGTAGATGCAATCTGGCTGTCTCCAATCTTCGCCTCACCCCAAAAGGACATGGGCTACGACGTCGCAGATTACCGCTCCATCCACGCGCCCTACGGCACAGTCGCCGACGTCCAAACCCTCATCACCACCCTCCACGCCAACAAAATCCGCATCCTAATGGATCTAGTGGTCAACCACACCAGTGACCAACACGCCTGGTTTAAAGAATCACGCAGTTCAAAGTCAAGCCCCAAGCGCGACTGGTATATCTGGCGAGACCCGCAATACGACGCCCAGGGAAACCGCAAAGAGCCCAATAATTGGAAGTCCATCTTCGGCGGTAGTGCTTGGGTCTTTGATGAGGGTACTGGCCAATATTATCTCGCGCTTTTTTTGCCCAGTCAGCCTGATTTGAATTGGGAGAGTGCTGCGATGCGGCAGGCCACGCACGATGATATGCGGTTCTGGCTTGATCGAGGCGTGGACGGGTTTCGGATTGATAGTATGAATCTCATGTCGAAACACCCCGATCTTCCTGATGGGAAAATCGTCAATCCGGATGAACCGTACCAGTCTGGTGCGGAGTTCTTCGCCTCCGGTCCCAGGATGCACGATTATATTCGTGAGATTAGGACTGAGGTTCTGGACCATTATGATGTTATGACGGTTGGCGAGCTGGGCTTTACCAAGGATGAGCAGTCTGTCAGCGAGTACGTTGCAAGGGACCGGCATGAGTTGAATATGCTCTTTACTGGGGACATTGTGGACATGGATTTCGGTCCGAATGGTAAGTACGAGCGCGATGATTTCCACCCGAGGAAGATCCGTGCTATCACGAATCTTTGGCAGAATGCCATGCCGAAGTTCGATGGGTGGAATACGGTTTATCTTGATAATCATGATAGTGGGCGCTCGTTGTCTCGGTATGCTTCTGATGCCCCGGAGTACCGCGCGACTGCGGCCAAGATGTTGGCTACGTATCTGACGACGTTGGCCGGGACTCCGTTCATGCTTGCGGGTCAGGAAATTGGTATGGCGAATCTTGGCAAGGAGTATGGGGCCGATTCTTATATTGATGTCGAGGGGAAGAACTATTACAATGAAGTTTTGAAGGCTCGGGGTGGTGATGTTGGTAAGATGGACGATGTGCTCCGGGAGTTGCAGCTGAAGTCGAGAGATCATGGACGATTGCCGATGCAATGGGATGACTCGGCTAATGCTGGGTTCACCGTTGCAAGTGCTAAGCCATGGATGACCATCAACAAGGACTATACCGAGTGGAATGTTGCCCGCCAGCTCGATGATCCTGAGAGTATCATGGCCTACTGGAAGCAGATGCTTGCACTGCGGAAGGACCATTCTGATATTTTTGTTTATGGATCCTATACTGCCCTCGAGGAATCTGTGACCGGGGAGATGGTTCTGGGATACGAGCGCGAGTGGGAGCAGAAAGGTCAGAAAGCGGTTGTGCTGTTGAATTTCTCCGATCGACCTCAGACAGTATCCGTCGAGAGGTACGAGAGCTTTTCGATTTTGGTATCGAACCAGGCTAGCATTGGTCGAGCTCAGGGCAAAGTTGAGCTACAGCCATATGGCGCTGTGGTCTTATCGAACGTATAAAATATGAGAGGTTTCAATTGGGAGCAAGTCGAATATCAATTCCAAACTGCACAACCTGTTACTAGTATAGAGCATCTCTTGGTCTTGGCATTATCCACCTGCCGGAAATCCCTACCAGTACTATTTCTAAGATCCGCTTAGGGTCAAAATTGATAATTAAACAGTGAACTATCTCTTATAACCCCATATTTCCCAAGATGGTCAAAGTTGACGTCTATTAGCTACCAAGAAATACGAGCAAAGTAACTTCGAGCTGACCAATTTCTGGTTTCGAACCGTTGACCTCCGCGTAGGGAATAAGTGAGACAATGTTTTTCTGGTCTCAATTTCACCGATTTGTAGATTTCAACTCTAACCCCGAAGGCGGTATCACAACACAATATACTAATAATCGGCAGCCTACAGATACAATATTCCTTTAAGAAGATCAAAGGAGAAGGAAATAACTATTTCAATCAATCAAAAAAGAATTCAATCAAAGCAAAAAAAAAAATACATTGTCCCTAAGTCCAGCTCTATCATGGATAGGCTACTTGTAGCCGCCCGCCCCTCTGTGACCTCATTTGCATACCCCAGAGATAGCCATGCACTGACCAGTAGCTTATACCGGGCGTCCCCCGGATTAGGCCGGCAGTGTAGGAACTACCCAACTGCACCACTGGCGAGGCGTTAGCAACCTTGGAAGGAGAGATATGTTTACCCCTTTGACCTCGCTCTTGCCCTACTGTTCACCCTACCCCAAAATACACTAAACCAAAGGCTCACAAGCAGTCCGAAACATTAGAGCAGGCAATACACAACCTTCGAAATGTGACACTATTGGAGCCAAAGCTAACAGCTTAGATGGGAAAATTTCACGTCAGTCATCAATATATTTAATTCCAACTTCTAGACATAAGGCCAGACGCAGGAGCCCGAGATTACCGCAGGAAGGAGAAAGCCGAGCATCAAACTTAGAGAAAGGTGGTGAGAATCGTGAGGAAGGGGGGAGATCAAGGAAAGAAGAAAGAAAAGAAAAGTGGATTTTATTCGCCTTCATATTCCGCGTCCCATATCGTCATTATCAAAGTGCAAGCTAAACCGAAACCCTACAGTCTGTTAGGGGCAGTGTTGGTGACGGGCCACTGGTAACCAGCGGCATCGCTGAACTTGTAGCCGTATGAAGCAGTGAAGTCGTCGAGAACGGCGGGTCCGCGGGAGCCTGGGGGGGTATATGTTAGACCACTGTGGTGAGCATGGGGAGTATGGAGGCGGTTGACTCACCGTATGGGTACTCCATGGGGATAATTTCCTTGTTGTCGTCCAGGTAGTGCAGGAGAGGGGTGAAGATGCGCCAGCTGGCGTCGAGCTCGTCGTCACGGACGAAGTTGGAGTGGTCGCCCTTGAAGGCGTCCAGGATCAGGGACTCATAGGCCTCGGGGATCTTAAGGTCGGAGAAGCGGCGGCGGTAGGTCAAGTCCAGCTCGGTCACTACCGTCTGCATGGAAAGACCAGGCAGCTTGGAGTTCATCTTAATGTAAACGGACTCGTTGGGCTGCACGCGAATGACGAGCTCGTTGCGGGGGATATCCTTGAAGATGCCGGAAGTGACGTCCTTGAACTGAATGCGGACCTCGGTCTTTTGCTCGTTGAGGGCTGGTGGAAGTTAAGATCAGCATGCTAATTGAAACAATCAGTAATGAAGGGCTCAAGCTTACCCTTTCCGGCCTTCAGGATGAAGGGAACACCATCCCAACGCTCGTTCTTGATGTAAGCGACCATGGCGCAGAAGGTAGGGCAACGCGACTCCTTGGGTACAGTGTCATCCTCCAGGTATCCGGGTTTGCTGCCATCCAGGGAACGACCGTATTGACCAATAATGACATTCTTGGGCTCGATCGCGCTCATCGCGCGCAGAACACGGACCTTCTCGTCACGGATGTCCTCGGCAGAGAAAGAGATGGGGCGCTCCATGGCGAGCAGGGTCAGAACCTGGAGAAGATCTGCAGAGTGTCAGCTAGATGGGCTAGGAATGGCTTTTGCTGACGATACGTACGGTTCTGCATGACATCACGGATGATGCCGAACTCATCGAAGTAACCACCACGGCCCTCAGTGCCGAAAGGCTCCTTAAATGTGATCTGGAGCTTGCATTAGATCCAAGTTACTTCGACCACTAATCAAATATATCCATACCTGAACGTTATCGATGTGGTGGCGATTCCATGTAGCGTTGAAGAACTCGTTGCCGAATCGGAGGATGAGGATGTTCTTGACCATCTCCTTACCAAGATAGTGGTCGATACGGAAGATCTCTTCCTCCTTCCAGTTGGGGGCCAGGGCCTTCTGAAGATCGCGCGAGCTAGGAAGATCCTTACCGAATGGCTTCTCGACCTATTAAGGGGGAAATGACGCATTAGCTCCGGACCTCGGCATCGCCAATTGTTCGGTAAATACTCACAATAATGCGGGCAAGACCGCTCTTGGGGTAGCAGTTACGCTTCAATTGCTCAGACACAGTAATGAAAACACTGGGGGGCAGAGCCATATAGAAGACGCGGTTCTGCTCCTTTGATTGGCGGTTGTGTTCGATCTCCTCGAGGTGCTTGTTGAGGTTGATGAAGGAGTCGTCCTCGTCATATTGACCGGAGACGTAGGTGCAGAATGTGCAGAACTGATCTAATTGCTCTTCGATATCCTTTGTAGGGACCTTGATGTAAGAGCGCACACGCTTAAGGTATTCTTCGTGGTCCATTTTCGTCCGCGCATATCCGACGATCTTAATGTCCTTGGGGAGAAACTTGTTGCGGAACTGGGGGGTATAATTAGCGAGGCGACCTTATCACACAAGGCGAAGCTGAACATACGAGACCGAAGAGCGCAGGGAACTGATGAGCGAGTTAGCAAGGAGGGGGTCATTCACAGAGTAGCAATGCCCATCTGGGCATAAGCGAGGAGGGGGCAACAAACCGTCTTCTTCTTAGCCAGATCACCGGATGCACCGAGCACCACGATGATGGTGTCATCCTTCAATTCAATAGTGCTGAAAGCGAAAGAAGCCATTGTTAGTCGGACAGATCAAGGCGAAGCACAGAGGCAGAATTTGCAGACGGAGGTAGGATGGAGGGGTTCGAGCGGGGTGCACGGGAGGGTGTAAAAAGGCCAGAATGGGAAAAGAGCAAGTGGGTGAATTGATTTTGGCTCTAATTGAGCGATTTCCGAGGTACGCTTGTGTAGGGGAGATAAAGAGAGGTGTCGAGGCGAAGGTGCAGAAGTCAGGGCGCATCGGCTGGTGTTGAGCGGAGGGGAAGGAGGGGAGGTGATGTCAGAGGCAGATGGCAACTTACCCGGCATTTTGGTGCTCGTCGTTGGAGATGATGCTAGCCATTTTGCAACGCACCAACGGTGAAATATACAAACAGGGAGAAGGGAGAAGGGAGAAGAGATGGAGGGTTGAGGTTGTTGGGAAAGAGGAAAGAAGAACCACGCTCTAAGACGTCCCGGCGGAGCAGGTACTTTTCAACAGGGTGTCGCTCTCACAGCTTGCACTGGTGGGGCTTTGGGTATTTTATGTATGATTATGACTTCAGAGTATTGAGATTACATGCCTAGCGTCTTTGCCATTGCATGTACGGAGTACATAAATACTTATATAGAGTAGTCTATCTCCTCTTTGCGAGGCTAGCCGTGTCCTAGACTTGGTGCTGTGCTGTCCATAGTTGGTCCTGGTACTCCGTACTCTGGTATAGCATCAACTCCACCACCACCACCACCACCTCCACCTCCACCACTTAACAGGATGATCCTCTATTTGAATTACGCCCTTCTATTCCTTCCCCTCTCTCTCGTACGGTACCTAATATTAATTTGCTTTTTGCTTACCCCGTCAGCCAGTTCTAGCCGGGGTGCAGCTGCAACCCAGCCAGCAAGCCACCACGACAGTCCAATGGAGACGGGGGGAGTTTCTGGAAGATTAAAGGAAAGAGTCAGCTGATCTATAATACCATACGAGTCTCCGTATTTGGTATCGACAGAACAGAAACATAAAAACAGCCTGAATGCAGTGTGGAGATGTCGACCAGACAAAAAAAGAGGGCTATCCTCGATGGGTTGCGGTCAGCGGGGTGGAGCTTGACACAGAGTTACCTTGCAGAAGCTACCAGTTTACGGAGTACGGAGTTAATACATAATTAGTGAGAGTGGATGCATAGAGTACTCTGATAGCAACCAATTCTTAAGTTGACACTGTCTTTCCCATAGCAGCAGAGCTCAACACACCCCGGCAAATGCATACCTAGGTATATCTGTATGTCCCATATACTGATCTGATCTGACAGTCGACTCATACTGTGACTCCGGTGACCCAATCGTGGAGTCGATCGGCACATTTGTCATCTCTCATACCAGACGGATTCTATTTTCCCGCTGTAACTCCGGCAGTCGGCCCAGCGCCGCATTCGGCGCTATCTTTGATTCTCTATTAACCGCCAGGGCCACTGTCCTCCGTACGCCATAACCGACTCGTACGAGCGATCCGCCCGATCTCCCGGTCAATCATTCCTGCGCTGGTGGGGCTTGGAGATATCTGGATTTCCCAATCAGTCCGCCCGGTCTGCCTGCATGTCGGAGAAGAGTCCGAATCAGCCAGTTCAAAATCCTGGCTTTTTTCCCTGCACTGCCGGAGCTTACGCAGGATATCAAAGAGGAGTCTGGCAAATGAAGTCACGAAGGGCAGCCATGGCAGATATACTAGTATGGAGTGATCGAGTGTGTACTCTCGCTGGTCATTACCACATGGTATTAGTAGTAAATTTGGCCCGCCGTTCAAAGACCGACACAGCGCATCACCATACTTCAGACTCCATATTCCGTAGTCACCATAAGGTCCGACTAAGAAAGGTACGGTGTCGTCATGGTGAATTTGGGTACTCTGTAGTTTGTCAGCTCTCCAGCCTGGGCCGGACTACGGAGTACTGTTGCCCGACTGGTCAGGTGATGCGATGAGGTGATTGACGCCTGGGGTGTCAGGTGTGAATAGACACCTCAGGCGGGAGGGCAGCAAGGCAGCAAGGCAATAAGGCAATAACCCTGAAGCCCCACTTCCACCAGGTGTCATCCCGGCCCGGATAAACTCGCCTCCCGAAGGCCTGGAAGTGTGCTCACATGATCTCGCTTACCCTATCGCTAAGGACCCGATTGGGTTAGGGCGGAAGTAGCCACCACACTGGAAATCGGTGCTGCCCTACCCTGACTATCTCAAGCCGACGACAATACGACAAACTTGCGGGTCATTCCTTCGACATCTTTTCCTTGCCCGCTGCTCAGAGAAGAACCGACATCATGTCTGTGGAACAAGGACACCGCCGTGAGTGCGCCCTCTATCATCACCGTGTATGGTCTGGGAGATGCGTTTGAAGGTCGACTTCGAGATCGCCCTTCGCGCATCAACCGGCCATCACCAACCAGACCCTCAATATTGAACATCTTGTACTAACATATCTTCCCTCCTCTAGTTTACGTCAAGTAAGTTATTCACTCCGCTCATCGCATCTGCCCACAAATACCCCCTCGGTTCGATTTCGAGATCGTCAGTCGAGATGGATTCAGGAACCGCACACTGTGAACACCCAGGCGACGGAAAAGAAACGAAACGGGGAATCGCATATTCCCACACGATCACTTCCAAACACACATCGCACATTCACCGGATCAGAGAATTAATACGGATTTCTTTACAGGGGACGCCACCTGAGCTACCAGCGCGCCAAGCACACCACCAACCCCAACACCTCCCTGGTGAAGATTGAGGGTGTCGACGACCCCAAGGCCGCCAGCTTCTACCTTGGCAAGAAGGTCGCTTTCGTTTACCGTGCCAAGCGTGAGGTCCGCGGCTCCAACATCCGGGTGATCTGGGGCAAGGTTACCCGTCCTCACGGTATGCCAAAATCTCCAGCATAGGGCCATCTCTCTATCGAGAATGGCTCATCTACTTTCCATCTCTCTGCGCAATACTAATAACCACTAGGTAACTCCGGTGTTGTTCGCGCCAAGTTCCGCAACAACCTCCCCCCCCAAGTCCTTCGGTGCCACCGTCCGCGTCATGCTCTACCCCTCCAACATCTAAACGGCTTCTCTGTATCTAGTGGGCGATTCTCTTTCTCCCTTTCGTGCAGACGGCGGCCGGCCAGGCAAGGAAAAGTCGACGGAATCGGCAAAAAAGCCGAGATGTTGTTTGGATTGGGAGTTGGCGGTTTGAACAACGTTTTTTTACATTCGTGGGAGAAAGCAGGCAGGGCCAATAACTAAAACCACACAAACCGAGCCCTACGAATCAAAAGAAAAAAAGAAGTTTTACCATTTTGAAGCACACAACCAACCCTCTTATTGCCAATGTTTTCAAATCCGCAAAACCTCGAATGTCTCGACCTGCTTCTGATTTCCCTTCTTCTCTTAACTGAGACGGGGGGGTTAACCGGAAGTGCTGGAATGAAGAGACCTATTTGATTCCTTACCTTAATTTTCGGATCATTATGTTTCCCCCATGATGATTGCTGATGATTTGTCTTTCTGTGGCTGTGCGTGAGCGATTCTTTCGGGTCGCTTTTTGCATCCAAGTCACCCCTTTTTCTCCTCCCGTGTATCTGACGCTCTTACGCACCAAAATCCATACCATTTTCAACAACCCGGTTAATTGCGAGTTCGAAGTTCTTTTTTCCCGCCATGCCTGGCCTCGTCACCGTGCGTTTCGTCTTTTCTGTTATAGAGAATTGCATGTTTTGCTCTGGCTACTCCACCAAGGCATCTGTTAAAAAAAATATACCACCCATTGCGCCTACTCATATATTCGGTATTCGTAGTTGTAATCAGGTGTTACTAGACTGGGGTATCCCCGCCTACGTCGGCGGCTTTCAGAGTTACGCCTGGGCAGCAAGCGTTTTGAACTTGAAGTTGACTCAGATGTGCCCTGGAATAAGCATCTAGGAGCGGAGTACTACCCCATACTTCGTATTAGAACTGGCGAACATCTATACTCCTACTAGATCATGACGTCGTCCGGACGTCCATGAAGCCCGACGTTCATGATAGGGCGGTCTTTTGAGGTCCGCTGAGGGTATCAGCCATGTTATTTTATACCTATCCATAGCCCTGGAGAAATTGAGATCACAATCAAGTCGCAGATTTTCGAGGCCTTATATTACTTTGCCAGAGATAACTCTATTCCAGGGCTTGGAATACCTCAGCATCTAGGTTAGGTAGGTAGGGCGAGTAGGTAGGTAATATATATATCCAAGTTTTAACTATCTATTACCTCGGTAGTGCTACTAGTATGGATTAACTATCCCGGACACTGCCCACTGGCAGGTGGCACTTCCAAGGTTCAAACCACTATTAGTACTACCCTTCTAATAGTAGTAAGGGATTTTGATCTGTATAACATATTAAACCAGACCACTTGGTACTTTTTGATGAACGAATCTGTGTGCGATAGAATAGGTTAGTTCAGACGGACAGTGTGGGCACCGCCTGGCCAGCCCCACTGCAAGTGACACCCTCCACCTCAGGAGGCAGGGAAGCAACTATCAGATACTGCCCGAATCGTCCTAGCGCATGTCTTCCGCGGCTCTGCGGTAGACACCGTCTTTAAGGTCTTCACAGCTCAGACCCGGCTTTTCTATTGGAGATATCTTAAATTCCAGAGGAAATTTTTGTATGTCATTGAAGTGAAGGATAACTGCGGCAATAGCAAAGATAAAGATGCCATACGAACCACACCGGGTCGAGACTGACACAGGTATCTAGGTAATGGAGTCCTCTGATCCAAGACCTTTCGTCTCAAAGCAGCTCAAACTTGTGGTTCGTTGCCGTGCGAAGGGTCGTCAGTGCTAGCCTTTGTCAAAGACTTGCCGAGGGCTGGCGCCTTAAGTAGACGTTTAAAACCGAGATCTATATTTTCCTCCAACTATGTCCATTGTTAGTAGGTCAGCTTTATGATGAGAGGATGAGATTGCCAGACTAACATCAACGTTGTATTTGAAAATTAACCACACGGCAAGAGTGAAAAATGTGGTGACCACGGCAAATGGAATGTAAAGCCACCAGGGAGGATTATTTGCCAAGACATCAATGTTCATTCCAAAGAGACTCTGTATCATTATTAGCCATGCATCCAATCTGAAGCATCATTGACAGCCATACCGAGATGAACATTAATGGGAGGAAAAAGAACTATTAAAATCAGTCCGCAACCGGTGTAGTAAAAGAAGATTGATAAGTAGTCGGGAATATACCGTAATCCAACTTAGCCGTTTCATGCTCTTATTCGTCGATGTTGATTTTTGTGCTTCCCCGATTGAGGTCAAATTGAATTCCTTTCATAAGTTAGTATTAATTTCTTGAAGACAGAAATAAACCATCTATACCAGTTGAATCAGATCGTGGGAAGTCTCAGTTAGAGCTTTCAGTCCTTCAAGAAACACCTGTTCTAGACCGTCTATTTCTTTCCGAAAGGACGCCCCTTCTTCCTTCAATCCATTAAGTTCCGTAGATTTGTTCTCGCGAAGCATAGCCCATGATTCACTCATGTAGTAGCTGGTTTGAAGTGCCACCAAGTCATTTATTTGCTGTTTACAACTCTTTCTCAGCAGGTCCCACAGCTGGGCATCGCCCAACAAGTCTCGGATTAGGCGCGGATTTTTCCCATTCGCCATCAGCAGCTCCGTACGCTAGCTATGGTCAATTAAAATGCTAATGCAAAGCGGTAATTTCTCACCTTCATTTCTAAACGGTTTTCCGCTGCGTGAAGAGTAAGGTTCCACTCTTGTAGTAATTGCTGGACTAGCGGTAGGAAGAGATCTGTCGCACGTCGCGGCACTTGTGCGTATTCAGAAGTGCTGAAAAATATTTTTGATTCCAAAACACTGTCTGAAGCTGTCGCGTCGTGAAGCTTTACCAAAATCCATGCAATTCCAAATGTCTTCTCAAGACGCTCTATATCCAACTGGGAGGCATGACTGGACAATGTAGGCCAATCAGTATTGGCCGAGGTAGGCAATGAAATCGCAGATATAGTGAAGCAGCACTCAATGAAGCCTTTTCGCGTTAATAGGAAAACCTCTTGACATGTATTCGACCCGAAGGAAACTTACAATCTCTCTTGGGAATTCGGCTAATGACTTCTCGACTGGGTGGTGTGTTAGATTGGACCCCCCATGCTAAGCCTGCTCGCGTTGGTTAGAAAATTGCTTGACATGGACTGAATCTAAAAAGGATACCTACGTGGCTTGACCCATTTCCTCAGAACTGTCTGAGTGCCCCTGGGATTTATGTCAAGCAGTGTCTTGCGCCACCAACGACAATGTACCCCCGTCTTTGAATCGCTATGCCATAGGAGAAGCCCATCAGCAAGCATACTACATGAATTCCGTGTCAGGCATATATTCACTTCAAAACCTCAAGGATACTCACAAAAGTCGCTTAGAATCAATTTCCGATGCCATGATATCATCGAAATTATCAGAGCTCGCTGCGGGGAAATGGAAAATTGGGTAGTTCTTTCGTATCTCACTCTCCGGTATCTTTCTAATAGTCGTGGATTGTCCTATGGAAATTTCAATGTGACTGTGGGGACCGGGTAAAAGCTTTCGCCATGTGGAAGCATTGAAAAGGCTTAGACTATCAGTACTTCTCGAAAGAAGTAGTAGCACACTTTGGTAGTCATGTTTTTTCATCGCAAGATGTAGTGGAGTAACATCGTCAAGGTCATGTATATCGGCAATCGCACCTTGTTTGAGAAGTTGAGCCACAACGGACACAGCACCGGCTTCGACCGCGAGGTGAAGTGGTGTCCGCCCTGCGCTACCACCCTGGACGTTTATCTCCGGCTGCTTTTCAAGAAGAAGTTGCACAACCGCCATGTCCCCTTTCGCCGCCGCAGCGTGCAGAGGAGTGCCATAATAGCCCCCTCGAGCCTTCACATGCGCACCCTTCTCAAGAAGCATCTGCACAGTAAATTTATTGCCTTCGCGTGCCGCAGCTTGGAGAGCATTTCCATAATAACCTCCTTGGGCGTTTACGTTCGCACCCTCCTCCAGAAGTGCTCGCAGAACCCCCGAGTCATCTGGTATTGCTGCTGCAGCCTGGAGAGCAGTTCCATACTCGCCTCCTTGAGCGTCAACGTCCGCACTATTCTCAATAAGCATTCGTACAGTCGCTATATTCCCTCCCCATGCCGCAGCCTGGAGAGCAGTTCCATAGTAGCCGCCCGGAGCGTTGGCGTCCGCGCCCCCATTAAGAAGCATCTGCACAGTGGATGCGTCTTCTCTCCGCGCCGCAGCTTGAAGAGCGGTTCCATATAGACCCCCTTGAGCATTGACGTCCGCACCCATCTCAAGAAGCATTTGCACAGTGGATGCGTCTTCTCTCCGCGCCGCAGCTTGAAGAGCGGTCCCATAGAGACCCCCTCCAGCATTGATGTCCGCACCCTTCTCAAGAAGGATCTGCACCGTCGCTATGTCGCCTTTGTCTACCGCAGCTTGGAGAGCGGTTCCATATAGGCCTCCTTGAGCATTGACGTCCGCGCCCTTCTCAAGAAGCATCTGCACAGTCACTGTGTCGCCTTCGTGTGCTGCAGCTTGGAGAGCGGTTCCAAACTGGCCTCCTTGAGAGTTGACGTACGCGCCTTTCTCAAGAAGCATCTGCACAGCTGTTACATCGCCTTCGCGTACCGCAGCTTGGAGAGCGGTTCCATACTGGCCTCCTTGGGTATTGACGTCCGCGAATTGCTCAGGATGCAGTGTTTTTGTGGCAGGGTCTCCACCGTACGCCATGCTTGGGGAATCAAGTGGCTCCAAGTTCATATTAGACATTTCCCGGGGAGGACTGATGCTTCTTAAGACGAAAAGTAGTTTGCGAAGTCAGTGGTAATGCTTCTAACCCAAGCTGACTGGTGCTCAAACGCGGGGGACAGTAATCATGTGACGTATAATATTATCAAATCTCGTATAAATCTCAATATCGATACGAGGATGTTAATCGAGGAGCTCATTTACTCGCAGGCTTGATCTATTTTCAAGGATACTGGATGGAATTAGCGCTGCGCAGGGGTTGCCACAATAGCCACGTTGGGGCCCGAGTGGTATTTCCTACTGGAGGCACAGGATATAGATATTCGCAGAGAGACTGAAGATGGTGGTGACATGAAGATGCTATGGAGAGAAGCTATCTACATGGCAGGCAGGGCACCGGCTGACTCAGCAACATAGGGCCTGAGCCCTCAGGCCTCAGTATTTCCAGGGTTCCATCCAGGGTAGTTTGTGGGGAAAGAAAGTCAATCGATGAATACCATGCAATAACACCAAACACTCAAAACTGAGCAAGAATAGCACAATCCCAACAAATTGGGCGGTAATGAGGGGAACGTAGTCGTGGAGGCCAGAGGCGGTGTATTGGGAGAAGTCTATGTACTAGTAGGAGGATGATGGTTGTATTCGGTAAGAACTGAAGCTGTATCCACATATCCACTACGCGAGCGGTGAACCACCTATCTCAACCTATACCGCGTCGTTCAGCAAATAAGCACGCAAACTCTTCTCCGGTCCCGTCAGTGGGGTTCGAATCCGGACATCTCTCATGATAAGAATGAGAGATCTGTGTCAAAACATGACAGCACCACAAAAAGAGAGGAAACCCAGAACGCCATCAGAAAACCCACAGAAGGCACCCTCGCATGCTAGCGCAGAATCTCTGAGGTCGCAAAACTCCTCCAAGTTTGCGCCTCGCGATAACAAGAAATCGCAAAGTGAAAAATATAATCGGATGCTTTTGAAACCCCAACCACACCCCGACAACCTGGGTCTTAGAGCTCCTCATACTCCGCCCCTTCCTCGTTCTCGTCCAAGTCCGTTCCCAGTTCCTGAACCCCATCTTTGACTCTTTACTGCATTGTTGCTGAGTGGCGGAGGTTTCTGCGCTGTGGCAGGGACTGACACTCCATTCCCACCGTTTTTTTGTCTCGTCGGCGACTAATTTAACGAAAATGCGCGCATCGGCGTATATGGATATGGCTCGGATGAAACCAAAGAGAGTAGTGGCAGAGTCGCGCTTAAAGAAGTCCATCACTGGTTCTGTTCCTTTATTGTCTTTCAGTCAATCTGCGAGCTGCTCTGGCGGGTTGTTTGGGTCAAAAGGAACAACGTAGTCTTCCTTCTTCGAATGACCAGCCCAAGAAGAGGGTGCCTTGAAAACCTTGAACCATAGCGTTGATCAGGTCCCTAGGGCAAATTCCGCCTTATCCTCACCTTTGCTTACCCAGGTGCTTTGCACCATTATTGGTGGACGTGTATTTATGATATAGCGCCACCTAGCATACAGTGCCAGGACTGGGAAAAAGGAAATTCTCAGCCGTCGATGACGGCGGAGCCTTATTTGTTGGCAAGAAAATACCAACAAGGTCAAAAGCTCCTATCAGCGGAATACCTTCGTGGTCGATAGGCTCCGGAAGAAAAGAAATTTTAAGGTAGGCTCAGAGGTTTCAACTTTCGCACCATCGAGATGTGCTCTGGTATCATGCCAGTCAGAAGCTTTGGAGACGAGGACTATACAGAGAAGAAGGGAGGAATAGGAACAGGAATCAACAAATATCCTGATGTACTAGTATTGGTGTTAGCACGGAAGGAAGGAGCTACGAGTACCTTCCCCCTTTCCTACAGGCAGGTACGTATCTACCTAGGTAGGTATGTGTAAGCAGGCTGCAGATCTATAAACAATTAAATTGTAGTAGTTTTTCAGAAGCCGAGCCTTTACTTCAAGTTGACGGGAGTTGCTGCATAAAAATGGATAGGTTCGTTAGTGGGTCCTTCATTAAATTAAAGTGTGATGGCATCCCGGGGCAGACCCGTGTGGCAGCCGATATTGTACATATTCTAGACGCCACAGCGAGTGGGGTGATTCAATGTTTATACCGAGGTACAATTTGAATGCACACCTGAAACCTCCAGGCCCCAGAGTAAAGATGTAAGCACTTTCAAACCATTGGCAACCATTGGCAACCATTTCCAAGTTCTTTGTTGGTCACACTGACTCAGACCGTTCCTGAGACAAGGCGGGCATCGACCTGATTGGTTGGCCCCGGCAATCTCTCGCTATATCAAACCAACATTAGGAAACAGCGATCTTGATTCATGTTGTACCAGGACCAGGCATGAGTGAAATACAAAGTAGTCCTCCAGACTTGGTGTTCCGAATACTTCCATAGCCACACTAGCGAACGCAATTGCAAAATTTCTGCTGGATCAATGGCCACATCTCGACCGATCCGCCAGCCGCGATGCCCCACTGGCCAATTGGAAGACCACGGATACCAGCATCACGCGCGGCAAGAGTCCTACCTTAAGGTACCGAAGGGAACTAGCGTAGTACTCCGTAGTGTGGCACTGGTGATGGTAGAAGTGGGAGTGGGAGTGTGTGGTCTATTTTGGGCAACTCCCGCTAAAGAAGAACCTCACCAATCGCAGCCACGCAACATTCGGGCTGTGTACCACGGTTGATCACTTTCACACTTTGCAAGAGTACGAGATGTACGAATAGATGACTTGATGTCTACTGTACGGATTGTATTTAATGGGATAAGAGAATTTCATTTAATTCAGTAATTGAGTAATTGAGTAAATGAGTATTTTAGTACACTGTTCTTGTCTGTATAGCAGTATAGCACCACTAGTAGATCAGTAGGTAACCACCGGAACGCCACTCGTTCTGCCCAAGTATTGCGTGGCCGTCGTCGTCCTCAACTTTGTCCTCTACATATTTAAGCGATCACCCCGCTGCCCTCGCCTGCTGTCCACTGACCACCTGGTTGCTATTAACAGTCTCATCCGGCTCCGCAGTTCAACGGCGCTCCACCGATCGCTGCCATCCTCACCTTCATTCTCGATCTTCCTAACCAACGCCTACCACTTGCCGCCCGCTTCCTACCACTCCCAGCCTCCCAGCCATCGCAAATACATTTGCTTTTTCCCAATCATCTGGCACTCAGGCGATCTTCATTTCCTGTGATTCCCGCTCAGAGCATCTTCATTGTCTCACCTCTTACGAACGAACCTCGCGCCGTCCATCTAGTAGCGCTGTGATCGGCTTGGCAGTTCCACCTTCATCGCAGTCGCGCTCCACAACGCCCCCTCAAGCTCAGACGATCCCAGCCGTTTCAGACCTGCCTTGATCTTCGGACGCTAAGAAAGACGGTGGAAACCGCCCCTAATAAAAATGGCGGCCCCCCAACCGCCCGTTTCCTCCTCTCCCCGGCGGAGTCGTGGTTTCAGCGTCAAATCTGACAATTCACGCCGAACAAGTTCCTCCGGTAATAAGATTCACCTTTCGGAATCTCACGAGGAGAAAGAAAGGCGCAATCTTCACACAAAGGCAGACCCGACCGTCGCCATGAATGAGTTGCAACCCAGTACGTCAACCTCTCAACACACCCAAACCCGGTCGCATTCCGACCCCCCTCCCCGTTGCTCGAACTGACGACCCGATCAACAGATGACATTGCATTACAGAAGTCCAATATGGGCTCTCTGCGAGATATCCAACATAAAGATCAATTTGGGAATATCATCAGTGAGTGGTTTTCTTCCCCGTTTCGACCCTCTCCGTTCTTATCGCCAGCCACATGCTTGCCAGCATTCCCATCTCCACTTTACCACGTTCTTCCCAAACTAACCCTTACGTTCTCGTGGCAGCCGATCCCGACTGGTCAAACCCTACCCGATCCCGATCTGAGCGACCGCTAGACACCATCCGATCGTTCGAAGCCGCCATCTATGGCACATACAACAGTACCCGACCGGTATCATATGCCCGGACCGGTTCGTTGACCTCCCGTTCCACAGAAACCCCTCAAAACAACAGGCTCATTCATCCCAATAGAAGATGCAGGCTCCCAAATGGGCGACTACAGCCGACGAACAAGCTACTACGGAGGTGGGTCATCTATCAGCCCTGTTTTCCCCATTCCAATGGGAATACTAACAAGCCTGACAGGACAAGGTGGATACAATCGCGGATACGATCAAAGCTACTACCACAGCCGCAATCAATCACGTCCCGACGACCTCGCCGATGGCAACCAAAACAACCAGCAAGAAAACTACTACCCCTACCAGCAGCAGCAACAAAACGGTCGCCGAAGGCCCCGCGTCTCAACCGACCAAACAAACTACTACCAGAACAACAACTACCACCAATCCTACGATAACGTCGCCGCGTCGGGCTCAGGTGGATCCGGCCAAACAGATCCATACGGCCAGTCGACCGATCCCAGCTCAATGAATAGCTCTATGGATCAATTGCAACAACATGCGCTATTACAGCAACAGCAGCAGCAGCGAATGGACGACCGCGCACAGGAATATGGGTTCTCTTTCGGTAACACGGCGCCTCTGAATACTAAGGGCTTTCCGTCGGCGCCGCCGCCTGTCGCGAGCCCAACGAGTCCTGCCAGTGTGGCACAGCCGCATTTCGCTGCGCCGGCGAATGGCGCTTTGAGGAAGAATACCTCGCAAGCTGGAGATAAGCGGAAGAGTTGGTTTAAGAGACGATTCAGCAAGGACTAGATTTGATCAGATCGGTTGGACTGGTTTTGGTCTGTTTTATCTGCTGAGCTTCTCCTCTTTCTCGCTAGCGTTTGATTCCCGTGTTTCTGCTCTGCTCTGGCGCTATATGGTATCGATGTGAATCTTTATTTTCCTTTCGCGGATGTATTACCATCACCCTTCGTGGCGTTTTTGTTTCTTTGATCTGCACGGATTATGGGTTCTCTTCTCATTGATTTGATCGTTGAACGTTTTGGCTTGCTCGCCCAAGTCCTGCTTATGAGTCATGATACATGGGAGTCTATTTTTCTTATTTTTCATGGATGGGATATGGGTATGGCCACGAATATGGAATTGCACTTGATGTTTTCTTCTTTGCCGACTGAATTTATGGATCGGATCGTGGATGACTTAGATGTACTGTACTGTGGATGAGGATTGAATGCCGGCACACATTGTAACACTCGAACAACCTTTTAGTCGCATATACGAAGCCTAATCTACAACAAAGCCATCTCAGAAAGCGTCATCAGATAAAACGGCAAGCGCAGGCATACTTTAGAAATAATCACAAGTCAATATCGAGAATCCAACAACGAATATGCAGCATAAATGGGAATCACACAACACAGCACAGCACAGCCACTAAAACCAATTAATCTACCAATTCCAACCTAATCAGAATCGGAGCAGCAACCACACACCCGTCCAATAGTTACCACGAAGGTACCCGGATAACTCATAGTCATAGACACCTACTTCCGCCCAAGCAACTTATTCTTCAACCGATCCGCCAACCCATCATGAACAGGCCCCTTGGCCTTCTTCTCCTCCTTCTCCTTCCGCGCCGCCTCATCAAGGTGCACATTTCCCTGCCCGCCGCGCTACATAGAACACCGTCAGATCGAATCAGATCAGCCTAGGCTACTAGCCCCAACCCCACCCCCCAGGTGGAAAATAAAAACTCACGCCAGTATGATAAACCTCATCTGTAGAATTACGAACCGCCAGCTCGGGAATCATCTCCGTGTCGTGCGGGACTTTGGACGTCGGGCGCACGCGCGGTGAGCCGATGTTCCCTACTCCGCCGCGCTGCGACAGTTAGCTTTGCTTTGTTCTGCGGCATGTTTGCGCTGTGGTGCGTGCTTACGCCGGCTGAGTATGCGCCGTCGCCTTGGTCGCCGTAGACTCCTTCGCGGACGATTTCGCCGTCGACGTATCTGGGGGTGTTAGTGAGTTGAGTTCAGCTGGGCTGTTTCGGGTTGGGAAGGGGCGATGTACTCAGTTGCGTCGTGGCCGATGTTTCCCTGGCCTTGATGGTGGTTAATGGGATTTGATCGGCTGTAAGGTTGGATGGGAGGGTCCTGCTATATTGATTGCTTACCTCCGCGGCCGTGGGAGACCATGGTTTGTTCTTGGCCTGATTGACTGCCCATTGTGCTGTGGTGGTTCTGGGGGTTAGACTGTGTTTGTGGTTTGGCGATGGGGATCGAGGGGTTTGAGGTGGGTTGTCTTATTGCGGCTGGGAGCTAGGAACTACCTTGACGGGTGGAGTTGGAATCGGAATCGCCCTGGAGTGGGACAGCGATAAGACGCAGGTACCGGTTCTCTGGACCGGACTGGGGTTAGTGAAGTGGGGGCTGGATTAGTTTATCGAAGAGGCCGCGGGGAGTTGGAATATCCTAGGGCAAGTTGGGTAGATGTAGAGAATAGATAGATAGAGGCAGAAAGTGAAGAGAAGGAGAGGAAGAAGAGGAAGAAGTAGGATGACTGTCTGACGCGGGCCCTACGAAGAAATGCCGGAATGTGTAATTGTGCGGTCAATACTAGATCTCGCCATTTGAGGCTCGATATGCTAAGGGTGTTTTATCAGTTCGTTGTACCTCATTGACTATTGCAACAGCATTGGATATTGTCATGAGGATTGATGCGATTGGATTGGATGACGTCGATGATAAGATAAGATGCCCAAGCCGCGATTGGTCGCTGCCGTGACTAAAGATAGCGAGCTTGGCATTCACTTACCCTACCTTAGGGTATACCTAGGGTACTTGTAGTACTTCAGGTAAGCCTCATTAGGTACTGAGGGAATACAGTATAGAGGTAGAGATTTTAGAAATATCCGAGTGGAGAGTTGATTAAAGAAATTAGTTCCACATAGAGTTCCGGAATTTTGAGGCCCGGCAAAATAAAGTATGGTTGCGGACAGTCTTAAACCCATACTTCATAAACGATATCCTCCTACGCCTTCTTCTTCTCTTCTGAAGAGCCACCGGTGGTCGGAAGTCCCATGAAGATCTTGAACGAATCATAACTGTGAAAGGGGTCAGCGTACTTAGAATTAACATTGCAACTGTAGAGAGGAGCGGAACAGGGAGGTCATACATCATCCATTGGAGACCAGTCTATGAAACTTGTCAGTATCGTAAAATTCTAGGGCTCTCATGAAGAACTTACCAAAGTGCCCACCATAACAATACGGACAGGCAATCCGTTCCAAAGTCCCACAAATCCGATCTCCTTGTAGATGCGGCTCATCGCAGCACCGAACGCTTCTCCCGCTAGGCGATTCGCATTCAGCTTGCTGACCATCACATCGGCCGGATGCGAGACCGCCGCACACAAAATACCAGCCATGTAACCACCAGTGAAAGCCACGGCGGTCTGGGCACCCTTGCCATAATCGGACTTTTGGCCCGGAAGTTTGTTGTAGATCATCTCCACAATAGTTTCAAAAGAGGCAAACTTCATCATCGTGTAGGGAATCTGTCGACCCCAAAGTGGATACAGACCCTTGTACAATCTGGAGGGGAAATCGATCAGTACTTTGAAACATAACTACTATATTTGAACGCCACTCCATGTCAAACTCACCCAGCATAGCCCTCTTTCGCAACCACGGCCGAAATCCCACTGAATGTGCCCCGGAACTCGGGCGGGATGGTGGTCTGCGTGCGCACCTTGATCGACTCAAAGGGACACAAAGCAATGTCGGCGATCAGCTCAGCCGAAGCACTGCCGGCCAGATAGATGGCAGTCTTGTACTTCTGGGCATTTTCCGGACCGACGAGGTCGCTGTAGAACTTTTTGAAGTATTCGTATCCACCGTATTTGAACGCTCCTTGGGCCTTTGTGGATCTGTCAGTAGCATGTCTGTGGGTTCATACAATTAGGTACATCTGCTTACGCTGTATCCGAAGAAGGTAGGACCCCAGCCGGTGAAGACCCCGCGAATTCCCTCGGCGGCACGGATCTTGCTGAATGCTTGGGTATTGCTGCTGTAAAGTTTCGAATTGACTTGGCGACGGCATTTGATTAGGTCGAGTGGGGTGACGGCAGTGTGAGTAACTCCCTATACATGCATGATCGTGGTTAGTGACTGCGCGGGATGAGGACTATGCGATTGACAAGGATAACCAACACAGGCTAACATTCCGCCCACAGTGCAGGCCGCATAGTACTGAGCAGACCAAGGCTCGATTTTGCCCGTCTTCTGTTGCGCCTTCTCACTTGCGAGTTCAAACTCCCGAGCTGCTTCTTTTCCGATGCTGGCCGCCTTGGTCTTTGCATCGTCGATTGCGCTCCAGGCTTGGAATGGTTCCCGGCGCTTGGGTGCATTGAAAGCCTGCTCGGGCTTTTTCTGCATCGACATGCCACCCAGCGGGTGCTGAGCGGCCAGCGAAGCGACTGTCGAGCCAGAGGGAAGCATGATTGTCTGTTTACTGCCTAGATATTGTATACACCTTCCTAGGGTTGATCAGTTGCGGGTCATCCAAAGTGGGGCATGCCGGACGCAGCGATCGTGCCGTGGTGGCTCCACCAATTGAAGGCTCTGGTAACTTACTAGGAAAATCGGGATGTATCGAAATCGAAGAGAGAAAAGTTGAAGGGTGAAAAGAAGTGTGAGAAGGGGCCGGATTTAAAGCGGCGATAAAGGCCGAGTGCCGGAGAGCGAGTGAAACAAGGCTGCAGGGCCCCCAAATTGACAGCAATCACGTTGAGGCCGGAGTGACGTAGAAGAGAGAGGGTCTTGGCGCGAGTGAAAGAGGAAAAGCGCGCGAAAAAAAAGACCCTCTACTCAACCTCCTCCGCAACCTCCTCCGCAGTCACTCAAGATCTCCCCCTTGCTTGATTGTTTAGTCGTATCTTCTATTCTGCCTATCTTTCATTTTCGGCCGGTTTTTGTCTTCTCTATACCCGCTATCTCTCTCCACCTCCAGCTACTCGTGTGCCTCTGTCAATACCCCTCGAAAAACACCCCGCCAACCCCGCGCACCAGTAGCTAAGCTCTAGCGCAATGGCTTCCTACCTCACCGGCAGCGAGGCCTATACCCGCGAGAATGATACCTCCGCCCACGCCAATGCGGCACAGCAATCCCCATGGGCTAACAAGTACCGCGGGGTGAGTCCCCTGCACCGATCCCGACGCCGATGGAGTTGAACTGTTCCTCCAGCCTACTATTGTGCTCGTTTCCATTTACCATGCTAACTTTCTGATTTTTAGGCCACAGTTGAAGACCTTGACCCCCCTCCCGCGCTCTCCGTTTCTCCCAATGGCCCCATCTCCGCCGCTCTCATGGCCGCCTACGAACGCGACTACACCCACCTCACCGTTATCTCTGCTACCTCGCGATCTCTCCTCGGCTACCTGAGCATTCCCCGCTTAAAGGAGCTCATTCAAAATGGCACCGTTAAGGAGTCGGATCCCGTCTCTGCCTCCATGCAGCGTTTCAACCGTAAGCGCGGCATCTACCAGGTCATCACCATGGAGACACCCCTAGAGGAATTGGAGAAATTTTTCGAGAGCCAAACTGGTGCCAACGGCGACGAGCGTGAAAAGCACCAATTTGCCGTGGTTACAGATGCCGCGCGGAAATTCGTACTTGGTGTTGCTACCAAGGCGGATCTGGAGGAGTTTGTCAAGCGACGACCGTGATTGGACATGGGCCTGGGAATTTATATGGACATGTGCGGATGAAGTCTAGTTTTCTTTTGGCTATCATAGGAATGGTGAAGCATTT